GAACCTACATATGTCACTAGTGGGCTAGAGGTCCAAAAAGTAATATTTATTTCATACTTGATGTCATTTCACTGCTAAAAGACACTTTATGTCTCTTTCTTTCTAGAAGGGACTTTAATGTGGTTTAATATGTACCTAAGATCTATTTAAGATCTTTGACTATCAAAGTCTATAGTTAAGATCTTCTTAGGATCTCTAATTGTTAAAATTTGTATCTAAGATCTGTTCAATATGTCTACCTGTCATAGTCTACTTCAAGTCATTTCAGAATTAGTTAGAGTGTTTTCAGATGATATATCTATGATTTAAGTATGTTAGAGTTTTGTTTTAAACTATTTCAGCGCTAGTCAAACTCTATTCCTAGGATATGTCAAGATCTTTCTTTTAAGAGTGCCCCACCTTCTTTCTAAGCCTATATAAAGGCCCCCATTGTAATATGAGGTCTTCACTTTTTAGTTGAATCATTTTTCTCTACTATGAGAACCTTTTCTTCTTGCTTGTGGATTCAAACCTTCTAGTAGATTCAAAGGCTAAAGACTCTGAATTTGTGGATTTAGAGGTTGGCTTCTTTCCTAAGCTTAGAGCTTTGTAGATTCAAGCCCAGATTTTATTTATCTTCTATGTTACTGTTACATCATCAATCGACAGCTCAATTCAACTTGCATTGATATTCATGAGGGACGCAACTCAATCAAGTTGGGGTGAAAAGAGAACTCGAAAGCAAGTAGCTAAGCTCCTTAGAAGAAGAGGAAAAAAAAAGAATACATTCTCTATATAGATTTTGATTCAACCACATCTCTATTTAGTTGTTTTTACATTGACGAAACTCATCATCAATGAACCTAAACCCTTAATTCTGTGTGAAGACTTCTTATCCATAGTGCTCGCCTGTCCTCCTAAACTAACAAGAAGCTACTCTACTCACAGCAATGGCCTAGTCATCCTACTCTTCCAGTCTTCATTTAAGTCACCTCATGTGAGGGCACTCTTCCAATCGTCAAGCAAGGAAAAAAAAATACAAGAGTTATGATTGCTATGGAATATAAATAGAGTCCATGAGATGTTGTTAAACATTCATCTTTAGGGTTGAATCACAGTATTAGTTATATATTGATTAATAGTGAAGAAAAAGAAAAAGCATATATAAGTCATTATTAAATCAAATATTTTGAGATTAAAATGCTTATTTAAATTTAAAGTAGCTCAATCAAGAAAACTTATCTTCAAATTAGGTAGAGTAGAAGAATATGCTATTATAGTTTCAGATATGTATCAACACTTAGTTGAAATGCTGATATGTCTACCTCATACATGAACAAGTATAACATATACAATGAGTGTAATTAGCTAATTTATGCATGATCTTGAGCAAATACATTTGACATGGGTCATTGAGTATTACATTACCTCAAAAGGACACCAAGAAAAAATATTTTGTGATTTAATGCTTGAAGTATATACGAATGCTGATTATGCATGATCTATAATAGATAATAAGTTTACTACATGTTATTGCACATTCTTAATAGAAATCTTATAACATGGCACCACAAGAAGTAAATGTGGTAGTAACATTTAGCACAAAAATAAAATTTCAAGTCATTGCTTAAAGTATATATAAATTATTGTGAGTAAATATTATATTATAATATTTGAGGATCAAGAGTGGCAGCCAAATGAGACTTGATTATGAAAACCAATCTACAATCAATAAATTACACAATTCAATTCAAGATGACCAAATTAAATATATTGAGATTGGTTTACACTTCATCAAAGATAAGCTCAAAAGTGATATAATTTGCAAGCCTTGTCACAACATGCAATCTTTTTGCAAATATACTTACAGAGGATTCAAAAAATAATATGTTTCGGTACCTTGTATCCAATTTGAGAATAAATGACATGCATTCACCAACTTGAAGGGAATGTTAGAATATCATTTTTTTTCCTAATATTCTTCTTTATTTTTCTCATTATAAACCAAATCAAACAAGTCTAGATAGATCAAGTTTATCCAACTTATTAGGGAGAGCTAATATAAATACTAGCCTCAACGTAAACCCTATTTTTGATAAATGAAAACATTAAAAAGTTCCAACTATTTTTTTCTTTCTTCTTTCTCATGCCATCACTGTTGGAGATAAATGGAGAACAACATGTATATTCCACAAGGTCTTACTGGGATGGTGAAAGATTGCATGAAACCAAATGGCCACAAAGAAATGAAATAAGAAGCATCCACACTAAGCAATTAGTTATATTTTTATGTTTAATGTTAAGACAACCCAAGGTTGAAAGAGAGGAGGGCTCTTAGATCCTTGAAAGGGTTGACACCTAATCAAATACAATTGTTACATTCACCCTCCCTCTAATGGGTCAACCACTCCTTCTCTCCCCCCCAAGAAGGGAAAGAACATAAAGTCAAATAAGGACAAGGAAGACTTGGGATTCCAATAGAGTAGTCACTACACAAACATTCACACATGCACGCTGTTGACCAAACCAAATAACTAAAAGACTAGTACATTTGAGTGGTGTTTAAATCCCTTCAAAAGCTACAGCCAATATGCAATAGCAGTACATTTTGTCATATGATCGTCTCTCATCATCACATGGAGTTTTCATTATTAGTTTAAACAATATTATGATCCATCTATATTTCTCTTAGTGAAATATAAAAACAAGTTATGAATCAAGAGATGAAAGTTTTAAAGAAAAATAAAATTTGAGGCCTGGTGGAGCTGCCAATAGAAAAAAATTATGTTGGGTTCATATAAAGATAAAAGGTATGATTAGTTGTCAAGGGATGTATACTCAAAACTACAACATTATTTTTGAAGATAAGATGAATAATGTCATAATATTATTTGCATTAGCACCTAATTATAACTAGGATCTACAACAATTTGATGTTAAAAATGTATTTTTGCATAGAGAATTAGAAAAAAAGCCTACAGTGTGCAAGTTGAGTTAATCACCTCATACCTTATTTAGCCAATTTACAAGGGCTATGGTTGTGATGAGATATAAACAAAGTTAAGAAGATTTTGTAAAATATTCATCTTCAAGGTTGGGTTACACCATTATTAGTAAAACATTCATCTTCATGGTTGAGTTCACAACATTACTCCATGTTGATGATATAATTGTGATTCAGAATGAAGAATAATTAATACTGAAATGTGTATATGCATGCTAATTATTTAGTGTATATAGTTAATAATTACTTTATTATCACACCTTCTTTAGTAGAAATCTTATAACATGATGCAATAAAAAGTAAAATGAGGCAGTAAGTTCAACAAAAAAGTAGAATTTCAAACCGTGGCTAAAGGTAGAATTTCTTAATTATTATTAGTAAAAATTATATTAAAAGATTTGAAGATCAAGGGTGATAGTTCAATGGGACTTAACTTTGACAACAAATTTATAATCAACAAAGCACACAATTCAATTCAACATGACTAAATCAAATGTTGAGATTGATGAATGCTTGATTAAAAAGGTCAAATGTGACATCATCTATGTGTCAACATACAATTAACATACAAGTATACTAAGGGCTTAAACAATGGTATGTTTCAAGATCTTATATCCAAGTTGAGAATAGATGAAATATATTGATGACATACATTCACAAAGTTGAGGGGAGTATCAAAATATCATTTTCTTAACCAATTTTTCTTTATTTTTCTCATGAAATATATTTTTTCTCAAATGTAACTTATCTATGTGTCAACATACAATTAACTTACAATTAACTATGACACTATCTATAACATTATCAAATATTTTTCTCATGACATTATCTATGTGTCGACATACAATTAACTTACAATTAACTATGACACTATCTATGACATTATCAAATATTTTTCTCATGACATTATCTATGTGTCAACATACAATTAACTTACAAATATACTAAGGGTTTAAACCATGGTATGTTTCAAGATCTTATATCCAATTTGAGAAAAGATTAAGTGTATTCAAGATATACATTCCCCAACTTGAGGAGAGTGTTTGATTATCATTTTTTTTTCTCCTATTCTTTTTTATTTTTCATTATTACAAATCGAATCAAACCAATCCAGATCTACTAAGTTTATCCACCATAGGGTGCTGCTATAAATATCAGCCCCGATGTAAACCCTATTTTTGATAAATAAAACATAGTTAAGGGCTGTGAATATTTTGTCCTTTCACGTTTTTGGTGCCACCAGTCGAGATCAATAGAGAACAACATATATATTCAACAAGATCTTCTAAGGAAGACGAAGGGTTGCATGAAACCAAATGGCCCCAAAACAAATGAGAGACGAGAAGCATCCACACAGAACAATCAATTAGGATTTGTTTAACGAAAGGCACACAAGCTTGAGAGCTGATCAAAGACTATTGTTACCTTCAGCTTCCCCTCTGACAGGTCAACCATGTCCTCTCTGCCCTAAATCACCAGAGTGACAATGAAGAACAACTAGTTAAAGTCAATGAGCCAATGTATATTAGAAATAAAGTGTTCCCGGGGTGGAAGGCAAAACCAAGAGAGTGGTGTATGACAGATGCAGCCACAATGGAAAATCCCCCCCCAAAAGAGGAAAGAAAATAAAGTCAAATAAGGACACACACACACACACACATGCATGCAGGCCGTTTGTCCACAGACCATGTAACTAAAAAACTAGCCTGTCTGAGTGGCGTCTGAATCCCTTCAGAAGCTACAGTCGATATGCAGCAGCAGCAGCAGCAGCAAGAGCATCTCTTACTTCACGTAAAGTTTTAGCTTTGCATCGTTTAGTATAAGAGGAGACCATTATGATGATCGGCCTACTTCCCATAAATCTTCTAACGCTATGGGATCATCCAGTGCCCATGCGCTCTTTCAGTGATCAGTGGTGGGCATTCCTGTGCCATCCATGGGTTTATCGGTATCATCCTGATGTTGCTGATGAGCAACGGTGAAGAGGAACTAGTTGCTGATTATACCTCGATGCTCATCACAACAAACAGGCCTTGAAGCCCTTCTCCAGCTCCTGGGCATCCAGGTTCCTCCCTATGAACACCAGCTTGTTTGTTCTTGGCTCACCCTCACGCCACGGCCTGTCAGGAGATCCTTGGAAGATGTCGTGAACACCCTGAAGATTATTATTTTGAAGAAAAAAAAAAGGAAATCGATGTTGGTCAAACTCAGGGAATTAAAAAAGTCCTCTGGCATTGCAAATGAACGTTACTTTCAAGGAAAAGATCCGATATATTATGGAACCCAGTGATGATTAATGATCAGGTACAGAAAGAAGAAAGAAACCTGATTACATGAACTCGCGCAAGGGATGATTAATGAATGGAGGAGACTGTAAAACAGGGAGGGCAGAGAGGTGGCAGCGAACCTGGAAGACAAATCTGTCGCTCATACCATCAACAGAGATGATCCCTTTCATCCTGTAAATGTCATCACTGCGTTCCAGCAGCAACGTTCCCAGCCACATGTTCGCCTGCAGAGGAGGTATGGTCACCATCATTAAGAGGCCGCATCAAATGGTTGAGATGCTGGTGGTTATTGAGATTGAGAGATGGGGAGAGAGAGCGAGAGAGACAGAGAAGCCAACCTCTTCTCCCACCACAAAAAGAAGAAAACGAAAAATAAGACTTTGGAAAAAATACCTTGTCTAAATTCAGGTTCCCTTCACAGACAATGCTTACAGAAGACACTCCAGGATCATGAGTATGGTCATGGTCGTGGCCATGGGCGCCATCTACAACAACAACAACAATGGAATACAGGTCTCCTTATATGTTAGTAGGCAACAAATAGAAGAGGATTACATAAAAACTAATGAATAAAAAAGGAAGATCCTGGACTTACCGTGTTTGTGCTCATGCTCATCATGATGATGGTGATCGTGATCGTGATCGTGATCGTGATCGTGATCATGATCATGATCGTGATCCTCATGTTCACTGTGTGCGTGATCATCCTTTGATCCTTCAGCACCCACAGAAGTTTCTATCCTGAGAAGAAAAACGCATAGACATGCATGCAATCAGTAATGTGCGACACAATAAGGAGGAGATAAATCCAACCAAAGCTTAAATCGAGAGGAACGGAGGAAAAGAGTGTCCACAAGAACAGGTTATGCAAATCACCATATACTCGATAAAAGATTATCTCATGGGAACTGAGCTCAATCCCTTTAATGTGACCCTCTTCCTCAAAGAAATTTACATAAATACAAACAAAATCAATGGCGATGAACAATCAAATTAAAAACCAAACCAAGACAACTCAGTTTGACAGTCAAAGAACTTTCTCCAAAGCCAATCTTAGATTTTTCTTGGAAGTCCCTTCTGAGAACACTACCATATCAAAATTCTACCATATCAATTAGGCACATCTCCTCCAGGCAATGGAAAACGTCAACTTGAAAAAAATCAGTACACTTTTATCTTCATTCAGATAACTCATGCTGCAGAAGTGCAAAGGAGGACAATGTTTACCTCTCCAAATCAAAACCACCAATTCCAAGGACATAATCTAGATCGACTTTGCCATACTGTGTTTGCTTCAGGTGAGCCATCCCATTGATACTCTGATTTGAGAAGCAAAGAAAACCATTAGTCATTGAACCATAATTAAAACAAAAATAAACCAGATACTGGAACATGTACTACTGACCTTTACTCTTTGAACTAGAGCAGTCACATCTTGCTTACCAACAAGATCAGTCTACAGAACAATAAATTCATTCAGTCAATCCCAGATTGAATAGTAAACTTGACATTTTTCCTTCAAAAGGAACTTAAACCATTACCAAACATTAAACAACATACTCGAGTAAAAGAAAATTATTTAGAAAGGTGTAGCATACATGAAAACAAGGGCAAAGTTTCAACAAATCTTTGGCAAATAATGTAGTGTCCTTCTGTTGCCTATCCAACATATGATCATTCGCCATTTTTTGCAAAGTGATAATGATATTCTGGCGAAGGCATGAAATTGAACATCCAAATCGCGTAGCTCTGGTACAAAGGATGAATATCCCTCCCTCTCCAGCCGGGGGGTAACATTTATAACAAATCTCTATGTCCTGTAAAGTAAACTAGACCTAAATTCTTCCATTTTTTCTTCTTTTATGCACAACATAGACATAGTAGATGTGGGAACAAAACATGCGATTGTCTGTTAAATTCTCAGACGAGATGGGAGGAGCTGCGAAAAAGGATGAGAAATTCCATCAAGTAAAATCGTTTTAATTGGTTTGAAGACACGAGAAAATTCTATGGAGTATAGTATGGGATATGACCGTCATTTTTCAATGGTTATAAAATGGAGAATGTCAATCCGGTCATATGATATACTGAAACGATAGAGTAATGTCCATGCCTCTAGCTCTAAGTAGTTAAGCTTTGGAAATGATGATGATGATGATGATGCATGGAAGGGAAAATCAACTCAAGGGAAACTACTTTAAGATGTCATACACCAACTTCACGAAGTTCATAAAAATCTCCAATGGGAATACTGTCAGTAGACCCTATTCCTCTAAACAGTCTTAATGCTGAAAAAAACTCATTCCATGGGGAATATAAGCAATGATAATAACTGGTCATCCTCCATTAAGATTTTCCTTCTCGGAGTAGGCTAAAGTTTTCCTGAGCTAAAAATGGGCAAAAACCTTACGCACGAAATGCAACATCAGTTGGGGAAGTTTATTAGACAGGCACTCTGTTCAATCTAGTATTTTTCCAAAACCAAATCTCAAGTAGGTACCAAGTGCAGAACATGAAATATTCATGACAGGGTCAATAATCGTCTGACTAAAATACAGAATACAACATTAGGTAATACATGAGCAAAACATCAACTAAAACAAACCAAAATAAAAATAATATTTGGTTCTTTAGTCTCCATCCAGAATCATTTAACAATAAAGTATGATTGGTTCAAAAAATGGCGGTTTGGGTGGCAGGAAATTGAGTGGTTGACTTGGATAGCAGACAGGTTACACATTCCATTGTGCCAAGATGTGAGGCGAAGGGGGTGATTGTCAACCAAGGTTTGTGCTAGCACCCTTGAAGGCGCTAAAGGAACCCCCAATAGGGGTCTTATTCTTTTCTTCACAACCAAGGCCCAGAGTGGTGGACATCAAATGAGGTCGCCACTGTGAAGGGGGGTTAGGCTACTGAGTATAACTTCCCCCAGCACTAACTCGTAATTATATTTCTTGCTGAAAATATCCCTGATGCCACTGACAGCACGTGGGACCAGATAATTCTATTGGAGTAGCTGCTGATCAGTGCCACATTTCTAGCAACAATGAAAGCTGAAAAAGGCAGCACGATACTATTGGAAAGGAGAGTTTCGATGAAGTACGAGTAGCAGTACGATTAAGTAGTTTAGCTATTCAAGTCTTTCAGTAGTTAAAGACAATTTTAGTTCAACTACCGGTAACATTTCCTGTGTAAATATAGTGCTTCTGTGAGTAAGGATCTTTAGTACAGTTGAGTTTATGGCAACAAGACATTGAGCTCAAGTACGCATTACAATATTCCATTACAGGAGAGAATTTCCATCTGGGCTAGCAGAGTCGGTAGGAAGTGAGAATTGTGGTTTGCTCAAGGGATGAATAATCAAGTGGTTGAGACTGATTCCTGCGTCATACTTCAAATTATCAACTGAGCTCTTTTTAGAATAAGATGCAAAGGAACATCTACAAAACATAGTCGCAGATAAGGCCATTACATGAAAACCGTGCTTGTAAAACCGTCATATTTGCATTGAACAAATCATTGATTCACATAAAAGTGGTTCAGTAAGAAGAAAGAGGGGTTTACTGCAACATTAACCCACCTTGTTGACAATTATTCTGTCCGCATATGCAACCTGTTCAACTGCCTCATTAACTACTCCTTTCGGTTTAACCTCATCAAGGTGGAAATTTGCATGTTTTGCATCCACCAGAGTAACCACTCCATCCAGCTTCACATCCGCAAAAATGCTATCTTCTGAATAGAATGTTTGAATAATTGGGGCCGGATTGGCAAGGCCTGTAGAGGAATGAACATTTTCATTCAATTGGAGAGACTCAAAAAAAAAATGTAGAAAAGAACGTGATAAATCAACCTAATTCAGAAAATATGGAAACAATAAATGTCAAGGAAACCAGTGCTACAAACCCATGGATGATTTTAGTGGCCTAAATATGAATGTGGAAAACTAACTATCCAAAACAAAGCATATTCTTACAATAAATACCAATATTGATATCTCAATACTGAAATACCCATGTCTTATGTTTTCCTCATTAATTTTTATTGTATATAAGGAAAAAAATATGAGTCTATTAGTATGTCAGAATCTTTATGACATCATTCAATGTTGACGACATCAAACGTCATATTTTTTCTTCTCAAGAATACTAGAGTCTACACTAATTTACAATAATTTATAAACGAACGTTGTCATGTAAACCAGAAGATTTTAAATGTACAGTTTTCAAAAGTTGCCCTTTCAGAATTTTTTATAGCTACCACCTTTATGATTCCAAATGCCCCTTATTTTTCCCTCTGGTGATACTTATGAAGTTGGCTAGATTCATTCCCAAATCTGGTAAGGTACTTGAATGAAATCAAGAATTCAGTGACAAAAAATAATGGAGAAATATAAACCAATAGAAGAAAAAAAGTTCCGTTGGAGAAAAGCACATAGCTCACATTGTCCCTCAACTCAAAGTAATGAACAAAACTAACTCATAAAAATAAAAATGTTTGAATGAATCTATTTACTGTGACCTATTTGTATAAGATCTATAAACCCATAAATTGCAGCAACACAAATAATAACTACTAAAGCCTTTCATGATCAGCAGACGCTTCATTGACACATCTATGTTACCTGTGGTCTCTATTACAATATGGTCGAATTTTCCTTTCTTCTTTTCAACCAATTCAGAAATTATTCTGACAAGATCACCTCTCACAGTACAGCATAGGCATCCATTATTGAGCATAATTATGTCTTCAGTTCCAGTTCTCTTTTCGGCAACCAACGAACCATCAATGTCTACCTCACCAAACTGTAAAATATATGCAAAACGTCAGAGTCATTGAAGCACCCCAGACCGTGACAATACAACAGTATCAAATGCAAACGACTAAAAGAAGAAAGGACACTAAAAGAAACAGAGGAGCAACTTATTCTCAGTATTAGTATACTACAAAAGAATGATATTTTCTTTCAAAGTAATACAACAGAATGCAATTAGCAACGTATTATTACATAAACCAGATGACTAATTACGGGTCCATAAAGAGTTCAATTACAATTTTCTCACTCCATTTGTCAAGAAAGTATTTGAGAATGTACCCAATGATGTCACATTCCTCAAAATGAACTTCCCAAAGAATTAAAAATTATAACAGAACAAAAAAAATGTTATCTAATATCCCTAAGAATCAAAATCCCAGAAATTCATTCGACAACTCTAATTAATTGAACTTTCATTTGATAACCCTGTGATGGTAGGAAATTTAGTATCACTGTTATATTCTAGTGTCATCCAACATGATGTTAACATAAAATGAACCCTACCGAATCACCTTCATATCCTTCAAGAGAAATTAGTACAACTTATCAGACAACGATTTTATCAATTGGAAGCAATTAGGTGAGAGATTGACTACAAAACGTTATTGAGTCTCAGCCGTGCTGCTAAAAGCAGGTCATCTCAAAGTTTGAAAAGTAGTTTGTTCCAATAATAGAAACGAACAACTCCTTCCATCATAGACTTCGGATATTCCGGGGAAAAATGTGATGACAACAAACAACAGACACAGCCACATGAAGACGAGGAAATTCATATTCTGAACGCAAAAATTAATACAACAACCCCGGTATGTTCAAAATCAAACCTCGTTCTCAATCACCGCTATACGCTTTCCATGATCAGCAGTCAAGATATGGTTGAGCAGAGTTGTCTGTCAGTGTCGTAAGCGAGAAGAATAAACGTTAGCAACGCATCGCAAAGTTCGCATAACAGGCGAAATTGACAGATTAACAAGTGAGACAACCGAAGACTTCCCAAGGACCCAACAAGGCTAATGCTTTCGCAACCGCATTAAGAGCGTTCCACAAAAACTTAGTCATCCAACTGCCCCTTCACTCACCTTGCCGGAGCCGAGGAATCCGGTTATGATGGTGGCCGGGATGCGGTTGTCGGGGGGGATCTTCGTCGCGACGTCGCCGCCCTCCTCTCGCGTCGGAGCTGATGAAGGCGACGACGCCGCCGCCGCGGAAGCAAAGCGGCACGGTCCCGTCCTCCGCCTTGGCAGTGCCGCCGCCGCGTGCCGCGGCGACACAGAGAAGCCCCGGCGAGACGCCGAAGAGAGATGCGGAAGCGGGAGGCACTGGGGCCACACCCCGACTGCTGCTGTGACTTGCCTCCTCGCCAAGCCAAAGAAGGCCGTCGCCAGGTCGGAGGAGATGGCCGCCATTGCTCAGCGACGTCGAGAGAATTCTAGAGAGAGAGAGAAAAACAGCAGCGATGGAGTGAGCAGGGCGGCGTAGGTTTGTTTATCAGAGGAAGAAAGAGGGGGGTGTCTGGTTCTCGTTATCCTCTCACGAGATGAACTAATCTCCTAAAATCTCTACGCACGCAGCACGCGCATTGTGTCGTTTTCCTCAAAGTGGGGCCCACGGGCGGAGTAAATCGCTTCACTGCGTGCCCATAGAAGCGGACAGAGCCGCAGGTGGAGGAGGCCGTACGTCCACGTGGCGGGACATTCGTACTACATTTTCCCGGGCTTATCTGCCCGGACCGGAGACAGTAAGGAAGAGCGGGGCAGAGAAAATATCTTGAAACTATAACCATTTATAGTATCCGAAAATTAGGAGCCTGAGATATTTACAGGATCTGGGGAAGATCTTCGAGCTCAGACGCCGCCGGAAATCGGTCGGACCGGCGGCGCTGCCGCATCTTCTGCTACAAAAGAGAGAGGGCAGGGAGGGAAGGTTAAGGGGGCTCTGTACAGGCCGTTGACTTTAGAGGAACATGTGGGCGAGAGAGGACGTTCTGGCTGCGCCGTTGACCCAGCGGGAGGCGGACGTCGGCTGGCGGACCTCCATCTCGCGGCGGCGCAGCGCCCTCAGGAACTCCTCCGAGCTCAGATTCTTGTCCCGGTTGACGTCGAAGACGTGGAATATGATGTCAACCACGTTGTCCGTCAAGAAGACCCCGCACACCTGCTCCAACATAAAGTCAACATAAGAAGTCAGCTGGGGCCGTGGCGTTGACCAAAGAGGCGGTGGTTAAGCGCACGTACGTTGGAGGCGGCTCTCTGGAAGTCCCCTTTGGTCAGCAGGCCGTTGACTTTCCCGTAACCGAAGAGGGCCAGCTCCAGCTTCTGCAGCCGCTCACGCAGATCTGCAAAGGCCTTGAATTCCTGCAAAGCAGAAAGGTCAGCGGCTGCTGGGGTCAGAAAAGGGAAGGTGGTGGCGGCTGGGGGTGGGGCGGCGGGAGGTTGACCTCGAAGGTGATGCGGACGTCTCTGAGATGAGAGCAGTCGTCAAGCTGCTCCACCCGATCAAGGAACCTGTTCATGTGGCCGATCTCGGCAGCGGCGACCATGGAGAAGGCAAAGTCCTTGGCGGAGATCGTTCCCTTTGACTTGCAGTCGTAGTGAGCAAACTCCAGCCTGATGATCTGTCACAATGTAGCACGACCCAAAATAAGTCAACCAATTATCAACCACAGCAATCAACACTGACCCGAAAGAAGAACAGAAAGTCAACACCCAAAACATAGCACACCCTAAATAAGTCAACCCATCATCAACCACAACAATCAACACTGACCATGAAGAAGAAGAAGAAGAAGAAGAAGAAGAAGAAGAAGAAGAAGAAGAAATTCAACCCCCCCCCCCTCAATATAGCATACCCCCAAATAAATCCACCTATCATCAACCACAAGAATCAACACTAACCATGGAGGAGAAGAAGAAGGAGAACATAAAGTCAACGCCCCAAACCTCTTCATGGAGATCTCTGAGGAATTGAACAAACTTGTCATGTTTGAGGTGGCGAGAGCCGTCCTTGCCAAAGAAGTACTCCACGAGGCCGCCATCCTCAACAGGCCTCCCACTCCTGAGCCCGGTGCGGAGGCCATCATTGTGGGAGGCCCCCTGCCGATTATAAGACCGCATCAGGGTCATCACCTTCTTGAACTCCTCCTTGTCTATTTCCCTGCAAGGGGGGGAGATGAGATGAAGAAGAGGAAAGTCAGCCATGGGGGGAGACAACGGCTGAGCCACGCGCAATCCAGGGGCTACCTCCGCCATTAATAAACAAGAGATGGTGGTGATTGAGGGTGCTGCTGGCAGCGTTGACTGGATGGCTCCTAGAGGCTGAAGAGAGCGCGGGTAATGAACAACAGAGCACAGATTCCAAGCGGCCATAAAGCAAATTCCATACGAGAACAACCTATAGAAAAAAATGGGTCGGCACTCATGCCCCCAACTAATTAATTATCATCATCAGATGTAAGTTCCATCCACATTTATTTACCCAAATAAATGCCGTTTCTCTTGAGCCCCATATATAAATGCAGTAGAGAGAATTCCCAACCATTCACCTCCCCCTCCCCACTCCCTCCAAAACAAGTAAGCCCGGAAATTTACGAGCCCAGGGCCTCAATCTTGAGCATGTAGACAATGATTAAGCAAGTTGGCAGACATCTGATGAATCATAGAATCAGCTTTTTATTTTTAATTTTTTATGAACAGATATTCCTTGTTGTTGAAATATATGGCATTATGATACTGAATGATAGCATTGTGTTTAAAAAGAGTTCAAGTCTTGAAAGAAGTACGTACCCATTATTATCAACATCAAACATTTTGAATGCAACCGAGAAGCTTGATTCGGGAATGCTAAGCAATGTGACGAAGAAGATGTACCTGTTTGAAGGCAAAAGGAGAAGTTTACGGTCAAATGCCGAACGTCCAACAAACATGACAAGAAGCTCTGGCTGGAAGCTTACTCTGGGAACGATATGAGCCCATCGCTGTTCGTATCAAAAAGCATGAAGAACTCTGACGGGGCACAATGCAACTCTCCAGGTTGAGGCTCGCCCCTTAGATACCCTTCTCTCACGAGACCAGACTCTGATGGGGGAAATACAGGGACAACTGCTCTCATTAGATCTCCTGGGGTCATGAGCACATCTCCTTCGGGTGTGCAGAAAGTTGCAAAATATTCGAACACCTAAAACAAGAGCAGACGAAGAGAACAAAAATAGTAAATCTTAGGGAACCCGAAACGTCGTATAAATAGAAACCATTGGGATAAATGGCTCAAAAAAGCATCACCATGTGTGCAATTTAGCCCATGGGCTCTGATAAACGTAACTATCCAGAATGGGATATAAAAATGTATGCAAACATTTTTCAATCATTATTGACCAAATAATCATATCAAGGTAGAGTTTCTTTTTAAGAAGCTTCAAAACTCTAGCCACAAAATGTTCATTCACAAATAAATGATGAGAATACGTATTACTCTAAATATTATCTCAAACGGAAATATATTTTTGAGTTTTGGATTTGATAAAATAATGTAATCAGGAATCTATACTGATGTAAAAGAGATTATCAAACAAACAGGATACAAACAGAGTTACTAAGTTTTTAAACGAGTAATAATGCAACACTCACAAATGCATCTTAAACCTCTCTTTCTCTGCAAGATGCTCTCTCATACTTATGTCTAAGAGCTAGTGTATTAAAATAAAGTGAGATGAAGTATTTGATATTCATTCCTGAAAAAATCCAACTTAAATGTGACAATTATTTATGAATGTGACCAAAAATAAATTGAGATTTAATTCATTAGCTCTTAGACATCAATATTTAGTGAAGAAAACCGATCATAAATTTCAGCAGGTTAAGTAAAATTATTCCTCTCTCCAGCAGCATACATGGTTGCTAGTCCAACTAGTAAGTCAACAGGTCACAGCCTATCTCACCTTGGTGTCAAAAGTTGTGGTATGAAATCGCCAACTTTCATATTAAAATAAGTCAGTTGACCAACATTGATGAGAGGTCTGCCATACATCCCTAGATCTAGGATTGTTCTGGGCAGACTCCATTAGGTGGCAGGTGTCCAACTTTCATAACTGAAGTGCTGATTTTTTACGGTTATTAATATGTATCCTGGACTTTCAATACTGACTATTAGGTTTCCTCACTTGAAAATTGAGCAATTACCAGGCTGAGGATTGCCACAAGAAGGAAATTGTTAAAGAGTCGGATTTCATGAATATTAAATGATTCGCATATTTATGTCCACAGCATTCCAGAACTCATGTGACTGTGAATTGACCCAACAGACTTCTTCAAATCATAATCCATAAATTTTTAAAACCATAATCCATAGATTTTTAAAAATACCAGAGAGGCTAGATTTTATGTGAAGGTGTGACTTCATTTGAACGTGGATTCACTTTTTACGGAAAACCAATGCCCAGCAGCATAATCAATTATTTCTCAACCTTTATACTTAATGCTAGAGCATTTCTTTTGATTTTAAAATTCAAACAATAAAACTTTCGGAGCAAGAATACAATGTAAACGTTGTAGCCTAATGAAACCTTCTCAGGAGGGCTCAGCATCCTTATCCGCTTCTCGTAGTTGAAAAAGACCCTTCTTCTATATGCGTCTGCAATAAAAAGAAGGAGCATAAGTACCAAAAAAATAAACTTTCAAACCGTTTAATATCAACAGTTGACCTACTCGCTTCTTATAATCTCTCGGAACAGAGCCAATCCACAAAAATAGTCTATTTCCAAGAAAATTATGTCATGAGAATACAGAACTCGTTTTGTAAGTTCTAACGGTTCAGGATAGGGCTTTCAAACAACAACACATAAAATCAAGCATTATAGTTCTCTTAAGCAATCCTTCTACATAGCAACGCATTTCCCTCTTTCCCATAGAACAGGTTTCTTCCCACTGAAACCATTGTTTCTGTGCATTTCCATTTCTTGTCATGATTTGTCGTTCTCTCGTTTCTGGTTCAATTGCTTCCATTTATTTTTTTCTTCTACGTTAAAATGGTTTGAACAGCATGCCCATTTTCTGTTTGGACAACAACGTCAGAACTGATGCCCTGATCCTTCAGCCCCCATCAGGAGGTAGAAGACTAAAGATTCGTCACTTTGTGGTTTGGCATATGTGGCCATGCAAACAACACATGAAACTTTTCACAGTTCAGAAAAAAAATATTCACAAAAAATCTGCATTTTAATTCTCATCAGTAAAATAATTTCCACAGTGCGATATATATCATTAGGCAGGATGTCGATGATACTTGTGCATTCACAGTGGAAACCACAGCGCTCAGAAAGAATTCAGGAGGGGAAATCATCACAAAACTAGAGGAAATAGCGAAAATTTAAGAAAAAAATACCAACCTCCAAATAGATATCTAATCTTCTTCCCACGCCCGGCTTCTGCCTTACGCGGCGCTCCCTCCTCCAGATCTGCCCGAGAGTCACGACCAAATGCTACTTCCACACCCAACGTCTCCGGCTGCGACGGCACGGATGACGAGAAGGTGGACGAGTTGGACGACGCATACCACAGGCCCAACCCCGAGCCGCAGGCCGCGATCCCGCCAACCGCCTTCAGGAACAAACCAAAGTCCCTTCCCGGCGACGATCCCGCCCCCTTGTCTCCGCCACCGTCCCTCGCCTCTGCCGCCGTCGCAGTGGAGCACAGCGGCACCGTCGCACCCAGCCCCTGGATCGACGAGATCCGAAACACCGATCTCGACGTCCTCTTCACCGACACCGGCAACATAGCGCTGCGATCTCGACGGCGAGAAGAGAGAGAAACAAAAATGCAGAGCCCGGCGCGCGGCCTAGCTAGAGAGAGAGAGAGAGAGATCGACCCAGTGGAAGACCTCACCGATGCAGCGCGGCGGCAGAGACCGTCGGGAGGCGGAAGACGACGAGAGATGGTCGCCGGCGGAACGGTCAAGGGAATCCAGATAAAGAGCCCCCCCCTGCGATAACCACCTCTCTCTCTACAACCACCCCCTCCTACATATATTTATAGAGATAGAGAGAGAGCGAGGTGGGAGGGAAAGTAATTTTCTATTCCTAGAGAGATAAAGAGATGCGAAGTTAGAGGGGCGGCGATTCGCCGCTTCAGGAGACGGGGCGGGTGGGATTCACGCGGACTTTTTCAGAACTTTCAAAGTGGGCCCTGCTCCCACTTCGCTCCTTGATATTCCCACCCCCACCCTCGCACACCGACCCGACCAGATTAGAGAGAGAGAGAGGGGTCTCTAAAGGAAGGGGGAGGGACAGGAGGGGTTCCGAGAAGAACCAAACAAAACTCAGGCGTGGGTATATCAACACCCGTGGGCCCCGCCGAAGGATGCAATTCCAATGTGGGGAGAAGATAAGAGCAGGAGCTCTGTGGGGCCCACCGAGGACTTTCAACTCCCCAATAATAACGTCTCCAATAAGTCATAATAATTTAAAAAATCCAAAAAAGAACAAATCTGCTTACAAGCGACGATCTCATTCGCGCTCAAGGGAAAATAAAAACAATTAAAAATAAGAAAAATAATTATAATAATATCCGCACCGCTTCCCCATTCTAGATTCAGATCCCCCCCCGAATAGAAGAAAATAAAAAAAAGCTGCACACAAGCGACCATCTCCTTCGCCCGCATAAAAAATAAAAATAAAATAAAATAAATACTAAGAAGCAATAATTCTCATCATAGCCGCAGCCAATCTCCCTTCTAGATTCCGAGATTCCATACGTTCCTCCTTCTCGGGCGGCCGGGACTTCACTGGATCCCCCACCATGAATTCTCCGATCCGGAGACGAGGAGGGAGCTACAACTGGGCGAGGAGAATCTCGTTCCATGTGTCGGGGACGCCGGGCAGGCACCAGTGCAGACAGTCTTGGACACCCGACGACGACGCTCTGAGGCTGTAGTTGGACATGTGGGCTTCGTCCCGCAGCTCCGAGATGGCGGTGATGTCCAGCAGCCGCACGCCCGTGCCCGCCACGGCGCCGGCGGCGAGTGCATCGTCGGCGGCACCGCCGTCTTGTACCCGTACACCTCTCAGCAAAGGGGTCGTGTTGGCGCAGCTGCCGCCAGAGTTCCAATCGCCGTTGACAAAGTGCCGGGGGGATATGCTCCGGAGGAAGGCCCTCAGCCGCGGGTGGTACGGGATCTGGGAGTCGAGCCACCGCACGACGCTGTGGACGGTGAAATTCTTCGCCCTGGATATCTCCGCCATCCGCCGGTCGCGCAGCGGCGCGCCGTTGACGTACATGTCCCACCGGTTGCCGCTGATCTTGCCCCTGTTCCAGTGATGGCCCGTGTTGAGAACCAGGACGTCGAACCTGCCAATGTGCTGCCGCAGGAAAGCCGCCGGTCGGTCGAGGTGCATGGCATAGCGCGTCGCCGCCGGGTCCGATCGGTTGAGCGGCTCCAGCTCGCACAGGCTCGCCGACCAGTAGTAGAGGATGGTCGTGTTCGTGGCGAAGAATCGGTAGGCCCAGCCATCGGGCCGGATTGCCCCGCGGGCCTTGACGAGGCCGAATTCCCTCCCCACGTCGTCCACTTCAGGGGCCTCCTTGCCGCCGGTGAGCATGCACATGAGCGACTGGAACTGCTGCCGGCCCAGGGAGTCCCCCACCAGGGCGATCGTCTTCCCCCGCAACCTGGCCAAAGAGGAAAGATCAGCTTTGTTTCTCTTCTCTTCTGCCTTTAGAGTCTATTTATTAGAGAGAGGGGCAGAGAACTTGCCTTGTGAGGAGGGAGTGGCGGTCGAACTCCTGTATCTCGCAGCTCTCCGGCTGCCACCGAAAACTCTCGTAGGAGAAATCCGTGCGCTGGGTCAGCCTGCAAGCCCACATCGGAGATAGCCACCGCTTGCACTCCAACCCAGAGTACAAAGGCCGCCGCCTGGCGTCTTGAACCCACCGTCCCCTGGCGTAGTTGCAGCCTGCGAGAACGATCGCAGAGACTATTGGTCCACAAGATGATGCAGTCAAACGCCACATGAACAAGTCAATACAATAAAAGGAAGAGCGAGAAGAAACATATGTTGCCAAGGCTTGGGCATTCCACTCTTTGACAAAAACTGAGAAAAGATCACACTTTGACAACACCTGGCTCAGAAATGTCTGGTTAGACCCAATCGATGTGGTTGTCCTTTATTTCCATACAACCACATCCTTCTTTTTTCCTAGAAAGAGATTAGCCTTTATCCAAAATCAGGTTCATTCTTACTTAGAACAAACAAGTGCGCGTCAGTTTCCTTGGGCAATGGCGGCCATGGATTCCGGGCTTCCTAATAGTTGCCATGAGCAGCATGGATATAGATACAACTGGCATCACGATCCCATGAGGAATTCAAGAGAGTCTACGATTAACAAAGTCGAAAGATGGATCGGATTGTGTCTTGGTATGGCGGATCAAAGTAAACTATTGCAAGAAAGGATTAAATATATTAAATCTCACCATTCTTTTCCTTGGGAATGATGCCCGGGGCGTCGGGTTTGCTCACATTTACAGCAGTGCTGATCGATGGGGAGCCTGCAGGTTCAGGGCTCACAATGACAGCAGACGTCTTCACTTGCCAGCTGGCATCTGTCGGCTGTTGTGATGGGCTTGCAGGTTTGCCTGCTACATTGACAAGAACTTCCTTGGGGTGAATGGGAAAGAATGGGAAGGAGAGCAGCTGTCCAAGCAGAATCATCACCCAGGGGAAGAGTAACAGAGAAAGAGGCATAAACCTACCTGCAGAGAGAGTTTCCGGCTGCCACTGCTCCAGGAGCAAGGTTGACACGAGAGGAGTCTTCTCCCATCCCCAGACGAGAAGGGTTGTGCAGACCACAGCGACTACAGTGAGCGACAGCTGCTTACGCCTCAACCCATAGAAGCTGTTGCAGATCTTTGACTGCATATCCTACCGACTAAAAGCCGTCAACGGGTCTGGTCCCCTAGAATCAAAGCGGTGAAGAAGCAAGTCAGGTATGGCAATAATCAGAATCTCATCATGTTCTACGACTAAAATCCAAAAGGTACATACTAGAGGTGTAAATTCTTCTTTCACAGACTAAGAAAATCTGCAGTTCTGTCGCAAAATAGGGTCAATGCGCATATGGAAGCCGGAAAACATCATATGATCGTAGCACAGAGAGGAATGTATGTTCATCACACGAACCAAAATTCCCGAAGTTAAAACGAGTGTAGGCGGATTTCCACATCGCGCGCATCGACTTTTCAGCGAAATGAAACAAGAGATGCAAATGTTTAAAAGCAATAACTGGACCAATAAGCAGAGATTCAAACAGCCGAAACCTGTCTCGCTAGACGCGTGCTGATTCCTCTCCCTTTCCCCTCGTGTCAAAGACGATAGAAGGATGGAAGCAAGAACGGCACGCCCGGGGCATCAAATTGAAAGCGGAGAAGGAAAAAAAAATTGAAATCGAACTAAATCCGCATCTACTTTTTCTCGAATTCTGTCTTCTTTGTTTCCCGTTAGTGAGCGATTTCGACAACCCTGCGCTGCACTCTCAGACATGAAGGGACGAGTCCCAAACAGGCCGCACCGAAAGAAGAAGGGAAAGAAGATGAAAGAAGATTCCCTTGCGAGAAGATGCGAGACGTTGCCCAGATCGAGAGGTAGAATGAGAACAAGAAGAAGAAGAAAAATGGAGATGATGATGATGACGACGACAAGGGCAGAGATCTTACCCGAGCGAAAAGCTCAACGGCGGCCGCAAGCAACCATTAGGGGACGGAGCACAGCCAGATCCAACGGTTCAAGCAAGAGGAGGGAGAAGCAGCGCGAACACGGTAATGCCCTCGGCAAGAAGCAAGAGAGCCGCAGACGAGAGATTACAGAGAACCGAGGGCAGAGGAACCTCCCTCCGCCGCCCTCTCTCTCTCTCTCTCTCTCTCTCTGGTCCCTCAAACCCCGTGCGACCACCCCGGCAGAGTCGGGTCGGGATGGGATAGGGGGGTGTCCAATTTTTGTTGTATCATAAATGAATAACACCGCTACAAATATATATATATATATATAATATGTATATAAATCACAATTAACACCGCCAAGTGTTTGCCTTGAAAACACAAAGTCAACCACAATTAACAAATCCTCTCCCAGATACTATGCACAAGAGTCAACGCTTGGCGAGGTTTTCCCCATCCCGCATCCCCGTCACCCACACCCCCTTTGATTCCGTCAACAGAGGGAAGAACCTTGCAAAGTCATTGCACGCCTCCACAGCGCAGAGGAGAAAGGACGAAGGAGGAAGGAGGGAAAAGGAGGGACGGAGGAAGACGGAAGGAAGAAAGAAGTCACGACCGTCGAAATCTCCACAAGCATAGGGCATGCAGCATCCAAAATCGACCGATGGCAACGGAACATCAGGCTCAACAGTGCCAGATCTCCATGCCGATAAACCCAAACATGGAGAGAGAGTGGAGGGAGAATGAAATGGAGATCGAGAGCGAGAGCGGCCAGTAAGAAATCCCGTGCGGTTCCCCAACCTTTTCCGTCAGATCAGGTCGTCGCCAGCAGGAGGAAAGCCCTAGGCCATCTCCGCTCCTCCTCGTCCAAAATCCACCGGCGGCAACGGAACATAAAGCTCCACAGCCCAGATCTCGCGATAAACCCTCACATGGAGACAGCGGAGGGAGAAGGAAACGGAGATCGAGAGACAGAGAGAGAGAGAGAGAGAGAGAGAGAGAGTAGCAAGATCAGGTCGTCGCAGGCCAGAGGAAATCCCTACGCCATTATCGCCGCCCGGAGGAAAGCACGGTGGGAGGACGCTGGAGAGAGAGAGAGAGAAGAGAAAGAAGAGGGAAAGGGCGGGGGAAAGGGAGGGAGAGGAGTATATATAACTCGGATATTTACATTAAAATCCTCCTAATTTTTCAGAACAGCATCAACCATATCTTAAAAGAAATAAATATATAATTCCTGCATCAACCACATCTAATATATAATTTAAAAAACAGAAGCCAACCACATTTAATCACATAAAAATAAAAATCCTGCAACTCCATCCCACCCCATACAAATAAAAAACAGAAGCGGCGTTGCCCCCACCCATCCATCACCTCCCCCCTTTGACTCGTCAACAGAAGGTAGGAGAAGAAGAAGAAGAAGAGAAAGAAGAACCTGCAACTCCATCTTCCGACCAGGAAGGGCTCAGTGCAGCGGCGGCGAGGGGGGCGGCATCCGGAAAGAGCCGCCGGAGTAGAGCATGCAGTAGACGGACCTGGTCCGGAGGGTGAGGATGGTGCTCAGGACGGAGCCCAGCACGCAGACAGCGGCCAGGACCTCGAAGGTGAGCCTGAAGCACCCGCCGCCGAGGCAGGTTCCGCTGGAGCTGCCGGCGGAGCCGCCGGCTTGATTGGCGACCTCTCGGTCGTAGACGTAGCCGGCGAGGAAGCCGGAGAAGAGCAGGGCCCCGAGGGGGTTGCCGAGGATCATGAAGTTGTAGATGACGCCGAAGTGCTTCAGGCCGAAGAGCTCGGAGGCGGTGGGGATCATCACCGAGAATTGGAACCCGTAGCAGGTGCCCAGGATTGCGGTGGAGGCGTACAACGTCCCCCTGAGAGCGAAGGCAAAGAGCCCGTGCGCCGCCGCCATCAGCACCTGCGTCGCCGCCATCCACGCCGGCCTCGGCAGCATCCTCGACCTACAGAGAAGAAGACGATGAGATGATCCCGATCTAGAAAAAGAAGAAAATGGAGAAAAGGAAGATGATGATGATGAGATGATCCCCATTTGGAAGAAGATGAAGAAGACGAAGACGAAGAAGAAGAAGAAGAAGAAGATGACGATGATGATGATCGATAGATCGATCACCTGGCAAAGTGTTCGGAGATGACGCCGCCGAGGAGGCGGCCGAGGAAGTTGCAGAAGCTGAAGAGGCAGAGGAGGATGGTGGTGTCCTCCTCGCCGGCAGCAACTCCGATCTGCGCCAGGTTGTTGAGCACCGTGATCCCGGAGCCGACGCCGAGGAAGTAGGCGAAGAAGAGGAGCCAGAAATCCGCCTTCACCAGGGCCTCCCGGAACTCAAAATCCTCCCCCCGCCGGGGCCTCCTCTTCTTCCTCCTCACCGCTCCCTCGCCCTCGGCGAGCAGGATGCTCACGTCTGAAGAATCATCCTCCCCCTCCATGAAGCTCCCGAGGTTCGCCGCCGATGACGACGCCGGCAGCAGCAGCGGCTCTGACTTGTCCGAGTCCCCCCCGGAAGAGACCAGCCGCTCCGACGAGCCAGACGGACCGACAAAGCCGCCGCTCTTCTTCCTCCTACCGGGAGCCGGGAAGAGCGTCATCTTCAGGGGGACGGCGAGCGGGGCGAGGAGCATCACCACCATCACCGCCACGAAGGTGTAGGAGATCCAGTCGGGGATGGCGAGGAGGTCCTCCAGGACCGTGATGGTGAGGAGGTAGAGGCCCAGGAGAACACTGGCGATCTGCACGAAGAGGAAGTGGCCGTGCTCGGAGGCGTCTTCTCCCATGGCGGGGACGCAGGGCCGGACCAGGTACATGAGAGAGATGCATATCACCGGAATCCCCAGCGAGAAGAGCAGCAGGAGCTTGGTGGCGGAGCTGTGGAGAACTCCCGAATAGATCACCGTGTAGACTGCTGCGCTGAGGCCGATGTAGCCCTTGAGGATGCCGGCGACGGTGCCCCTGCTGAGGGGGAAGTTCCTCATGTTCGTCACCAGGACCGCCGTCCCCAGCCACGCGCTGCTGTTGGTGGCCACCACCAGAGCGAGCCACAGCTGCCGTGGAACAATCAGGGTATCAGAGAGATCTGTCATTTCGAGAACGAAGAAGAAGAAGAAGGGGGAAGCAGGAAGAAGAAGGTGTGACTCAGAATCGCAGAGATTGACGAATAAGCAAGGATTTGAGCAGCAAGAACACCAGGGGAAGCATAAACACGAAGTGGGTATCCTAAATTGTTGAGGTTAGTGACAGTAAAGTTCATCCAGGAAATTTCAGACACATGAACGAGGATCAACTCGCAGAGACACGAGGATCTGAGAAACAGAAAAGCAGGAATATCGTCAACTCTCACTTGAATTTTGTTCTCAGGATTTACATCAGAAGAATTGAAGAACTGCTGATGAGCAGTCCAAGAGCAGGGAAGACGTGGGATCTTCTGGTTCAAACTGGGGACTCGCCCATCCACAAATTTTCCTCGTCCGGCCGAATAATTCAGTAAAAGAAAAAATTTAAAAAAAGGGAAGAAGAAGATGCATCATCGTATGAGCACTGTGGAACCAGGTTGTCCCATTCTGATCCAGGATGAATCTTCGAACCCGACAGATCTGGTTTCCCCAAATTACTGTGCACAAACCTCTCGAGAACGGAGTGGTTAGGGCAATGCGAAGGGGAATTTCCCGAGAGGCATTGACATCCAGAACGAGATCCAGAGAGAAGAACCGAAAGGATCCGTCATCCCCAAGAACAGCGCGAACAAATCCTCGATAGATAGATAGAGAGATAGAGAGATAGAGCAGCGGCTGGATGCTCACCAGCCAGTAGGGCACGTTGGTGACGGTCTCGCTGACAGCAAGGTAGAGCACGCCGAATCCGAAGAAGCCGCAGAGAGCTCCGACGAGGAGAACCACCCATGGGGGGAACCTGTTGGAGGCCATCCCCGGGAGGGTGCCGACGTTCTCCCCGATGTCGTTGGCGACGCCGAGGATGGTTAGCTGCTGCTGGTTGAATCCCAGAACGGATTTGAGGGAGGGGGAGTAGAGAGGGAAGGCGAAGGCGCTCCCCGCCGCCACCTGCACCCACACCGCCGCCCCCAGCCCCACCCACGGCGGCCGGCTCCCCACCTTCACCGCCGCCGCCGACGACGCCATAGCGCCACCAACTCCGGCGAGAAGCAGACCAGGATCGAGCGGGAGAGAAGAAGATCCCCAACTCCCGCGAGGAGGAGGCGTCGGATTTTCTCATCGTAATTTTCATGAATATAATTCCTGCATTTGCACTGTAAAAATTAAATTACGTCGGAAATGTCATCCATTAAATCTAAATACTTTCATAAATAAAAATTACTACTTGATGGGGTAAACAATAATTCATTTCCCTTATCCTAATTTTCATGAACTGTAAAAAATTAAAATACCTCGAATAAGACAGAAAAAGGCCTTTTAATTACCTTACCTCGAATATTTACTGCATCGATTTTCATTTAAAAAACTAGTACTTGACGGGTGCAACAATAATAATAATAATAATAACTTTCGTAAAATCAATTCCTGTAGTTACACGATAAAAAATACATTAAACCTCGAATATTAATTAAGACCCATTAAACCCGGTACAGCAATAATTCTTATTATTGGGTTTTTTCCCCTCGAAAACCCAACAAAAAGGGGATACTAACCGTTATCTTATTACACGTGTCCGCAAAAATCGCTGGCTACGACGTCCCCCAGATTTATGTCGGCCGCAGAGTCGTCAGAAAATAATATGATATCGACAGATCATGAGAACTATAAAAAACCTGCCCACGTGGTGCGCTCTCGACGGTACGATGAGGAGAGAAGACGTGACCTGGCGCGATTGTTCCGGCCGATCTGCCTCATCTGAGATCATGACTGTATCATATCGTATCGTATCGTATCGTGACGTCTGAAGATCGTGAGCAGTATGAGGTCTCCGCATAGTTCCGAGGGCCTGAACTGGTCCAGAGGGGGAACGTGCCGACGGTTGCGAGCCTCCATGCGGTAGGTTGTCTCGCGGTGATTGGGAGCGCATGCGATTGATTATCACTTGCGCACCTTAATTTGCCCGTAATGTTGTCACATATTTCCCAGCTCGTATGAATTTAATGATTAAAAATATATAATCAATCCCTTCTCTCTCTCTCTCTCTCTTTCTCTTGCTCTCTCTCTAAATTTGAATGGACAACCACCTTCAAAGAGACCATTTTTTCTTCACAACATTGCAGTTTAGGAGCTGCTGTTCAGCAAATAACACCAAGAAAGATGGGAAAATATTGCCTGTGGGCAATGGGATTAATAGAACACCCATTTCAGGTAGAGAGAGAGAGAGAGAGAGAGAGAGAGAGAGAGAGAGAGCTGAATTCTAGTCAGCAGACATTAATTACTTCATGTAAAATTATTATCTGAGGAACTCCAGAAGAAGAAAACAATAATGATGATGATGATGATGATGATGATGATGATGATGATGATGATGACGACTCCTTGGACAGACTTGGCAGTGGTGGTGGTGGCGGCGGCGGCGGCAGTGTCACCAGTGGTGGCTGCGACATCATTTGCCGGCGGCAGCATGCTTCTGCTTTGCCTTCTCGATCAAGGGCTTGAGCTGCTTCTTCTCGGCGAGGATCTTGAGGAAGTTGAAGAGGAAGGGGATGTAATTGTGCTTCCTGCGGATGTTCTCCGTCTTCCACTTCTTGAACTTCTCCTCCTCCATCAGGATCCTCTCGGTAGCACCCTCGATGCCCGACGTCACCTCTGCCAGGGACTGATTGAGGGCCTCGATGCTGGGCCCGCCGTACCGGGCGCCGCCACCGCCGTTGTAGTCCCCCAGCCGCTCCGCCTGGGCCTTGCCCAGCTGGTCCAGGAGCACCTCCCGCTTCCGCTGCAGCTCCTTCAGCTCCGCCGTGTACATCTCCCGCCGGTTCCTGATAATAGCCATGAGATTGAACCTGATCTCGCTCTGTGAGTACCGCTCGATCCGCTCCTGGATGACGGGTTGCACCATCCTCAGCCAATCCAGGTCTCCCTGGCCGCCAGGGCACCGCCCGAGGCTGATCGGGCCCTCCTTGAGCCCGTCGAGCTCGTAAAGCACACCGTCTACTGGCAAGTAGCTCAAAAAGTGGTACACATCGTCGTCCTTGCCTGCCGCCTTCTGCTCCTCGGGGACGAAGGGCTCGGGCCGAGCGAAGCTGTTGTGGGCTGCCCGGATGGCCTCGCTGTTGCTGATCGCCAGCCCCTTGAGCTCCGGCGGGAAGTTCTTCGTGAATTCCTTCAGCATCGACAGCTCCGGCCCGATATCAACCTCCGGGCAATTCATCAGGATCGAGAGGATCGCTTGGGTCGCACAGGCATTGTTGATCACCTGCAATGAAGAAAAAGGGAAGAAAAAAAAAGAGAGGATGAGAGAGAGAGAGAGAGAGAGGGCGGCAGCCTCAGGTGGGCGGGCGGGCGGGCGGGCGGCGGCGGTGGCGGCAGCGGTGGAAGACTGTCGACAGACCTGGCTGGCGAAGAACAAATTGGGGACAGGGTCCTTGATGACAACGCGGTCGTCCTTCTCCCCAGGGCGCCACTTGAAGAGGAATATCAACCCATACACCGGCCTGGGAAAATATTCACCACAGGTTACAGCAAACCCATCTTCTTACTCTAAATGTGACAAGAAAGAGAAAAAATAACCAATCAAGTGAGCAGCTGTACCGGAGATTGTTCAGCGACTCCAGGTCAAGCGAATACAACTCCTCGACCTGAGCATTAAAGAAAGAAAAGGGGGGGGGCAGAGAGAGAGAGAGAGGTTGAATCAGGACAAGAGAAGAAAGAGGGATCATCTTCTAGCGACTGAAAAAAGATGCCCACTCGTTTGGAACAAAGAAACAGAGCATTCTCAACACGCTCTTTTTTATAAATAAATATATATAAAAAAAAAAAAAGAGCTGGATGAAGCCATGGCCCGAGAGCATTTTGGAAGACATGAAACCATTTGCAGCAAGCATTCTCCCCTCATGTGAAGCCAAATAGATCAGATCAGACCCCTGATATCCAATCCGCCTTGCCAAAGTCAAACCATTAGGCATTGACAGGAACACATATCCAGCATGAGAAGGTATGATAGCAATCCAAAACCCAGATGATGACCTGGGCCCACAATCTCAGGACGTTGACAAAAAAGCCTTTAACCAGAATGTCAAAGACCCCCGACTCATTTTGTGGCAGCAGTAGATCTCATGCAGGAGGACGATGATAACAAAAGTGGTTTGTCGGTGGTAGGGCCATAGCCCATAGGAATCTATATCATGGTTTCTCCATCACTGCACTCATTTAGACAGAAAATCATACGTTAAAGGATTGAATATTACATTTAATGCAGTGACACCCTGAATTTCTGTGTCAAACTCCCAAGGACCCCCTGCACAATCCCCAGTTCCTACATGGTGACCAACACAGCAGACGACCAGGAAATGCAACTGAAACTTACTAAAATCTATTCACATTCAATGTATTAATATATTATATATCGATGCATACGAGAAATACCCATTTCGATTCCATTGGATTTCCCAACCCATCTGCATTCTTATAGTTGACAATCTGCGATCAGCCAACATGCTCATGGAAAGGCCTAAAAGACTGTGATGTATCGCACCTTCTACAGTGGAGACTGACCAATCTGACGAGATTAAAACAAAAAAATGGGTGAAAGCATAAGTACAGCTGACTCGTCCAACGCATTTAAAAAAAAAAAAAGGGGGCAATCTGGCTAATTCCAATTCTTTATGAGACCGCGTAAAATAATTAATTCAAGAATATATAGAACGGGAGAGATGCCTATGGGTGTATTCTGAGCGCTCTCAAAAAACCAATGAGAAGTTACTGCTTTTACAACAGATATGTCACTTAGCCATATTTATGTTCCAGGAAGGTTATCCCCACAACCAATGAGTCAGTTTTGACTCTCTTTTTTTTTCCCCCAAAAAAATGGAGAAAACAAACCACATGAGGTAAAGCTTAGAAGAACAATAAAAAAACCCAGTCTTTTGGCTTATCAGATATTCAAGAATATATCGCCACCAACTGGAAAGATAGATGTATCACTGGTTATGTGGAAAACTCTAAAGAGAATGGGAATCTTCAATCAGTCCCCGCCTTCCAGGGGAGAAGGAAAAGAAGTCAATGCAATCTAAGAAAGTGCATTGAGGGGCTCCGTCAGTTTAGCTTGAAGATCTTGTTGCAGAACATTCGGGGGCTCAACAACAAGTTGCAAATCAGGGAGTTTTAGATACTAATCATCTCTCCCAAACCAGATGCGCGCGGTTCAAGAATCAGCAGGGAAGATGGTTGCAATTTTTTGCAACCAGATACGAGGGATAAATGGGGATAAATGGTCCATTGATGAGGGTAACACAATGGAATCAAACTGCGGATATGAGGAGTCTACCTGTACGCCTTTCACTTGCATCTGCTGTATGAGTTCAGTGAAAACACCTGGAATAAAATTCAGATTTACCTTAGGTGAAAAGAATTGAAAGTTAGCCATAAGAAGAATATTTTAAAAAAATAAAAGATTAAAAACAACAGGGCATGTGAGATAATAAACGCATATTTCTTTTGTTGGTGCGAATCGCTTTCCAGATCTGGGGACTAATCACACTAACATGCTAAGCATTCTCTCCAGATGATTCCATGAAATAGAAAAATAAAGACAGTCCCACGGTCACAACTCCGTAAAATAATATATTTTTATGTATCAAGTCCTAAAAATTCTCAAATGGTTATTCTCTGTGATGTTCTATGTCTTTAAGGACCCCATAAACGTGAATTCTAAAATAATTCATTGCCATTTAGCTCAAGTAATCAACGACCTTTGATTACTTTAATCAAACTGTTTGTATATTCAACTTTTGAAAAAGAAGGCCATCCCTCATTTCTCCTGCTCTCCTCCCGAAATATTTATTGCCTATTTAATGCAATAAATCAGAACCTTAACAAGAGAATCTTAGAAATTGTTTCCTGTTCGTTAGTAAATATAATACTCTTCGAAAATACTCCTAAAATTTCAAGGCAGGTAAAAGCCGAATAATTTTTCTGAACAAGATTGGGTGATGAAGCACCGAACAACTATGCTTATCATCACCACATCGGCTATAAATATGTATCACTACATCATCTGGAATGCAAAACCCAACTTGCATACATAACTGCAAAGAGAGAGATAGTCAATAGGATAGCATCACCAACCATATTTTGGCACTTTGTTCTCACAATCAACATTATTGAACTAATGCCATTTCTTTGGCATTCACCATTAATAACCAGAGAAAACCAGAGAAAACTAGAACAGACCACTGAACCAGAAAGACCATCGAGATGTCTACTTTTTAAACATCAAATGCATTCTTAATTCCACACTCCATTAATGTTCATGAAACGGCTTTGAAACTACTGGGTTAGTTGCACTCAACTAAGTTACAGAGTCAAGATGCTGACCCAATGTAGAAAAATAGAATATAAGTAGCAGGAAAGCCAACAATACAATATTCATCTCTCGATGCCTTAATATGAATAATCAATGTCCGTGACATTTTTCCAGTTACAAGGTTCTTAAAAAAAAAAAAAAAAACAGAGAGAGAGAGAGAGAGAGAGAGAGAGAGAGAGAGAAATCTGAAAACAGGGAACTCACCAGGGTCAGATTCAATGGTGCACCAAGACATGGCGAATAAGTAATAACTGCACAGACATTAAGACATTTGCAGGTTAATAGAGTGTATGCAACAAGATGCCACAGTAGAAAATAACTCGAACGCAAAGGATGGTTTCTGGAGTATACAGGATGTGTGAAAGAAAGAGGTTGCTTATTTTGTGAGGAAGAGATCCTCCTCCCGAAGAAGGTGGAAACGCACAAATTTATAAAGAGGGATAATCAAAGGTCAATTATATATAAGATAAAACTCCCGCAACCATACAATGGTAGAAATCTAATCTGATACATTATTACCCAGTCTCTGTCCCTCGAAAGTTCCCGACCTTAATCACATCTTGGATATCTAGCCATCAAAGAAGGTTTCCTTGAGTCGCCAAATCAGTTTACCTCTGCTGTTTGACCCGACTAGAAAAGTTCTGGTTCAGACGAAGAATTTTGTATGATCACGTCCAAATGCGTCTATTTGCGGCTAAATTTGCCATTGACCATGAACCGAAACTGTCTTTCTAAAAAAATGATATCCATATCACGAAGGAATGCCCCTGTGAGACTACCTCCAGTTCTAGCTGTAGCATTGACGGCTGAAGAAAGAGGGAGAGGGAGAAACAGAGAGATAGAAACCATAACATCGACTTCCTCGAGTAAAAAGTACCACTAATAGCGAAGGGAAGGAATAAAGGATCACAATACCCTGACAAAGGGCATCAGAGCCATGCGTAGAGCCCAATCCATCCAGAGGCCAGGAATGAACCCTTGGATGTCCCGCCCAGGGTTCCGGAGCCTACGCCCTAGAAAAACCGGCGCACTGAAAATCCAAAACTTCCACGGAAGCACTACCCCCAAATCCCGCTGGCACGGCTTAGCAAACTATACATGCAGTAAAATCCTACCGCAAATGGGTTTATCTAATGAAGAACGCTAATAGAGAGGGAAGAATCACCCACCAGCAATCGACAACGGCAGCAGAGCCCTACCGCCACCTGTGCAGAGACCCGAGCGAGAAGGGGTGGCGCGGGGGGCGCAAATTAATCTAGGGTATATGAAGAATTGCGGCCGCCGCAAGGGAAAAAAGAAACCGCTAAAGCCCAGTCTCCGCTCTGGGCTACGCCTCCGATGCTCATGCAAGCCGCTTTTCCCTACAGAAGCGCTAACAGCAACAACGACCAAGAGCGCAGGCCGCAGGAGCCCTCGACGGTGCGGTCGCGGCTAGTTCGCTCGGCTCAACTCCCTAAAAACGGTGATTTTGGATGGACCCAGAACGTCACTAAGAAATTAGAGACCCGCCCAACAGGCTCGCACAAGAAAGCATCCATCTCTCTCTCTCTCTCTCTCTCTCTCTCTCTCTCACACACACACACACACACACACACACTCCCTCTCCACTGGGTGTACACCGAGTAACATTGAGTCTTCTGAGTTGACATGTAGAACTCATTGATGCTATAATATCTTACTGCCCTCTACATTCATTTCTACTTATGCGACTATGACCGTTGGTCCCATTAAACTTTACTGAAGAGGCTACTATTGAGTCTATCTCTCCTCTCCAAATATTTAAGTTGGTCAAACTCATACGTAAGTTGAGTTTGTCTTGTTGAATTCAAGGCCATATTGGGATCAAGTAGCAGTTAAATTGATTGATTTATATTACTTAGTTTGACTTATTCCCTTCAACATTTAAATCTTCACATTTACAAGTCAATTTATTTAACCTTCTTAGATTAATAGGTGTGAGACATAGATTTTTAAAGTGGCTTGGCCCACCACTTACATCTATTTTTTAAGAATAATCAACATTCTTAGATTCCACTAAGATCAATCATTCAACCATAACTATTGATTGCCAACAACTCTAGATTTATAACTTTATAAGGACAACAACTATTTATTAAGTTCGCTCCCCTCTAGTGATTAAACAAGGATTTAATCACAAATTTATCTCACAAATAATGAGAAACTTTTCACTATGGATAGTTTTCTAGAAGATAATATTGATTGATAGTGTCCAAAAATTCAATGATGAAGATGAAGTTTGAGACAATTTTCATTATCTTGTTTTGGTCATATTACTAGCAGAGAATTGAAAGTATTATAGTTTCCAAAATGTTGAGGTAGATCAATCCATGCTTAAATAATGATCCTTAACTCAATGTTTTCCTATAGTTTGATCAGCTAGCTAAGACATTAATTTATCACGAGATTTTCTATTCAAAAGCTCAATGGGAGGGCTGAGGTCATAAGAAAGATAGAGATGAACGTTTTAAAATAATTAGCCATTAGAAAGATATAGTATTTATAAGGAAATCATGTAAGAAAATCTTTTTGGATTTTAACGATTTTGTCTAGTTTTCTTAAAATAAACATAAATTTAAATGGACAGGAAACCAATAGGGAAAGTTTACTAAGAGTTTCTATATCCTCAAGATAAGATAAAATAGATAAGTGGTTCCGTTAAGTTGTAACATCCATATCCAAATTGTGTTGATTCAAATCAATAAAATAATGATACCATATTGTGTACACAAAATTTGATTATGCATGTCTTATTAAAAAAATAATTCAGCTATAAAAGCTAATATGAATCATCTCAAATAAAATGTCATCATCAAATATATATTCACTCACGATCTCAATATATAAAATCACTTCTTTAGTCAATCATAATATTTAAAATTAATTTATAAAAGGTAATAATTAATACTCAGAAATTATGTATGACATAATTAATATCTTGAATTAAATTGATTAATTTGATATCAAAACCTTTTGAGACTCATGTTGTAATATCATTACTTCATGATAAATTGGTTAGGCTTTCATACTCATATTTTGTTTCATAAATTTCATTTAAATTTTCTAATCATTTCTTGTCTTACTATGGCAGTTTTTTTACATATTAGTAATTTCTATAATAGTTGAAAAAATAATTTCATGTAATGAAATTAATCAGCTGAATAAATTTTAAAATCATAAGTTATGAATGTAAATTAATTTTTTTTGAAAAACTTTTTTAAAATTCTATTTATACATTCTTATATTTAACATCATATCAAGCATATTTAGAATTAACCATAATTCCATCTTTTAATTGATCTAATAATTATTTATCATCATCAAAGCATCATATATTTAATACTCAAACACATCTACAAGATATATTTGTGCTCTCAAAAACATCTATATAATTTGCCCTAGCATGTATAACTAATATAATTTGCCCTTTAATGGCATATCTCATCTCAAGTATCCCCTCAAGTAAATTCCCCCACTTACTGATGTATTAAAAGATAATGTATGGTGAGTGGTCATGGTAGACACATTTGACACACTTCTATATAATGACACTTAGTCTTTTGTGACTTGTCATCCTAACATAAATGCAAATTGATCTTTTGATTAAAATCTAAAATTGATGGATTCATTGAGTAGCACAAGGCACAACTCATATTTAAGGGTTTCTAACATTAATTAAGGATTGACTCTTAATAAAATTCAAACCAATTATAAAGATCACTAGTGTAAGTCTTCTCCTTGCAGTTATAATTAGCTGTAGATGGTTTATACAACAATGTTATGCATTTAATGTCATTTATGATCATCTTGAGCAATCAATGTTTATGGAGCAACCAACATATGTTGTTGATCCTCTCTTTCCCCATCATATATGTCTTCTTCATAAATCTTTATATGGCATATGTCAAGTTCCCATTGCATGATTCATATGACTAAATTTTTGGCCCTAGAAACTTAGTTTATATGATTCAAAGACATATCCATCTTTATTTTATTGTCAATCAAACAACTCACAACTAGTCATTCTAATATGTGTGGATGATATTTTTTTTATAGACTTAAATGCAAGGGACACTAATATTCTCATCACATCATTAAGTGTTGATTTTATAATTTGTAATTTTGACAAGGTTAAGTAATATTTAGAAATTAATCCACAAGATTATTTTGATGGTTGTGTTCTCTCTTAGTTGAAATATATTATAAATCTACTTTTACAAACCAAAACAGATCATTTCAACTCGAACTCAAGTTTCATGTGAATTATTTTTCCTATAAAAGTATCGTGAGTGTTCTTGAACACCTCATTGCCTCTTGTTTAAATATTATTTTTATTGTTAGTTGGACCTTGTAATATATAGACTAGTCCCAATCAAAGTATTATATCATGTTAAACAAAAATCAGATATATTGTCACAATATTATATTATGGATCACTCCCAATCAAATAAATTATAATCTTTGATCACTCCAAAATGTTGTAATTAAGGATTATCAAAAAAAAAATTTATAATGTTCAAATGGTTTTCTAATGATACTAATAAGTATAGTTTAAAGAGTATTCGAGTCAAACCATAAAGATTTGTCTAAATTAAGGTGAGATTTAACTTTTGAATAAGGTTGAATTTTTGATGAAAAATGAGATGAAGAGATAGAAGAGAGTTGACTTGGACACATTAAAGGAGGAATAGATGAATCTTCTTTTAATGATTTTTCAGTCACCAAGATAAGAGAAATCAGGTGAGAAAACAAATGGTGAAATATGGGATGATTGTGAATTCTTTAATCTTAATATATGTAAATAAAAACTCTATTTTTTTTAGCTTTTCTTCTGTCACCTAATAAATTAATAGAAAGACTAAAGTAGATTAATCTACTCCTAAACTATTTTCTAACTTCTCCTTATCCCTCTTTACTTCCAATGGATGCTTAACTTTGATGAATCAAAGAAGCAAAAAAATATGGAAGGAGAAGGATCAAAAGAAGGATCTAAAATATCTTAATCTACACTACCTTGCTCACTCTTAGGAATGTGATCAATCTTTGATAAATCAAGAGATTCATATACATCAAGAGAAGCAAGAGAAGGGTAGAAGGGTTGGATTCTATCATAGAATCAACTTAGTGTCACTCTAAGGATCAAATAATCAAATCCTTACTTACTCCTCAATTAGATTAACTCTTTCTCACCAAGAGAGTCTTAAGAAAAAAAAAATATAATAAGAAAACAAAACTCAATCATTCAAAATAAAATATAATAAAAAATAAAAGAATCAAATACATCAAAGATGACTTCTCTATGTCATTTGGAGGGCTCAAAAGGATCCCTCCTTGGAGTTCCTAAATTAACTTAAGAAGTGAAGTTCGTGGAGATCTCCTCTTCTCTCTCTTGGGCACCCCTCTCTTATGAATGGAATGGCCTTCTCTCCCCTGTAGATGGATCTTTATTCTCCCTTTGGCTGTGCCTATTCTCAGCCCTTGGATCATGAGAGAGAGTACACAACCCTTGAATTAGATTTCTCTCTCTAAGGGCAGCCTAAAGGAGGTGGGTGGCTGCTAAGGTGTCTCCTCACCTTCCTTCACCCTAGGACTTATCTCATCCCTCGGATTGGGCTGATTGAGAGGCTGAGATAGTCTCAAAGGTTGTTTAATGAGGGAGAGGGGCATGGCTGTCCAGTTGGCCAATGGGCCTAATATGACCTGAAACATAACATTAAAATAAAGCCCATTACCCCTTAAACAAATAAATATAATAAATTAGGCATAAGGGAGAAATCAACATGGTAAATCTAAATTCATTTATACATGAGTTGACTTAGGGCTTGAGAGATTCATAATAAATCATGAAAATCATATAGATTATGTTTTATAATGTAAATAATCATGGGTCAAAGCACTGATTCGGATTTAATAAAAAATCCAGAAAAAAAAGCCTTTAGAATATTGATTTAAACTTGAAATAAATCTTAGAATACTCAGAAAATTTCAAAATATCTCTAAAAATCAGAAAAAATACTTTGATCGTATTAAATTATTATAAAATATTTAAATTATAATTTAGACATTAGATGACATTTTATTTATAATTATTATTCAAGTGAATCATATAAAAAAATAAATATTCATCCTATAGAAAATATGAAAAATTCACGAAATTAAGCATGTATTTAGAACATTCATCATAAATTATGCTTCAATTATTTTATGTATATTTAAATGTCATTTTGTATAAAATTAAGCATTAATTGTTCAAATTATGTGCATAGTTAACATGTGGAATTCACATGTTATCAATTTTTAGTCTCCAACTTCATACGTAGTAATTATACAAATGGGGAGAAATCTATTAGCCATTGGTGGTCCACTTGTGGTCCATTAGTAATTACCTTTTATTCCTTTGTTGCAACCTCATTTCCTAGTATCCAAGAAACAAGTCACAATGACTCAATCTAACATTGCGGCCATAATCTCTCTACTAATTAGGTTTTCAACACACAAACAAGTGACATTGAATCAACCTCTAATATCCGTCATTTGAACAAAAGACCAAGTAATATATATTCTTGGAAAAGGTCCCAAAGAGTTATTTTCTACAAAGGGCTATGGACTATTTCAAGCAGTTCTATGTAGATTTTCATGCAAGGAAACATGAAGCACCTTTAAGAGCACCTTTGTAAATGATGAAATCATGGAGTTACTTCTCGCTTCTCCTATGCACTCGAGCAAGCCAGGTGGCTTCTCGTCTCCCTACTCCTTCCATCTCCGCAGCTGGGTATCTCAGCCCACGTCTTGGGCGCTGTTGCCTAGCTCGGCTCCCGACAGACAGTCTTCTCTTCTTTCTCTCTCTCTCTCTCTCTATAAATACATATATCTCTCTTTCTCTCCAAGGGGAAGGAAACACTGCGGCGCACGGCTCGGAATGTCTTTTATGGGGAGGACGGTCCTCTCGTCGTTGTCGCCGGCGAAGTGTGGAAACGAGGGCGGCGTCGAAGCTCGGTCCTTTGACTGCCCAACTGGCTGGCCGCATATTTCAACGTGTGAAATTTCTACATTCCCAGTCTCTCTCTCTCTCTCTCTCTCTCTCTCTCTCTCTCTCTCTATCTGACTACCAGCCGGGTTGGTATTTATTTCTGGTCTTGCTCAGGAAGGCTTCCCAAGATGGGAGGAGAAGCCGGAGAGGACTCTCCTTCTCCTTCTCCTTCTCCTTCTCCTTCTCCTTCTGCTTCTTCCGCGCTGATGGAGAAAGGAGCAGACGGAGCAGCTATGGAGGATGGGGGGAGGGTGAGGAGCTTCCGGATGGAGGGCTACGGCAACCGGAGAGCCTTCCTGAGGAGCTACCCGCTGCAGGCAGCGGCGGAGGACGATGGCGGAGGGCGGCGGCGGCGGCGGCGGCGGTGGCGGAGGGCTAGGCTGGGTACGAAGATAGAGAGCTTCAGGCGGAGGGCGGCGGCGGCGCTACTCTTGCGGCTGAGGAAGCTCAAGAACAGGGTCGTCTTCTTCTTCCTGGCCTCCTGCCGCCCTCCAATCACCCAACAGCAGCCTCCTCGCTGCTGCTAATGGCCCTTCCCTTCCCTTCCCTTCCCTTCCCTTCCCTTCCCTTCCCTTCTCTCTCTCTCTCTCTCTCTCTCTCTCTCTCTCTCTTCCCTTCTTAAACTCCATTTCGATTTCGCTGTACTGTGAATGCGTCAGAAACGCCATCTCCATTTTGATCCAACGTATCTCTATATGCAGAGAGCCCTAGGTTGCTCTCTGCTGTTGGGCCATGATGTTGCCTGCCTGCAATCGTGAGCAGCGGGGATCGGCGGCGCCGCCTGATGAGACCCGGGGGGCATCGCCGCAGCGGGGGGGCATCTCGGCCATAAATGAAGCTGGGCCGGGAGCATCTCGCTCTCTCTTGTTATCTCTCCCTCTCTCTCTCTCTCTCTCTCTCTCTCTCTCTCTCTCTCTCTCTCTCTTGATGTTGACTGCTCGCATTGAAGCCCATTGAAGGCGGAGCAGCTTCTTAAAAATGGGTCACCCTTTTTAGGCGGGTATTACAAAATCCGGGGGAATTTTCTGAATATTGTACACGTAATCCTGCACAAATGTGTCCGCCCCTCCATGACAATAAGTGATAGCAGAAATGGGTCGGGGTACCCCGGTCTTTTCACTTAAAAACCAGTATATGTGGAGCCACCTCCACCCAAATAACCATACCACACTCGACGAAATTTTCACTTTCCTACAATGCATAAGGAAAATAAAAATATAAAGTGGAACTATCGATATAAAGTTTGTTTTTTAAAAATCCAAAGCTTCATATGATGATATGTATTTATCTATCTTGGTCTTGTCTCAACTTTGCCAAATTCAAAAGATAATTAAATAAAACAAATTTAGAATCTCCCAACTTGATGATGACAAAATCTGAATCAAAAAGTCTGGGACAGAAGATGATGCTATTTTTAATGTGTATAAAACATTCACATTTAAATTTTTAGAAGCAATCTCAAAGTTATTTCCCTTATTAGTTTCATGCATCAACTTTGGGAATAAATATTTGCAGAAAATGGGGATTTCCCTAAACATTTAAAATGATGGAAAAAAATATGACCGTTAAATTTAAGTGAAAGCAATAATAATATAAATTAAAGCATGATTAATTAACTCATAAGACATAATTACTTGTTCAATCATGTTAAATATTAAGTGAATTTTGGGATGAATATTCTAAAAGCAATAAGTTTTGGCTATAAAAAGGTTAAGTATACTCAAAATCTTCCCAAATTATTTGACAACTATTAAAGCATAACCATGTCTAATTTTTATAGAATTGTATGTTTGCGTGATGTTTCTATAATATCACCACTGATTCAAGATCAATTGATTCAAAAAATTGAGTTGTCTCAAATAGTTTGTGAAACTTTAAACCAGATTGATTGATCATGAAGCAGTCCAATCAAAAATGTTATCTTCTTAGTCTATCCTAGTACTTAAATTACTTCCCTTTTCTTCCTATGTGAATCTAAAATCTTGGTTGAGGATTCTCCTACTGTCAAGTCTCAATATTTCTTGACTTGTAAACTCATATGTTTGGTTGATAGATCTCTTGATGTCAAGTCACTTTTTTTCTTGATGTTGGGACAAATAGTTGGTTCGTGCTTTTTCCTTTCCTCTAGTGGATTAGAGGTGAGATAAAAACCCATAGTTGTTGGCTAACAATCAATTAGTTCATCTTCTTCTAAGAACATCATTTATTCTTACCAGCCAAAATGTTGGTTCAATCAATTTTAAGGGCTTGAGCAACCCCAATTGTATGACCTTTTACTAATTATCCCACAATTATGTAGGTTAGATGGGAGAAATTATCTTATCTATGTTGGAGCATTAAATGTTTCATGTTTCACGATGAGAAATAATTAAAAGATCAATTTATGCTTAATTTTGAATATACTTGACATATCATTAAACATGAAAGTATTTAAATATAATTTTAAATAATTCTAATTAATGTCCAAATGCTAATTCACTAAATATGTTCATAAATGATAATGTTGAATTCACTTATTTACTTAATTTTATTATGTGATGCTATTTTTTTACATTATTATGAAAAAAAATAAAAAATTACATAAATTATCATATTAAAAAATAAGAAATGAATAAGGACACCAAAATTAATAATAAGTTATGAAACAAAAAAAGAGTATGACAACTGACTCAATCGACCATATACTCATGATATTACATCATAAGTTTTAAGGTCGTGGTATCAAATGAATTGATTGAATTCATATGATTTTTTTGCTATATAGATTTTTTAAATAATATAATTATATTTTCAAAATTAATTTAAACATTATGGCTCATAAAAATGATAATTTTCTAAAAAATATTGTGACAGAATATGAATATTTAATGATTATTTTTTATTTGAGGTGAATTGAATTAGCTTTGACTATTAAATCATTACTTTAATAAGATATGTCATCAGTTTTGTGTTCACAATATCATATTGTTATCAAATTTTTGAGAACTAGAATGATTCAGATATGATAATATCTATATTGGTTTTTTCTTAAGGATATTTGAATACTTTTTGGACTTGTCTTTTTTGTTTCTCCACCATTTGAATTTTTGTTCTCTATAGGGAAAAATAGACAATAGAAGATGGTAGAAATCTGAAAATATTTTTATACTTAATTTCTCTATAAATACCACGTCTTTCCAATGACTAAAGTATTCAAAACAATCATGTCTATATCTTTTATGATCCCAAGTCCTCTATTAAGTTATTTTATAAATTTTTGAACAAAATTGAGAGATCTTCTTTCCTAGTCAAATTGCATGTAAATAGACAACTAGAGTTGTTCTCAAGTACTGAAAGTTTCTCCTTGACCTGAATCAAGCAATAATATCATTCACCTTTGAGCAACATTGTTACAAGAAGAGGACACCAAAGATTTGAGTTGTAACCATTGTCTTGTTCATCACAATTATGGAATCACTCAAAGTTATTATTCAAAAACATTCTATGGTGAAAAAGTTTATTATTTTTTGTGATATAAGTATGTGATTAGTCTTCTTTAATCACTTGATAGAGTTCAACCTATTAATTATTTATTAGCTTTCTGGAATTATGAATCTAGAAGATAATTTCTAAGAGAAATTAAAAGGGAGAGAAACTAGTAATTAGTGGTCTTGCTCGAATGTCAATCTTAATGAAACCCAAGAACTATGATTGCTCTTGGAGAGTGAACATAGTAGTGGTGAAATACTATAAAAATCATTTAGTCTCATACATATTAATGTACAAAGATATATTAATACTTGTAAGGAGAATATTGGAATTAGAGGAAATAGTTGACTGATTTTAGGATTATACATTGATCAGTTGAACCCCTCCTACTCTTCCTCTAAGTGGGGTCTTAGAAAGGGAAGGAAAGATTAGACACTTCCTAGGTGTAGGATCCAAACAAAAAAATGCTTCTTTTAAAATGTGGGACATAGAATACTCCAAAATTATGACTTGGTTATAAATAACATGATAATACAAATTAGTAACACATGTATGTTCTTAGCTACAACGAATGACATATTGAAAAACATCTAATAAACTTATTCATAAGCCAGAGATATAACCCCAATATATGAAGTGAGGATGAAGATGATATCGATCCATCAAGGAAATAAGTTTGTAACAAAGTAAAACCATTTGAAAATATTATGACAAGAATATAAATACTACAAGACCAATTCATATAAGAGATCCTCAAGATGCAATAATATAAGTTATGAATTTCTAGTTGGACTCAACCTTGAATTTGATCAAAGTGAGGTCTTAAATCTTTGGTTGTGAAAATTTACCACATTTTAATGAGACGATGATATTTTCCTAAAGGTCAAGAGAGCTAAAGGAGTGTGATGCTTGCCTCTCAATGCATGGAGAACACTACATGTGTTAGAGGTGATAGAAATTTAGCTACAAATATGAAGAAATTTAAAATTGAGACCAACTCCACCCCAATTGGACAATCAAGGGATTAGAGTCATGACCATATGAATATCATATTGTGCATTTGTTGTAAATAATTATGCCATACTCATGAAAAGTGTTGGAAGCTTCATGAAAAATCCCAACATCAAGAGTAGAGTCAAAAGGGAGCACAACCCAGTATGCATTGGCCTAGCATATGCTATAGTCACACAACAAAAAGAAATAACATCACTATTATAGAGTTATCTCATCTAAAAGGAGGTTTGATAAGGCACAATCATCTCTAGTCTCAAGTTCTCTTGCACAATTAAGTGTCCATTTGTTGTTGAATTAAATGTCTCACACACTATTTTTCATGCTATTTGGAACATGAATTTAATACCTATTAAGTCAATTGATCACAATTTTTTTCCTATATACTCCCCTTACCCTACTAAGACAAAAATAGCCACAATTGAGGGATCTTTAACCATGGTAGTAGGCATAAGGAATACTTTTGTTACTCCCTCACCTTAAGAAAGGTTCCTCATGTTCTTAGATTTATTATAAATTATGTATATTAATAAACTAATTGCATATTTACACTAAAAAGTTTTATTCTATTATAATTTGTGTGTTATATGATTGGGAAACGAGTAGGATGAGTGAGCAAGAGAGATATGAACCCTACTATTTGAAGTACTAAGTCAATTAAATGTTCCAAAGGAAAATTATTTTTTAAATTCAAATAATCTAATTCCAAAAAAAATTAGCCTCACCATATTCAACTTGGACATTTATCTTCAGAACTATCAAAACTCTATTTCTTTGTTTCAGAGTTCGTGTTGAATATTTTCATTGTGATGCATCATAATTTATTTATTACGAACATGTGACTTTTCTTGTTAAGTAGAGATAGTATTACAATAGGTAGAATCAATCCTTAAGACTTAGTTAAACACCCAATCAATTTGACCTTTGGCCTTGACACCGCAAGTCTAGATTTTTTCATTTCTTCATTCACTAGAGTTAGTAGCTGCTGAATTATTCAAATTGCTTCCTTGATTCTTCTTATATTGTCTCCTCTTCACTTCATTCACTAGAGTTAGTAGCTACTAAATTATTTAATCCTCACTCCCTATGGATTAACTTGGAGTCATCCTAGTTACCTAGTAGTTAGCCAGAGTCTAGTTATATACATTTCTTTGATTAAATAATATCCTTGGACCAAATGACACCCAAGAAAAGTTTTACTTATTAGTGTGGTTCTGATATTTGGGTGTGTAGTGTTGCATGTTCCTAACTAGCACAATGACAAATTGGATCCTAGGGCATTAAATGCCTTTTTTATTATATATTCTCAAACTCAAAAGATATATAAATGCTACCATGTTCCATAAAAAGGGTCTTTATTTTAATTGATGTAACCTCCAATGAAGAAGAATTTCATTTTATTCCACATTATCTTCATAGAAGAAACAAATTGATGAAGATAAGGACGAATTTTTTTTACTCCTTATTTCTTTACATGTATCAACTCCCATACCTTTTCTTTGATCAATTGGCTACATATGTATGAGTGTCTAACCTCATTACTGACTCTCTAAAAATATGAGAGTGACAAAGTGTATTCATGGAAGAAGATGGATGTATCAAAAATCTATGCAAGTCCAAGAACCTCAATCATATACTAGAAATGAGGTGCTAACTTATCCTTGATCAATTTCACTTGAAATTAAATTTCATACTAGTAATGAAATGATGATCTACCCATTACCATTAAGAAATGACTTAGAAATTTACCAAAGGACTTGCATATCATCTTACACATTTACGGTTATATGAATGTCTTTCACCATATTATAAACTTTCCATGTTAATTTAAACACTATTACCATCCCTACCTTGTATATGAGGCTTTATCAAATAAAAAATCAAAATAAATTATGAATGAAGAGATAAATGCTTTGGAGAATAATGAAACATGAGAATTGATGAGACTACCAACATGAAAAAATTTATCAACTATAAATGGGTCTATATAGTAAAATATCAGCCAAATGGATCTATAAAGAGAGGAAGACTATATTAGTTACCAAAGGGTACAACCAAACCTATGGGTTGATTACCAAGAGACATTTACTCTTATGACAAAAATGAATATTCTTAGATTTTTTTTTTTCATTATCATCTAATTATGGCTATGATCTAATTTAGTTTAACATTAAAAACTTGCACACAAATAGTTAGAAAATGAAATCTATATGAAAGCTTCACCTAGATATGCTAGACATTTGATTCCCAATAGAATGTGTAAATTGAAGAAAATTGGATATGATATCAAATGTTCATCACATGTTTGGATTGGCAAGTTTAGAAAAACATTGATTAGAATGAGATATAGACAAAGTAAGGGAGTCACTACACTATACATATCTTTTGAAAACATAATTGTGAGTAGGAATGATGTAAAAGAAAACAAAATATCTAAGTTAGTATCTAGTTAAAGAATTTCAAACCAAAACATTATGAAAGCTGAAATATTTTCTAAGATTTGGAGTGCTCACTTAAGGAATGCCATTTTCATTTCTTAATAGAAGTATATCATGTACTTTATCAAGGAAACATACAAATTTGTATGCAAATAAATTATTCCAATTGATCTAAATATCAAATTTGATGAAGTAGAGGAAAATGTTGCTATAGATAAAGACATCAATGATCAATTTATTTATCTCATTTATGAGTAAAGATAATGAATGTAGTGACCATGATTTTTGTCAATTTATGTATAATTCAAAACAAATATGTCTCCATGTATATCAATGAATACTATATTATATCAGAGAAATACTAAAGAAATAGAATATTGATACTTGAAGTCTATAGTGATATCAATTTTGCAAGGCCTATAGTAGATATGAGGTTAGCTTCTGAATATTATGCTTTCCTGAATAGAAGTATAATCATATAAAGAAAAAAGAAGCATATTGTTGTAAAAAGATTAAGTGCAGAAGCAAAATCCAAGACATAACTTAAGGTATATTTAAAGTATTGTGGGTGTAGATTATTCTAGAATACTTCAAGATCAAGAGAGATTGCCCAATGAGGTCTATTTTGATGGTTAATCTAAAATCAATATTAAATAATTGAATTCAGCACAATAGAATCAAACATTTTGAGATTGATTAACACTTCATCAAAGAGAAGTTAGAGAACATATTGGTTTATATCCCATAATTAGCTTCAAATAAGCAAATTATCAATAAATACTTGTGTCCAAAAGTTTGAATAATACTATTTTTCAACTACTTGTGTCCAAAATATGAATGAAGGATATTCATTCAAATTTTATTATAATTTAGGAATTAATTTTTATTATAATTTTATATATTTATATTATTATTTATTTTAATTTTATCCTTCATACTAGTTTGGCTTTGTCTAATTCATTGGCTTGGTCCATCTTTATGATAGGGCTCTTGTATAAATGATAGAATTTATTTACACATAGTGAGAGACTCATTCTTATTTTCTCCCTCCAGCCATGTTTGTAATGTTCTGATGACCTAATAGATGCTCAAATTTGATGCCACTTCATAGATGCTCAAATTTGTCATACACCTTTCACCTTTTCGTGGAAAGGTGACAAGTTAATCACATTAGTTTGTGATGTAAATGCAAGATGTTGGTACTTTTAGTTACAACAAATGATAGACACCCCTTAAATTTAATGTATTATTCAGAAAAGCCATCATAATTACATAGTGGCACTTATACCTCATATAATCCACACAATATGGTCATTGTCTCTTTCAATAAGTACAATTTATGCAATCAAGAGGATGATGATTTTCATGTGAAATGAGCTTTATCAAAGGTTGCCCTATTCAAGGGGACATCAGATCTGTTTTCATAGCACTAGCAATAATTGCTATAAGACTTGTACAACAACAAGTGCATCATAACTAGATAAACTCTCAAAGTCAGCATATAGCCTCTGCCCATGTTAGACTTCAAAGTGGACTATTGTGGGCAGCTAGACCCTAAGAAAATCAAATTCTTTCAAAGTTTTGGTTCAATTATGGAAGTGTCTAGAGTGGTTCATATCACTATGCATATTTGACTTTTTAAACCCAAAGGAAAACTACCTTGCAAAATCTAGGCCACATTTTCTGTTGACTCTCCAAAAAATGATGATCTAATTCTATGCTTTCCTTTTTTCTAAATTATTTTTATTTTCCATCTTGGTTTTCTTCATGTAGCATCATTTGTCTCACCATTCACTATTTATAGATGAATTGTGGATGTTCCATTGCTCAGTTATCAACCATTTCCTAATTTTTTTTGTTCACACCTTTTTTGCATCAAAATATTTCCTTTTTCCTTTGAAGAACTATGCACTTCACAATTATCTTCTTTCTATTTCTCTACCTTTATATTCTTTTTGGCACCCAGAATTTCTTATCTTGGTAGTAGTTGGACATTGCTAATGCAAGAAATATGTAAATATTTCCCATTATAACATTTTTATTTTTTAAAAACCAAAAATAAATAGGTCCTAGCTTTTTAAAATCCCTTTGATATTAGTACATGGGCCACAAAAATATCTCCTAGGTAAGTTTTAAACTATATAAAATATTAAGGCCCTGATATTTGAGGATGAGGGTGCCTTTTATTGGCTCGTAATTACATGCAACCTACCTTCTCGTGCCACTCACTGACACACGTAATCATTTATTACTATTTTTTAATATAATACCTACAATATGGTATTGATATATTATTACGATTTTAGTGAATTTTATGGGGAAAAGGGCCCGTGATGTGATTCAGTGCTGGAAAATATCACAAAACCCCTTCCTGAGAGGGAGAACACGGGCCACGGACCCGGCGGCGCAGCGCCCACCACATCCTGGCCTTTGATATTCTCACGAAGCACACCAACCAGAGTATGCGGGGGCTTATTCACAATAAAAGTAACATTAAGGGCTCTATCATAAATATTACTTGATATCCATCTCCCTCACCTCCGGAGGTCTGTAGCTGCAACCCGAAATGTTGCCTCGCCGTTGCTACTTCAAAGAGTAGCTTATCACTTCCTCTGGAGTCTCTCTCTCTCTCTCTCTCTCGCAAGCGATGGCGTCGCTGTCCTCGGTCATGACGGCGGCGACGATCGCGCAGATGTGCCCCTCACGCTCTGATGCGGCCCAGGGGCGGCGGAGCAGCGTGGCTGCCCAGAGCCGGGGCTTCCTCCTGCACCGTGGGGCGGTCGGCGAATTCGCGTGCAACCGCCGGCGCTTATACCTAGGCCATCAGCGGTAATTATCTCTCCGAAAAGATGAAAAAAGAACCGAATTACCGTTGGATTCATTCTTTGACGCTGGCTTGTCATTATCTTTGTTTATGACGTGATTTCTGTGCGAGGGGGGGAGGGGGGGGAGCCCTATTGATGCGTAAAAAATTGTCTGAAACTGTTTCTTACCGTGTAAACAATTGATACGTGAAGAAATCATCGCGTTCTCTGGACCTGTGCCGTCGTTCACGCATATAGCAGTGGAGCTGCGTGTTTTTATTTACGTTTTGGGTTTATAGTTCGGACATAGAAATCGATTGGAAAGCCCATTTATAAGCCTTTTTTTCCCAGCTCCTGTTGGTTCCCTGACAGTCAATCGCCTATTTTGAGATTTAGTGAAAAATTTAACTGGGTTTTGACTTGGACTGTTTCTTATACATGGAGTCATGTTGGCTGCTATCATTAGGATTGCTGAATGTGTGTTATTTTTTCCTTCTACAAAGCATTGAAGACCGTCTTTTCATTTTATTATTTATTATTTGGCTTTGGTAACTTGAATGAACATTTTTATTTCATTGACGATTGCATGGATGAAAATGTACTTACCGTTGTTTCTTCTTTTACATTGTTTGCGGATGAAGGATGCCCCATGATGGAAAATTAAAATCTTGGGATCGGGATAGATTTCCTGTCAAGTGGAGAAAGCAGTCGCATGTTTATGGTGGATACCCTGTTCTGCCCCCTACCTCGGAACTACGTGGATGTACCTCCTGTTTCAGGGCTCGTCGTATGCACCAGCATCTTTTTAAGGGTTATTCACAGAGGATGTTTCTGAACAAGTCGTCATTTCCACTGCAGAAGCAATTTTTCAGCGGCATGAATGTATGTTCAAAAGAGTAGTTTCAATTAGATGTTGCTTTCTCCAAGATAGGCCATGGATAATCTTCTATTGTCGCTTAATGTTTCTGCCATCCTACTTATTGAAAAAATATGTGAAATATTCTGTTCATTTACATGATTGATCGACGCTACCTTTCATCTCTCTACATGCGTGCTTATTGAATGTTAAAATGACAAGTATTTTGAGGGAGAGGCAATGCCAATGATAGAAACAAGGCTGTGATCAAATTTTGCCTTATTTTAGGTATTGTGATCCTCTTAGCAGACATAATAGGCAGCAGGAAAAGGATAACCAGCTTAAGGATAAGACTTTTAAGGCAGGAAAATGAGTTAAAAATGGTAAATTCCTTCACGTTCCAGGTGCAGTTGAATCTGGGAAATAAGTCATTTCTCCTGTCAGTTGCCAATTCACTCTCATCGATCCCTATCTAGAGGCCAATTCTTTGATGTTTACTACGCTTTTAAATCTCTTTATACTTTGATGATGAAGGCTTATGCTTCGTGCCAAACCATCTCTATAGTCTCTCGTTTTGTCTTTGAAGGGGGGAAACATTATGTTTCTTTTAATATTTTCGCTTTTTTTGGTTGCTACATATCTCGCTCCTGCTATTGTCTGCTTTTTTATATATGCCTCTTAACCGCCAAATACTGTCTTTTGCAACATTGCTGGTTTCCACACTGTCTTGTAGACCTTTCTATTAAGTTAACATTTTCTAGACTATTTTAATTCTATTAATAACTCTGAATTTTTTTTCCATCCTTGATGAAAACTCAACTGCGAAATGTTTAAGTTGTATGGATCCCATGCCATTAATCGTTGAATCCTTTGTGATTCACACTGTTATCTTCAAACTCTAATCTTATGTATTATGTTTCACTCCAGTTGTATAGGACACCTTGCTTTCAAGTGATTCTCTCATTGTGACTTGCTTAGTTTTGCTCTGTCCTAGGCGTTGTCCATCAATACTAAATCCCCTGTATGAGAAAACAAGAGTAATAGAAAAGTTCATAGTTCCTTTTTGTCACTTTTGGTTTCCCTTGAAATTCCACATAACTGGTCTCCATACCTGTATAACAAGGTCAGCACTAACTGTTAAAACGCTCGACAGTCCATCCATCTTTTTTATCTAACACACTTCGGGTGTAGATGGTAGATATAAGATAGAACTATTGAGATTCCAATGTTGCAGTGGCTATGGTTCACTTGGCTGTGAATGCTGATCTGTATTCAATTGGAACCTAAGGTATGCATTCAAATAATTCTGTTACTGAAATGGTGGGGATTGACTTGTAGATGCCCATCCCTCCTTGGTGTTAACTCGAAAATATCCAATTTTCATGTCTCTATCTGTTCTATATACATGATCTATTTTCACAAAATTTGTCGATTCTATATTGAAAATTTTTATGCAGTGAGTCAGCATATAATGATTCTAATTTGATGACTTTTGGTGAAAATTTATTTTCCCCAGGTTGGCCCAGCTCCCATTCCTCGTGCAACTATTGGCCCTGAGGAACCTCATGCTGCAAATATGACGTGGCCAGACACGATAGTAGATAAAGATGTTGCCTGGGATCCTGAAGTCGAAACAAGTGATCTGGAAGGCTTTTTAAGTTCTACACTTCCATCTCACCCAAAGCTACACCGCGGGCAACTGAAAAATGGACTTCGATATCTTATTTTGCCAAACAAGGTTCCTGCTGATAGGTAAGGCAAAAATATTTAGGTTATCATGTAAGGGAAACGAGCATATTTTTTTATCAAGTCCTCAACTGTTCAGATGAGTAATTATCTATATTTTTTCCAAGGATTGCATTTTGTACATCTATTTGCTATTAATAGTTTGTCTACTAATAAAATGTTTATTATATAACTTAAATTATGTCCTCATAAAAGAACTAATATGTATGCTTATATTTTTTAGGGAACTATAAAACTGCTGATTAATACAGATATTATTTAGGCAATCCTAACTGTCCTCCTAAATGATATAGGAGCATGTTTGAGTTTAGTGGGGCTAATAGTGGGATGAACTTGGGTCTAATTATTTATTCGTCTAGTCTTTAGGAAGTCATGTGATTAGCATATGACCTTTGACATTAATTCAGGTCCAGATTGAATATTTTTAGGATACTTGTGTCACAATTCTTAGGGTTTGCACGGCTGTATTTTTGAACTCTATTGTAGGCTGCTGGAGGCTGTCTTTTGTTACTCTTTGCGTATGTATTAAGAATCCGGTTCTATACCCCTGTTCTTCTTTTGTGTCACATCATTTGCTATTATCCTTTATTCACTGTTGTTTTCGCACCTTTCCTCTCAAGCCTTCTCTCCCTTGCCACATCACTAAAGCAATTGTGGTCCTGGCGATTATTTAAGATCGGTCAAATTCTACAATATTTTTGCTTCAGTAAATATAGGAGTTGCTTAATTGAAAGGGTAGATGACCTTCAGTGACGATCCGAGTGAACAAAAATATAACAGAACAATGTCTGCAAAAGCATCAATGACATGGCCCATAGGAATGTAAAATAGCAGTACAAAAAATCTTTCTGCAAAATCGAAAAGTAAGAAAGGAAGACAATACTACTCGTACAAATGTAAAGAACCTACCAGAAAAAAGAGTTACCAAAAGAATGAGAACCCTATTCAGACATGATGCTAAATCTGAGGTTGCTGTCAGTTTCTATTTAGGGACTCAAGTTTCCTCAACATCATGGATTCATCCTGCGCTTTTGTATGCTTTCACAAACGTGGTTCACAAGTTCCTATTGGCGGCCTTGATGCTGTCTCATTCTGGTAACAAGGGCCTTTTACAAGAATTGTCCTACAGGATGATGTATGTGCACGTCTAGGATCTCACTTCTGTTTCCAATGTGTTTATCAGATCATTTATCTGGCATTGTAATAATATGATGTCCACAGTCAGGTCAGTATGACTTACCAAGTGAGTTTATGGAATTGAGGACCTGAAAAAATAGTAACCCGCAGAGTACATTGTAATTGTGGGTTGGTTAGAGAGTTCTGATCGGAGCTCCTGCTTGCATGGGCTTAATGAATGTCTTCTACAAGAAGGCCTTGGTAGAAAGCTCTTCTGCAGAGCCCATTGAGTATTACGAGTGATATTGGAGTAAGATGCAGCCATCTGAAGCCCATATGTTAAAGATGATTTTATAGAAATGTATCAAATAAGATTCACAATTTTGAAACTAAATTTGCAGCACGCATAATAGACTTTGACGATGTATAGTCCTAACTTTTAAGGAAACAATGAAGGTCCAACGTTTTGCTATTAAATGCCTGTGTGGCCATATTTCTGTACCCAGGTAATACTTAAATCGCACAAATGAATTCTCACAAAAATCTCCTTAAATATAAGTAATAGCTCTCAGAAAGGAAATTCATGTTAGACTGCTATTGTGGAATGCCATGCTAGACTCCTTTCCCTTTCTGGAATGTTATTTGAGTTCCATTTTTTTGCTAGGAGACAATGGAAGGGATGATAATCTCAACAGGAAAGGGATTCCGACCGAACAATACTAAAAAGGTGAAAAAAAGGCGTCCAGTTGAGGGATAGAGATTCCAGCTAAATTCAGGAAGTAGGAGAGAGATGATCAATTCTCAAAATAGTTGCGAATGACCGATTTTGGTGGTGTTTCCAACTTCACATATTGCCATTTACACTTGACTGAGTGCAAATGTGCTTATTTGACTGGCCAAACAAGGCCTGTTTTTCAGCTGCACAAATAGCTGGTTATGTTAGTTTGAATGGATGCCTGACACACACCCAGGTGGGCTTGGTGACTCCATGCTGAGTTCATAAGCTAAGTTTCCTAAGCGCACACCTTTAGGTTGCTCGTTTTGGTAGGTTGGATGCCTGGATGTCTGGGATTCCTTGTTGCCTAGGTAAAACCTTGTCAGCAATGCACCAATAGTAAACCCATGTCTATGCATAAGTTCTCTGAAGACTGATCAACCCTGGTGAGTGCTCTGCTAATCAAGGTTGTGACAATCTCCTTAAAATTCATGCTGCCAGTGAAGACTGCGACAATCCATTTTACTTTATCTCATAATATTATAGCTTCTTTTATTAAAATGTGGGTTACGAGTATTATCTGCTACCACTTTTTTCAAATTGCAGCGGCCTGGGATTATCTGTCTGCAAAAAAGTTAATTCTTTCAGGATAACTCATTTTTGTTGCAAGGAGTTAACAATTTCTGTTGCACATTGCATTGAAAATACATTCTTAAAATTATTAGACAATTGTCAACCGAGATAGAATTTCAAGTGTTTCTGTAATGTCTCTACATAATTGACTTTTAGGCTTCCAGCCTTATACCTACATGTATCCATTCACTCATTGATGCATAGGTTTTGCAAACGATTGTCACTCCGAATCTTTTTTTCTGAGTATTATAAATGTCTGAAAACCTTGGATTCTGAAAATATATTTCTATTACTCTAATCGGTTAGAGATTCCCAAGCATTCTATTTTATCATACTGGTCACATTTCTCTTTTAAGTGAATGAATATCCGCCTAATATCTGTACCTGTTGAGATGGCTCCCTTCACTTTGCTCTTCTCATGGTTACAACTTGGTCACACCCCATAGATTGATGAAACATATAATCTGCTCCTGGCAATGTCCCAGTGGGATGATTTTCTTCTCTTTATCACCACAGATCTTATCACTTGGTTCATGTTGTTTTCCATGGTTTTATACTGCTATTTTCCATTCTGCTGATCTGAGTGGATGTGCCAGATTTGGGGAAACGTGTTGTTAAGTTGTTGTCAAGTATTCCAGAAATTCCATGGTGTCTTACTGAATTCTGAGAAAAGTGTAAAGTTTTTTGATAATCGTATTGAGTAATTGATGTAAAACATTGTGGAGACTGGCCTTCCCACGGATATTGGTTGAATGCTATTTTTGACTTCTGACATTTTTCATACCGTCTTATAGATTTGAAGCTCATATGGAAGTTCACGTTGGATCGATTGATGAGGAGGAAGATGAGCAAGGAATTGCTCATATGATTGAGCATGTTGCATTCCTTGGAAGTAAGAAACGTGAGAAACTTCTTGGCACAGGGGCGAGGTCCAATGCGTACACAGATTTTCACCATACTGTGTTTCATATCCACTCTCCTACTAGTGCAAAGGTATTCCAAATCTCAAATGGTATTTTAATCATTGACATGCTTTAGAAATTTTAATGTATTTATTTAATGGTAATTACTTCTGCTGGAATCTTTCCTCACATGTTTAATGTTGAAACATTAGATGCCATTTTTTGGCTTGCTTTTGATTAGATATCAGAGTTGATCAATAACTGGAGAATTACTGGCTAGTAATTTCTCCTGAACAGTAAGAGTCAGATCCTGGTTTGATTGGGTTAGTTCCTAGTTGAAATCAGATCCCATCTACAAAGTTGCCTGATTTAAGGGGAAAATAATTAATCAGCTAACATTGCAACAAAAAAGATGAGGATAACTGGAGAATTCAAGTTTATATTTCCAGTTTTTTGATAAGTTTCTAAAATGATAATTGCACTGTAAAATTACTGGCTGGTAATTTCTCCTGATCTATCCTGTCCTATCTTCAGGGTACAAATTCTGGACTCACACATTGTCCTTGGTCGAACTTCTTGAGTCAGATCAGTTGACAAATACCATGACTGAAAGCATTGTTTCGAGCTTATTAAAAATTTCTGTTTCTAATATGATCGAAAAGTTTTTGAGGTTGAAAGATGCTCTCTTATCACTTTACACAAGCTCTGCAGTGGGCCGAATTCGTTCTCATGTTCTTCTTAAGCATAGGTAAAGTGGGTGTCTAGTCAAGTTGAAGGCTGGCTTGATCATTTCTATGTATTTTTTGGTATTATCTAGAGGAGTAAAAGTCAACTCATGAATGTTATCATTCCTATCAATCATTAGCATTTTCGCACTCATGAGCCAGGGGGACAGAGCTGATTTGCATAAAGGTATTACGTGGTTGATAATTGGCAGAGATCATGTTATACCCACTTGATTTCATCTTTTTTCACCGATCCATTGTTTCTTCAAAGGATTGGCTTACTCTATGTGCTATCAGATGCAAAATCCTGTAGAAGGTTGACGTGATGATGGTGGGGATAGCAGTGTTGGCTTTGGATGACAATATCTGGAGTAACAGGAGGCTGATTGGAACTCTTTCGCCTGCCACTCGTAACTCCTAGGGGTTAGTAGTGAAATGATAAGGCTCCAACTTCCAAATGGAAATTGGGGCTTATTGAATATTTTAAAAAATAAGAATAATGTTTGAAGCAGATAAGATAGAGGAAGAGAAGGAAGAGATAAGATGGAATCGGATACAACTGCCTCAGATCTAGGATAGCAGTAGGCCCCTGCCTGACTGCCCAGGAACTTGAATCAATTTCTCTAAAGGTGGCCTCTTTCTCTTCCTTTTCGTTATTTATACCCTTCTTTATTCGGAGGTAGTCCCTGCACATTCTTTAAGAAGTTTCTATGATTCCTCTAGTCTATTAGGAGCTCCCTAGAATCTCGCCTTGACTTATTCTCCAGCTGGACTGAGATCTTACTCCTAAAATAAGTTCGTAGAGGCTTATCAGGAAACATATTCTATCCTATCTCTTCTATTTGTTAGCGAATAGGAGGGTGAGACTAAGGTGCTCGCAGCAGTTAGCGCATCATCAGTGCATTCCCTTTTGGTTACTCTCTAGTGGTGGTGAATATGTGCCCAATGAAGCGTGTCCTTGCCATGTGGACAATGGACAGAATTTTTTTTATGCTTCTTACTGATATACAAATAATGACAACTCTGCTCTATCTTTTCTAGCATTGGAGCGTTACACTTGATCCCATCACTGTATGTCCCTTTGGCTAATAGGCATGAACCCACTCTGGGGACAAAAACTGAAGCCTGAAGGAAATGCAAAGGGTAAACTTAGAGGTGCCTTGAAGCAGGTGGGAGCAGGTTTTGTGCCAGTTGAGATGCCTGTAAAACCTAATTCATGATTGGTTCAAATGAAACATTCTAGGTTCAAATAACAATATGTTATCACTGTCTACTTGACGAATCATTAACTTACAAAGAAGTTTTTGTATGCATACTTGTATAGTTCAGAGAGAAATATAAGTTTCTGGTAGGTTTATCTGCTCTTGATTCTGGTATCGCAGTGTCCAAATCCGTTTTTTATTCTGATTTCACAATATAATCAATTTCCACATGACAATTGAACGGGCAACCAGACATAAGCAGCACAATTTCACATTTTCCTTGACCCAGTTGTTTGTTTTTAAAAAAATCGAAGGTGATTGGACCTGCTTGCAACAGATAAACCCTATGCACGCACTGCTGATTAGCCTGAAAGTTAACTCTATGCATACTATTTAATTGTGTACATTTTATTTCGTCTTGTCGTATCCTGGTAAAATTTTATGGGTCATGACGATTATTCATCATTAATTTCGATTTTAGTTTTTTTAATGTTATGCCTTTTGTGATGAACCTTTCACTAATTTGATACGGATATTCTATTAGGATTCTGAGGGAGATCTTCTTTTGTCCGTCCTTGATGCATTAAATGAGGTACTTCATGCAACTCTCTTTTCTATGTTTATGTTCCTTCATGTGATCTGAATATTGTGCGTTGATAGTGCCAAAGTTTACTAATGAATGTCCTTCAATTTTTAGCATGTGATGTTTTGTTCTTTCTCAAAAAAGAAGGCTAATTTCCACACAGTTAGGAATGAAGTTCAAACTACTGAATATTAGAGTGAGTACTTACATCCTACACGTTCTTAGTTCTAAAAAAGGGGGAACCGTAGAATCAGCTAAAAAATTATAACATAGTATGATATCAATGGGTCAAATCGATGATCAATCTAGACAGAGACAACTAACTTTGTTTAGGTATTTTATTATATTTACTAAAATGTCACAAATATAAAAGCATGACAGATTTTTATTCAAATTCTATCCTTTAACCCTCAGGCCCCAACGTTTGTGCCTGATCCTCTTTATTTGAAGGCTTTGGGCTTAGGATTTTATGAGCATCATGACAGTGGTGAAATGGTTGGGTTAGGGAAAAGCAGATGCAGCTGGGATGGAGGTTGTGTGTGATAAGGACAGAGGAGCAGGATATAGAAGCCAGTGGCAGCAGTAACTGTATCAAAAACATTGACAGTAAATGGCAGTGGTAGCAGTGTCTTTCTTTCTTCTTCTTTTGCAGTTTTTTTACTCTCCCCATTTTTTGCTCCTTTGTTTTTACGTATCATCATAAAACGTCTGTTGAGTTGCCAATTCTGTATATTTTTATAAATTCGGGTGATTCAAGGATTGAATCCCCATTTGAAATGGGATCATCCATAGCGGATTCCGATATGATCGGGTCAGTCTAAGTTAGAAGCTAATTTTTTAACCATCTCTAATTCCCGCTACTGAATATTCTATTTTGTTTGTATTGTTAAGCCACCCAAAAAGAAGACTGATGTTGGTGGACCACAAAAGGATCTATAATATCTGGATGTGATTCTGATACTTCTGTTTAAAATGGAGAAAAAACCTCATCACGAAGGACAGAGGGGAGAACGGCGGAAACTGCCTCAATTACATGCAATGATTACACCCCTTAATATAGGGAGAAAATCTAGAAACGTTTCCAAAAACACCCTCAACTAATTACACTATTTCCCTACGACTTAGAACTTCCAACAACTTCTCCGATAGGTTTCTCTCTAGTGCAAAGACTGTTGACTGGTACCAGCATCTGATTGAATTGTTTTTGTGGTCGACCTGAATGATTGTTTGATTGACTACTCCCTTATGGTAACAAGGCCCAGTTATGTGAAAATAAGACCGAAAAAGTTGAAATAAAAATCAAGCAAGGGAATGCCTCAATTGGGTTGGAAATTTCCACGGCTTATAAATAGCATCATTTTTCATGGGACTCTCTTAGTTTTGACTGTTATTGATCAGATTAAAGGTTGATGATGAAACAGTTGAGCAAATCATTGTCAAATTTGGGAATATCAAAAAGAGTCTCCTTAGAATGAGAGGCAATCGTTCGAATTGTTATGGCCTCTAGCAGATGGTTCGAAATTGATTCTAAAAGATTTTACCAAGTAGTGCTGATTTCTCCCTTTTTAGAAGGGCTCCAGTGGCTACATTTATGTTAAGTCTGGTCGCTTGGCGTGGGAGAAGGATAAGACCCTTGAAATCTTAAAGGGTTAAAGTATAATATATAGAAAGGCCTTTTTCAAGGAAATCATTTTGCAAATACCTGTGAACGGTCATAAGACATTCCTGCACTTAGCCGACCTTCTCCTGGAAGCCTATCAAAAAGCAAGGAAGGATAGTGTCACATGACAATGTTAGACAACTTGCACTGGCTTCAATAATCTTAGGAGCACTAGTTACTATGTCCCAAACAAAAGTCAAAGGACCTCTAGCTCATTTTTCTATTATGTTTATCACTGATCTCTATGCTTGGGCCTGGGGATTTGGTCTGTTTTGTTTGAACTCTAGTTTTGTCAGACCTAGGTCAAAATGGAATAGACCTTTTCTATTTTAAAAAATGAAGCGTATTCAATGCAAATGCAAGCTCTAAATATTTTAGGTCATGTGAATTTTCATTTATGCCTCAGTATTTTCAAGGTAATGTAATTGACGAATCCTATCTAGCCTTTACTCATCTCTGGTATTTTAAACGAAGCACTGCCTTTTATTACATTTTTTATGACTAAGATTTAATCTTGTTCACTGCATTGAGTTGATGTCCAAAACACAGAAGATCGGAAACACATAATGTAGTGGAACTTTTGCAAAAAGTTAAGATTTAACATACATGGGTGGATCAAGTTAACGCTTCTCAGAAAATGAAGAATCTGATTTAGTTATTGTTCATCTAATTGCTGCAACAGTCCTCCCAACACACTAGAAATGGTGTATCTCACTGAATGAAGAAAGGAGAAGGAGGTCAAGTAGGATGCTGGACTAGTAGTATTCAGGAGTAGAGTCTTGTAGTCTTCACTGACGAGAACAACCTGATCTGAAGATCCTAAAAGTGAACCATGGGTCTTTGTCAGTCTGAAACTCTGCCAACGATAATGCTATTCGTATGGTGGAGCATAGTGACCATGATCCATTCAGATCACCTGCGGGTCTGGAGGTCAGTAGTAAAGGAGATCTGATAAAATCTTTTGTGACCCTGGAGCCAGGGATAAAGAGGATCCAGTGGGACTTTTTATGGGCCTTAGGCTCTGGGTTTAAAAGATCTGAGCCCACTGGTTTTGAGTGTACGTAGTTCAGTGGAATAAAACTTTGATGAGTCCCATCCTAGAAACGTCTGAACGGTCTTCGTCCCATTACAAACGTCCCTCTTCTTAAAAAAATGTTGAATGTGTTTCATTCTACTAATTTACTGGCCTGCCTCATCCTAGAAAGTTTTTGACTGTACATATCCCATGCATTCAAGTAAACTTCATTTTAGAAACTTGTCAAATAGGATTATCTCATGAATTTTAAGTGGACTTTATTGTTGTAACTCATCAAATGCACTGTCATATGAACTCTTGAACAAGCTTCATGTCAAAAACTTGTGTGGAATGTGCTTTTTGTTGTAGAATGTTAAACGGGAATTCATTCCGTGCACTCATTACATTTGTTTCATCCTATGAATTCAAAATTATCTGATGAACTTCTAAGTTTTACGTGATTCATTATGAATAAGTTAATTATTTTGTGACATGAATTTTTCACAGTAATTGAAGGGTGTTCTTATATCCAAAGATGTAATTAATATTGATGCTGCTATCAATGGATAAGATGCACCCAACGCCCACTAATGGGGTCAATATGCAAACAGTTTATCTCAGGTCTATGAAAAGACAAAGATGATAGTTTTTTTTGCTTGAAATCAAGTATGTAAAACTCATATGACAACACGCAATTCAAGTTATCTGGAGCCTCTTGCCATTTGCTTTCAATATCTCTATTGAGATTCCAACCTTTGATAGAATGACTCTCCCCATGGCTTGAAACAGACAGTTTTTGTTGATGAAGAGCAAATAGCTAATACTATCGTTTATGGACAGATGTATAATTTAATTAACTTCTATATATGCGCATACACTCTTTCTTTTGATGGACTCTGGTGGAAAATGTGGGTATTTAGTTATCATCTCACCCTAAACATTATCTTTGATGATTCAGATAACTTTTCACCCAAAGTTTCTTGCATCTCGAGTTGAGAAAGAAAGAAGAGCGATCCTTTCAGAGCTCCAGATGATGAATACCATAGAATATCGTATTGATTGTCAGGCAAGGGCATTTTTAATTGTAATATTTGGCGATTTTTTTAACAGAGACCAAATGCTTGTGGTGCCATCACCTTGTCCATTGCCAGTTATTTTCCCAATTGACTTTTTCTTTTCATGCTTTTTAACAGCTCCTACAACATTTGCATTCAGAAAATAAATTAAGTAAACGGTTCCCTATAGGATTGGAGGATCAAATCAAGAAGTGGGACACAGAGAAAATTCGTAAATTTCATGAGCGCTGGTACTTCCCTGCAAATTGTACTCTGTATATAGTAGGAGACATTGATAATATTCCTGAGACAGTACGCCACATTGAAGTAAGTTTTTAATTCTGATGTTTTTACTATTTTCTCCTTGTTGTGTTAAATCCTTGGCAATGAGAGCATTATTTGAGGCATGGTTCCCTGTCTTCTCTGGCATTGCTCATTGTTTAGAGTGTATTTGAGAAGACAACTCTGGAAAATGAGACACCCACACCTAAAGCAAATACTCCCAGTGCATTTGGTGCCATGGCAAGTTTTCTCGTTCCAAAGCTGCCAGGTGGGCTAGCTGGGAGTTTATCCAATGAGAAGTCTTCTATTTCTATGGATCAACCAAAAGTCACAAGAAAGGAGAGGCATGCAGTTCGTCCTCCTGTGAAACACAAGTGGTCTCTTCCAGGATTTGGAGGTGATGCTGAGGATCCGCAGATATTCCAGCACGAGTTGATTCAAAATTTCTCTATTAACATGTTCTGCAAGGTATTGGAAATAAAATCCAAAACTTCTTTCTTTTGACATAAATTTAGTTATTATCCGAATTCATCAGCTTTTGGGTGCAATGAGCAGATATTGCTTTAACACGGATACATGGTTCACTTGAGATGGTGTCAAGAATAATTTGATACTCTCTGAATGCCTTACATTTTTTTTCTTTTGAAATATTTTGTGATCAAGGAGTGATTGGTGGACTATGACGAATATGTTCTTTTGCTTTGCTACATGTTTGAGTACTGAGATACCAATGAATTGCTCAATCAAGCATATGAATGCTTACTGATAGACTACACTATATCTTAATCAGGAGGAAAATATATAGCTTGTTTCAATGGTTTTGATCATGTTTTTGCAATGCAGATTCCTGTTAACCAAGTTCAAACATATGGAGGCCTACGGGATGTTTTGATGAAGAGAATATTTCTGTCAGCTTTGCATTTCCGTATTAATACAAGATATAAGGTGGGTTCCATGATGACTGTTTTGTCTATGATATGTTTTTTAAAACATCTAGCTGCTCTGTTTCAGGAATGTTTTATTGAGAGTTGCCCCTATCAACTTTACATTTTTATTTTAATGGAAGATATTAAGTTTATCCACCCAACTTTGGAAGGTCTGACAATGGGGCCCTGTTGGGGTGGGGTGGTAATTTGGACTTGAGATATTATTGAAAATCCCGTTTCAAAATTCTTTTACCGGTATACTCCAAATTTATGCATGTAATTCATAATTCGTAGTCGGGTCGTTTTTATTTATTTTGACTTGGTTATTGTTTTTTCCCTTAGACCAGCTATTCCAGATGTACTCAGACTGGTTATCTGGGTGCTCGATTTTATTTGAAAGTCTATGTGGTTGGTTTGACGGGGAAATTGGGCACTTACTGAAAAATAAAAATAGAGACATCTGGGGAAGCAGGTGACTGAGGCTGCTTAAAGACTGTTGAATGAAGGCTGTAAGGTTCTTTGGGTATCTTACCCATTTACACCCTTATGATATATGTGCATGACGATTATGTTGCCTTTTAATGGAAAAGATAAAAGCAGGAGTGAATAGCTACTGGTCGTATATTAGATGATGAACAAGTTTGTTACACTAGATATTTTAATTTCATTGTTATTTTATTTTTGTACATTATCGCAGTGGTTTTTTTTTTTTGGCTTTTGATTGTCAAAATATTTTATTCCTTATAAGATAAAAAATTATTCCTCTTTATGATGTGTGGTCCATTGATTTCCATTGATTTGCAGAGCTCAAATCCACCTTTCACCTCAGTCGAGTTGGATCACAGTGATTCTGGAAGGGAGGGATGCACTGTAACTACTCTTACTATTACTGCCGAACCCAAGAATTGGCAGAATGCCATAAAAGTTGCTGTTCAGGAGGTTTGCCTCTTGAGCTTTTATACCCTTTGATGCTACCTGATTTTTCCATATTTTTTTATCTTATAGCTAGCTAAAGATGCTACAGAGAACATTATGTATAGAGCAACACTTTTCAATATAATTAATTTTACTGAAGCTTGATAAACTGCTTTCTTGCTTTTAGTTCTATGGACGTGCATTTCTTCTCTTTGTTAGTCCATTCTGAAGAAGTACTGTGTCCTATGCAACAAACTTGTTTATGTAACCTCGGGAAAAAATATACTTTGTACATAATGTTTCTGTTTTGCTGGGACATTTTGTCAACTACAGTGAATCTTTTTAATCTTCTGTTTTTCGGTAGTCTGAAAGGAGTTTCTGTTATAGTCTCAAGGGGAGAAATTAGACATCTGACTGTAATCTGTCTTAATAGGTGCATATAATATTGAACTGTTTTCTACATGCCTTATATCTTCGCATGTGGGAGTAACTTCCTGTCCTTGTTGAATTCTTTCTCCTTGGTCATTTGTTTCTCATTGTTTACCCTGTTCCATACCTCTATTCACTATCCTGTAATTTATGGTATTTTTTTACTACATCTGCCAATATTCCTTAGTCTCAACTTCGAATTGATCGATGCAAATATTTAGTATATCATCTTCTTTGATATTATTCATTATGCCTTTTCTTGTGTGCTCAACATTTCAATTTATCTCATAGTAGATACATTTGAGAGTCTTTCATACCTTGAGACACTTTTCCAGGACCATCCATAAGGCACCCTCATGTAGAGATGTTACAGGGATATTGGTTTTTTCATTGTCTTTTGTCCTTTCATTTGGAATGATAATGCACAAAGCACATAAAATGATAAATAAGTGGTTCTTCTATAAGTTTTGAGTTCAATTTATTGCGTAACAGAAAGGTCCATTCGCTTTGTTATGAGATTAATTGCTTTGGTATAACTACTGAGATTTATCTTATGATGCAGGTCCGTAGGCTTAAAGAGTTTGGTGTGACAAAGGGAGAATTGGCTCGATATATGGATGCACTGTTGAAGGACAGTGAACAATTAGCTGCAATGATTGACAGTGTACCCTCTGTTGATAATCTGGATTTTATCATGGAGAGTGATGCTCTAGGTCATACCGTAATGGATCAATGGCAGGGGCATGAAAGTTTGGTTGCAGTTACTGAAACAGTGGCACTTGAAGAAGTATGGCTTCCTGCTTGCTTAAAATTTTATTGTGGTGCAGTTTTCAGACAGGCCTTTTTTCTTTTCTCAGTTTTCCAATGACTTTTCTGGTTTCGCTTTTGTTAACTAATGTCTGGAACATGGGCTGTTTTTTGTAGTGCGTTACTACTTTTCCGCTAAAGTTTTACTCTTCTAATGTAACATCTTATATGGGATTGTACCCGTTCGAGGGATTTTATCTGTGCCACTTTATTAGGATTGAGCTTGTTCTATTTCAGGTTAATTCTACTGGAGCAAAGATCCTGGAATTCATCTCTGATTTTGGGAAGCCTACTGCTCCCCTTCCTGCTGCAATTGTAGCATGTGTTCCAAAGACCGTACACATTGATGGGCTGGGAGAAGCTGACTTTAAGATATACCCTCATGAAATAACTGATGCTATAAAGGCAGGCTTGGAGGAGCCCATAGAAGCTGAACCAGAGGTCTCATGTCTAGACATTATCTGACAGCCTCGCCCTTATTATTTCATAACATATTTTTACTGAACTCTTTCCTTTGAATTATATGGTCAGCATTATTCCTTTACCTTGATTGTGATCCTTTGTTGTCTTGAATTTTGGGTGCCGAGTTAACAAAAAAATAATTTTTTTTATTCACACTTGTATTTCCTTGGAATATGTAACTATGTTAGAGTTCAGAAATATCTTTAATGTTGTATTTCCTACCTTCATGAAGTCACATGCAGTGGAAAATAGTACCACTTTTAGTAATTAACGATGCAGATAAGCAGAATTCTTCAATACGTTATACTTTCCAAGTGGTTTGTGCCTTGGATTTACTCTGATCTTAATATTCTTGTTTTCCCATGGTTGAATGTTGGTGGACGAACTTATTTGCGATTACAAAAGGATTATGTCTCTATTGTCAAGATTTTTCTAATTTATGAACAATATGGCCATATTTTGTTGGCTCATGGATGGAGAAGCAGCCAGTAAGTTTCAATAATGCTCAACATATGGCCTACAATTGGTGGCCATCCAGGCCAAATTTGAAAAGAGGACTTTCATTCTTCATGAATGGGTATGAGTGACTACGAGGACACTTCCTCAGTAGTCAGAAGTTGTGCATTTAAGCTCAGTGATATAAATTCCATGACATTGAAAGGAACCTATGCATTTGCTCAATTGAGTCCCAATATCTTGCTTGATTGGTTATCAGTTCGTATTTTTAGGTCATTCCATTTTCGTACTCATGAAATAGATGTTGAGGTGATGAGCAATGTTATCTTTCTGAACTTCTTTCTGTTAATGGCGAGGAGATATACATTGATAAAACGTACATTGTGACGAATGGAATCTTTTTTACTGATATATTTTGGTAATTACGTTAACTGATTAATCTGCCTCTGGCATTTTTATCACGCCTTGGCTTTATGTACTTTTTGAACACAATTTCCTTGTAATATTTTTTTCCACGTGGGATGGATGAAAACTTTTTAAATGCCTTTTGTAACTTCATTTTATTTTCCAATATTTTTCCTATGAATAAATACTCATCTACGTATTGTCAGTTCTATGAACATGCAGGATTCTCAAGATCCCATTTTCATTAAAAGCATTTATAACGACATAGAGGTTCCGAAAATCATCTTGAAAACAATCCTCGCTATCTTGTTTGAAGGAGATGTGCTCTGGTTGCATAACACAACATGAGCAGCTTAATTTTCTACACTGTTGCTGATTTCATCTGTTTCGTATCTGTAGCTGGAGGTCCCAAAAGAATTGATATCGTCATTTCAACTGGAGGAGCTGAAGTCAAAGTGCGAACCATCTTTCATTTCATTAAATCAAGAATTGAGTGCTACAAAAATATTTGATCAAGAAACTGGCATCACTCAGCGTCGCCTTTCAAATGGGATACCAGTAAACTACAAGGTAATTCTTACTCTTTTCTTAGGCTAGGTGCTTTACTTACCAGTGTGAACGGTCGATGGATAAGTTCATCTAGAGCTTTACTGGATTTATAGATTGTTTTACGGTCACCCTTAACATTCTTTGGTTTGAGAAGGGGGTTCATGCTGTCATCTGTTTCAGTATATTTGACTCTACATTGGCTGATCATCTTCCCTCTTAAGTAATGATGATAGCATCCAGTCTAAAAGGATTACTATGGGTACAACCAAACGTACAGATAGGGTTAATAGAACATGTGAACAGGAGAATACTTTTTCTGTGATAGAAATTCTTAAAAGAACTTTTGCAACAATCGTTTTGAATGTAACTCGTTTTTAGTAGAGGGTCAGGTTGTCGTCTTAAATTTCCATAAATATATTTTCCCTTCCGTGCATTTTTGAAAAAGGTTTGTACCCGTTTTCCATGTTGAAGTAGATATAAATGAAGCCATGTATTTCTCAAAATGGAAAAATGTCGAGGTGATCATAATGGCAAGGTTTTCCATGTCTCTTTACCTGATTCTAGTTTGGTAGATCTATTAGTGAGAAAATTTCATAAACTATAAGATTTTTTGTTGGATTAGCTCTCTAGCACTGTTCACATTCAAAAAAGAAATGAAAGATTGAAAGAAACAAAGTCAATGTCACACAACCTACTGATTTGTCATTCAGTTGTGGTTTTTGTTTCATATGTGCTTTGGCTTAAACGTAATCTTACTGTCTTGGTCATACTGTTTGGTACGGTATACACAGCTATCTCGTTCTCACTATCGTCCATGACAAAATTAGATGGGAAGAGACATTGAATTTCCTGTCATCCAGCAAACCGTGCAAAATTTGGGTTTCACTTCATCACGGGTTTGTGGCACATGTGTCCTGTGGAAACATGTTAAGTCTAGACGCGGACATGAAATGTTTTAGCGGACATAGATATACATATGCCTATTGATATGCATCATCTAATTGCTATTTGAAAATAGATTTAGTTATACTATGCCAAGGATTTGTGTTCAAGATGTTTGCTAATGCATGTTTAATCGAGATATTTTTCACTGTAAGTCATAATTTTGGGAAGCATGTTATCACAATTCCGGTAATAAACACGGTGTTGCTTTGAACGGAAAAGAGTGGGGACATTTTATAGGTTCTAAATGTTTTCATGTTAACATGCTTACGTTTTAATAGTCACTCAGTTCGTTGTGTCATGATTATTTTTAATACATGATTTTGAACTAAATTACTTAATTTGATTTTGCTATCTCCGACCGATTTGTTTCTCTTTCTTTTTCCTTTCTGGTCTCTCATGAACATGGTGTCAGCCTCTCTTGAAATGAAATATTGTAGGACGTCTTTGTATTTCTTTGCTAATTCAAGTGGATTTCATGGGTTTATACTTGTTACTAATGCCTGTTGCATGCCTACGGATCCACATGGCCTTTTGTGGGATTCTTCTTTATGTTCTTGTTTGGGGTCACTAAATAGAGTGGTGGATCTGTAGTCTGTTATAAGGTGCAGCAATGCTTTTTCTTTTTTCTTGATAAAAAAGTTGGGAATCACTCAGTTTGAAATGTAATATCTGTATAACTTCAAATCTTCGTGTATCTTTTCTTCAGTTATCCTCTATGGGAACTTATATCCTTTAATGGACTTCATTTTATTTCGTATTGGTTGAATTTACTCAACAGTCCAATTGTGTGCTTTTATGTTCCATTCTCTTTTCAGTGTACTTAAAAATTGGCATCAATACAGATCACAAAGAATGAAGCCAAGGGTGGTGTCATGCGGCTAATTGTGGGCGGTGGAAGAGCAGCTGAAACCTCTGATTACAAGGGTGCAGTTGTTGTCGGTGTGAGAACTCTGAGTGAGGGTGGGCGGGTTGGCAACTTTTCAAGGGAACAGGTACACCAATATCCATTTAGCATTTATGCTGTCTACTGAACAATTTCCTAAAGCATTCCTTTTTCAATATAAAACTATTATGTTTCATTGTTGAAGAATCTTGAGTCACAACTGTCTTGTTCACCATGTGTTTTTTATCCACATAAGGTATGGTTATGTCTTGTGATCATTACTTCCATTTTCTTCCCTCTTACATGAAGGTAGTTTTTGTTCCGTCCTCTCTTGGATCATTAATATTGTTCTTTGCGGTTTTTGTCATTTGGAGTTCTGATAACTATAAGAGATGGGTTGTTTAACATATAGTTGAGAAGTTCGCTTCAAACATGTAATGCTTAGCTTTCGGATCTCTTTTATCAAAAAATATAATTCTGTTTGAGTTCAGTAAAAGCCACATTTTTACTGAACGACAGTGCATTAAGACAGATCATTAGGATGATTGACTGCAGCTAGTGGGGGACAAAGTACCAGTTAAAGTGGAACCTATGATTGACCTTTGGAGTACATTTTCCCCTTGTGCACTGAGCCAACTCGAAGTTGTTTGTATATTCTAGCATCGTGGTTGTAAATGATGAACATATACTTCTTTTATATAAATCTGTAAAAGTAAATCAGATAAATACTTTTCCATAGGTTTTTTTTGTGCCATTTTTAATTGGATGTGAACCTTTGGATATCAACTCTCACTGCAAAAGCACTACTTAAATTCGAAATGCTTTTGATGTACTTATTTCTTGTTCAGTGTCGTGGATGGTTCGCTTATTTGTGATACTCTCTTTTTGTGGCATTGCTTTCTTGTATAACCACATTCTGTGAAGAGTTGTTCTGTTTCCCTTCTGATCGTGAAATTGGTCAAGCAGCTTGTATTTATTTTCACTTTATTTTTCTTTTGAGAATACAGCTAGGCAAATTTGAGAAGATACTGACTCATTTTGATCCACTGCAGGTAGAGCTTTTCTGTGTTAATCATCTGATAAATTGCTCCTTGGAGTCAACAGAGGAATGCATCTGCATGGAATTTCGGTTTACTTTAAGAGACGGTGGGATGCGTGCTGCTTTTCAATTACTTCATATGGTTCTTGAGGTATGACCTTTTAATAACTCACGCTTTTCTTTAATTGGTATCTATCCAGACGAAGTGTTACTGAAGTGATTTTCATGTATCTTTCCATTTAATGCAGTATGCCAAGTTCCCTTACTGAAATGTCTTAGATGTACATACTTGGTATTGATTATTAATCCGTTTTCAGGTTTGTAATTGATAAATAAAAGTAACGCATGGATTCAACAATTTTCCTGAAACCATTTTTTCTATTCAAGAATTTTTTCAGTATATTTCTTAGAACACTTTGCTCTCCTCTCTATTGTGTTTATGACTTTAGCTTGATATTATGCCCAATCTGGCCCTAGAGATTCGACTATTATTATTTTTGATTGCAAGATTTGTATTGTTATCTTCTACAATTGGTTTTAAGTTTATGATTGTTGGTGGAATGCAGCACAGCGTATGGTTGGAAGATGCGTTTGAGAGAGCAAGGCAGCTGTACGTGTCATATTACCGTTCCATTCCAAAGAGCTTGGAACGTTCTACAGCACATAAACTCATGTTAGCAATGCTAAGTGGTGATGAGAGGTTTGTCGAACCAACACCACAATCATTGCAGAGATTATCACTACAAACAGTTAAAGATGCAGTGATGAATCAGTTTACTGGAGGCAATATGGAGGTCTGTTAGAGTACTTCTGACGTTAAGACAAAAGACACAAGTTGATATGAATATCCATCATGTGTTAGAGTCCATGTACTATGCTCTTTATGTTGCTTTGAAGCCTGCATGTAAGTTTCATGTATTTAATGTTATCACTGAGAGTTTTGATTTCATTTCACGTTAGGTGAGCGTCGTTGGGGATTTCACGGAGGATGAGATTGAATCTTGTATTCTTGATTATCTGGGGACAGTGAGGGTGACAGAAAATGCTGCCAGTGTACTTGGTGTCCATCCAATTACATTTCGATCGTCTGCATCTGATCTTCATTTTCAGCAGGTACAATCTATTTCTATATTGTACCGATCCATTCTTTACCTTCTATGTGTTTTTTCTCCCCTACGAACTGTGTACACTGTTGAGTATTGATGTATTTTTTAAAAGATGAACTCCTGAGAGGATTGTATATTTGTCACCACAGATCCTAACACAGTTTATTTGCTAAAAGTTGCCAACTCGAGATGCTGTACTGCTCTTTCTTGTTCATTGTTGAAGGAAATTGGCTCTTCTTGTCCTAGGTGAAGGAACGTCTGTAATCCTATACAGGACAGCCATCAATTGGAATATTTGTGCAATTGGATTTCATCTTAGTATTTGGGATGGAAGTTCACTGGAAAGTGCTATCTTCCGAGTAGATTCAATAGCATCCAGTAGATGCCGAGACACTAAAATAGGCCTTTTTCTCAGCGAAGAGAACTTATTCTAGATGTACTTCGGGTACCATAGTTTGTGCCCCTCAATAATGAATTCTATGTCCCTTGATGCATAATGGATAATATTTGAAACGGAAATATTGTGAAAAGTGTATTTGTATCATCAAAGGAGGGAGGAAATGAACAGTGATGAATCAGAATTTTGGAGGTGGAGGGTGACATGAGATAAAAGATACAATAAACTAATGTTGGTTTGTTCGTCTTCTGGAGTGTGTTATCAAACCACACAATTCATTTTTCAAACTTGTAATTAGCATGAAACATAATAGAGGATGCCAAATGAGACTGCGAAAGATGGATTGACACTCTTGGACTGCACGAAAATGATAAACATATGAAAATTATAGTTGGTGGGAGATGATTTCTCGATTGATTAGACTTGGGCCGGACGGAAAGTAGACTAGCGAGAAAAAAGATTTTATTAATCATTTATTGTAGTAGTTCAGTATTTAGTGGACCTACTTTCGAGAGAAAAAAGACAACCTTTGAGGTTGTATCCCGGGTATAGCTTCTATATTTTCGAGAGCATGAAGTAGAACCTCTGAATTCTTATAATGCCGTTAAAGCACATAGGGAGCTAAGTTTTTTGGAAATTGGATCTAATAGGACTTCAGAATCCTTAACGCACGCCAAAGACAAAAGCGTCCTACACAGACTTAATGAAGCATGCAAGTTCTGATGGGCTTTGATGACTTCCCACATGTTTTCCGTTGTAGTGCAAAACCATTTGACTGCAACAAATGCAAGATAATTCAATAAGAAATCTCTACGGTTTTATTTTTTTTTCCTTTTTAGTGTTGTTTTGTGTGCATGTATGCGAGGTGCCAGTAGAATTGCATGTTGTACCTTTAATATTTATGTCCATGTGTGGTAGTGTAATTGTCATAACTGCTCCAAAAGATTGGTTGTGCATTGATCATCGTTCCAAGATCGTTTGAAAACAGCAGAAAATCATATTCCTCAAGATTTTGTCCATTAATAGGTATTCTTGAAGGATACCGATGAGAGAGCATGTGCATATATAGCAGGCCCTGCACCAAATCGGTGGGGATTCACTGCTGACGGGAAAGATATGTTTGAGTCTATCAGCAATGGCTCAGTTGTAACTGGTAAACTCCAATCTTTTTTAACTTTGATAAATACATGCTGTTTTAGAATGCTATTTTCTTGTACTGAGATTTATTGTTACGGAATGGTATATGTGCATTTTTCAGATCTCTGCTTAACGTAAAAGTTAAGATTATATTTACAATATGTACTAAATATTTATTTATTTATAGGTCATCTATCAAGTACCTTGGTGATTTTATGTTATGGTTGTTCATGCGGTCTATGTGCTAGTTGGCATCATTGAACGGCCGGGGTACACTATCATCAGCATGCTCTCTCGTTCATGTTTTTCCTTCGATACTATGCCATTGAGATCTCTTCTTCCCCTTTCTCTATAGAGGGTAGCCTGCTATCCTGTTATGTTTGCCCACTAGCACCAATTACATATTGGCTACTGGTAACTTTCTATTGGGTACCAATTGAATGTCTGTGGTATAATCTTCTAAAGACAATCATGCTTGGGGTTTTGTACGTCTGAGTAGTCCTTTCCCATGAAGCCTGGAGGTTTAATTCATATCTATTTGTAAAGGTAAAATCGACAAGTGTCATGAACACGAATATTATATTCAAGAGGTTTCACTTTTCGTTTCATCATCTTCCCACCAATGTGACTTTCAGCAGGTTGCACTTGCATATTTGCAAAATATCAGGCCAAACACGAAGTTGATTATTCTAGAATTCCGCCAGACTTCAGCTGGGATGGTGTTCTATTATCATGATAATCTGCAAACTTAGCTTCTTATTCAGCTGCATTTCCAGTCAGAGGGGAGGGGAACTGATGCCCAGAGACAGTCTCTTGTAACACTTTGTTCATTTCAAGTCTCAACAGGGCACATTTGTTCATTTTAAGTCTCAACAGGGCCCATTTCCCTGTCGAATGCCAATTTTACTACTGTTTCAACTAGTTAAACGGTGCATTGTAATACCGCTGGAATTATCCTATTATCTGTGCAGTATTTACTATGATGTTGAGACATCCACATATGTATCTGGTAGCTCTGTGATATCGTTGATAAGTAAGTTATTACATATCTCTCAACAGAAAGGAGGAAACTATTGTTTTGTTGCTAGCAACTTGATTCATTGAATCCATGAATTCTGTTGATTCGTGTTCTTATTTGATAGATTGCTATCTTTCAAAACTGGCATCCTAATTTATCATCCACACAAAGGAAAGAAAATGCAGCTTCAAATTTTTCTTATATTTTATTAAGACTTTGACAATCTGGTATAATTTTCAGAAGTAGTACCAATTTATTAGCTAGATTGAAACCGACACACAATTTCTGTGCAGATGATCAATCAACTTCTGGGGAGTCCCCTACACTGGAATGGAAAAATGTAAACAGCGGCCTTCAAAGAAATATTCGGTCTCATCCTCTATTTTTTGCTGTCACACTGGGGCTTCTGGCTGAGATAATAAATTCCAGGTGAAATTGCTTAGTATTGAACTACATTATCTGCCCATAGTATCATTTTTCACTTTTCTGAGGTGACAGCAATGTTTTAGATAATGAAAAATGAAAATTATATTTATATATGGAGATGGCAACTGATGGTCATTTGGTAACAACTTTACCTTAGATATGCCGTGTGTGGATTGTCACCTGTGGCTTATCTTGTCCTGACTTCTGCAGACATTGTGGATGGTCGATTTATCAGTGACAAATGAATTTAGGTAGATTTGAATGGACGAGATACTGAGAGGACATCATTGGGATATCATCTCAGATGTGGGCAGGAATGCACGGATCACCTAGATATAGTCCATGTTTTCCTTTTTTTAACTTAACGTTCGGGATTCCTGGACCTGTTGGGACTTTTGAAATCGTTCTTCGCGAGCATGTGGATGCATTTAATTTAGTGGGATTAGTTAGTACTAATCCATTTTTCTCCTTTTCTATCAGTTTGTGTTTCAAGAATAAGAGAATTAGGCCATATTACAACTAAAATCATGAATACAATGTCAAAAGTGGCAACTGACTCATTTAACGCGGGAGGGATATAATGCTTATGAAATTAGTATCCCAGGTTTCTTCTGAGATTTATACTGGTGATGTTCAAAAGGGGCCACTTGAACTGCCAATAATGTTTATTTGGTTGGTAAGGTGTACCCATTGAGGGGGCTTCTATCCTCCAAGTCGGCTATAGCTACATGGGACTTATATTGAACCTTTGACACATCCCATGGGACAAGGGCCGGCAAAATATGCAGGCACCATGAAATGGGTCATGAATGATCATTCAGTTGAGGAAAATTGTGATATGCCTTTGTAGAGGCATGTCAGATGAACTGGGAGATGGATGTGGATTATTAGAAGAGGAAGCATCTAGTGACGGACATTTTGCTTTAACAAGAGGGGTAATTGGATAGGATGAATGGGCCATCACTAGCTGCATCAGCCTGAGGAGAGAAACCAGGACATGAAAGAAACGCAAATCTTGTTGAAGAGAATGTTTCGCGGCCTCTTGTCTGCACAGAAGTGAGCTTGTTGTCCGCATTGGTTACAAGCCAGGAAAACAGAAGCGAAAAAACAATGCAGCAAAAGTATGCTTGATCGGTCATAAATAATAATCTATGACTGCATCGAACAATTGTTGATTTGACTAATGTGCATAGCTGAAGAACAGAGAGACAGACATAGACAAACACTAACTCAATTGGAGCTGGAAGCTAATTGAGCATGGTATTTAAGGCCAAATCATGTTAAATCATTCTGGATCATTTTTATTTATTTTATTCTAAAAATATGTCCTAGCTCCTTAAAGTATTCGCAATATGCAAATATGTACCTTTATTTTTTCTGATGTGAAACTGAGATCGTATGTCTGTCTCAGTGGGTTCCATTGGATTGGACGTCCATGCAGACAGATGCCAGACTACGCCTTATCATTTATAATGGTCTTCTAGCTTGGTTAACATTGGCATAGGCAAACTTTTAGTAATTGTGACCAACTACTAGCCTTTGCAGCTTCGACTATCGTGCCATGCCAAAGGGCTTTTATTCTTAGCTTTTGTTGGATGAACGTACGCCAAAAGATGTGAATATTTATGACAGGCTAATGAAAAACTTGTGTTGCATTATTCAGGTTATCACCCAAGAAATTGCTTAGGATTCAAGTTTGTCTTGTTTCCTAGGTTCATCATGTTGGCTGATGGAACAACTGTCATTAGCCTCGGTTAGGGTTATACAATTCATTTAAACTAGTCCCCATGTAAAACGTGTCAAAGACTTCTGTCGTTAAATTGAAAGAAGGGATAAGCATATATTGGTGCAACTAAGAAATATGTAATAAATAGAATGAGAATAGGTCATCACTGTTTCCCACTATCCACATTCTTTCAGCGGCATCTTGAGCCTCTACCTTCATTTTCTCTTGCAGGCGAAAGTTCTAGGTTACAGAACTGATTATCAGCCCAGGTAGGGCCCATCGGCATTTAACTCGTTCATCCACTTCCCTATTCTTGGAAGATGGTTCTTTCTTTGCCATCTGACACATCTCTATTGTTGAAATGATTTTGATTTACAGTATCTTGGGATTATAAAAGTTCCTTTCCAGTAACTCATCAAGTCTTAATTTTTCTGTCATCACTATTTGTAGACTTATTGATCTTGTTACTTGCCGCACCAGTTACTTCATTTGCAGTCTCAATAATTCACATAAAGCTTATTAGAAGGAATATCATTCTAGTGGGGGATACTGAAGTCATCATTTTTTCAGCTCATTCCTTGTGTGTCGTTATTCTTAATCATGCTCACATAATGTTCACTTTGCCATTTAGTTGATTCACATCTGATTTACTGTTCAAATCAGGTACCATTGCTATTTTGGCCATTTAGTGCAAGTCTCATGTGAAAGATGCAATGCTTTGTGAAAACTGAAAGATCATTTCAGTCTGTCTGTTGCCATCATGCTCTTCTTGATCTAAGCTGAAGTATTCCTTGTCTCGCACACAGCACTCCTAGTATCTTACCTCTGTTTCTTGCCATCATTCTCATTTATTATTATTTGCGGGTCTCTCATTTTCCGGTTCAATTCCAAAAACAAGCTTGATTATATGGGGGTGTTTCTGCCTACCAAATTCCTCTAAAAGACCTGGAATCACCAACCCGTAAACGCAATGATACATTTTAAATACACTTCAAATTGATGAAAGATAAAGTCTGCCATTGAGGATGAGGCTTTATGAGGCAAGTAACTCAGTTTTTAGTTTAAAATATCATGAAAGGGATGTATATGTGCACTTTTCTCTTAAGAAAAAATCCCTTAAAAGAGTAGTGACTAACACAAAAGATAATAGTTTTCCTATTGTATAATACTTTTGGTTGATAAATGTTCGGCCTTAGGCATGCTTCTTCTTTTTCCAGTTTCTAAAACATGATTTAGTCACTGTTCTTTCTGATACCAAAACTCCGATCCTCTTTGATTTTACAAAATAAATAACGTCACAAGGCCCAGGCTGCTAGTTTATATGCTTATATGCTCCACTAATTTACCTGCCCTTTTACCATCTTGTGTGCCCTATAGAACGCCTCCAGAAAATCGGCTGAGAGTAATAGATCAACACAATATATTTGGTCCTCCAGCCATACAACCCTTGGTCAGGTATGTGTGCGTAGAGGCACCCCTATCTGTCGAAATGCTAAAGAAGTTATCACTTCTGCATAGACTGCAAACTCAAGCATAAACGTCTGAGTGGAAAAAGAGATAAGGTTAGTCTAGCTTCTGTTCTTGCTTACGCCAAACTTGTCCCTGATACCTGTATTTGCATGCATCTGAAGATGTTAGCACAGTTCAGGTCCGACTCTCACTCCTTTAATCCTTAACCAAACCGTCACCAGGTCTCATGGGGTTTTCGTTGTCTTAAACTGATCATGATCTTCATTTGTACGTGGTTTAGCATGATATAAGTAAAACATTTCCGTGACCTGTAGGCGGGGATGGAGAAGAGATGAAAAAGGGAAAGATCAACATGCTCATAATGCACACCTTTATGTGGTTCAGATTACCCTGCTTTGATGGCCGCAATGAGCCCAGTATGTAGAGAAAGAGTTGGTTTATATAAGAGATGAGCTAACTAAATATGAGGATGATAGGGCAAGATATCCTGGCTAGCTTAGTGCCTTGGAAAACAGACTCCATAGTCAACATATCCCCCTGAATTGGAGCTCTAACATCTGCTTTTGCCGATGGCTAAGTCACGATCAACATCTGTCCTGCCAGACATTCAACTGGTGTCAACCTTGTTTCTGCTTTGGAGTTTCCTGGCGGGCATCCTATTCCTGTCCTGGGTCCTGAAGATTGATGAACATGGAATAAATTTCAAAACATCTAAGTAGGGAAACTTATATCCATGATTAAACAGTTCAAAGCAGTGGACGCTTCGAAACATGAAAAAGGCAGCGTTTCCCTACCTTGATAGTTTCACGTGTCAATTGACTGTCTCACGCTCTTCTATTGACATCCATGGAAGTGGTAAGATCCTATATAGACTCGCATGATAATCTCTTGTGAGGTTACCCTTGTTGCCTAATTTTCCTTGTTACCAGTGGAGTTTTGAAATTTACTTCAGCTGTGACATGACCCCTTAGCCAAGAGAGGAGCTTTCTGTCTGGAATGACCAATGTAAATTAGGCTCTTGTGTAATTCCCGCAAATAAATGCTAAAAGCTGTGTACTCTCTTGCATTCACAGACGCTAAATTAAGGATCCCAAAATAAAACCAGAAGGGTTCTTGGTTTGGAGACCCACCCAGGTTGTCATGAAAACTTGTGCGGTGGAAACTGGAGCATGCTTTTTTTTTTTGGGTTCTTCTTGTCATTCTGTAGACGTCTGTCTTTACGCAACTTACTACCTACAGCTACCTGTCAAAGTTTAGCCACTTTATTTAGATTGTTCTTCACTGCTGTCTGTGTAGATTCTGTGATTATTTCTTTTCTTGTTGTGCCTTGTAGCAGGATGCTTGCATGTTTTCCCCTCATTTTTCTTCGGTTAATCTGTGATTATGTGAAAATAAAAATTCCAATTTATTACCAGTTTCATGATGTTGATTCTATGTTAGTGTGAATTATCCTCCAAAGCCATTGTAAATCTGAATGTGCCATGGGAATTTCTTGTTCAAAACACAGACTCTTCACCACAGTCAGGGATTCGTTAGGTTTGACATACGATGTGTCCTTTGAACTGAGCCTATTTGATAGGCTTGATCTTGGGTGGTATGTGGTCTCAGTTACCTCTACTCCAAGCAAGGTATGGTTGCAAGTGCATAATCCATTGTTGTCTGGTATCTACCATTAATGTTTTAATGTCGTCCTTGCTTTGATCCTACTGAAGGTTAACAAGGCTGTAGATGCATGCAAGGGTGTTCTCAGAGGTTTACCGAGCAACAAAGTTTCCCAGCGGGAACTTGATCGGGTAACTACTCCCTCCCTCCACCATCATCCCCCCTGAAAAATGAAGAAGAGTATGCAAAAATGGCCCTGGGAAGCATGCATCCGAATATTTCATGCATATGCATCAGTTGGAACCAGATTCCAGTAGCTCTTGGCCCGGCTTTTCAGTTTGCAGTTTAGATCGTTGCATACTGATTTATTAACTGCATTTTTTGAGGCATTTTGAAGGAAAATCTTTTTCAATCTGGTGCTTGCTTGCGTATTATTTTAGCGACACTTGCATATATAATCCCATCAGTTTATTAGGAATCATGGTGAACTTGAGTCATAATGTCCTCAAAGCCGATCCTTGTTCTTATCCCTTCTATTTCCTTTGAATACTAACAGGCCAAAAGGACTCTTCTGATGAGACATGAAGCCGAAACCAAGTCCAATCCTTACTGGTTGGGATTACTGGCGCATTTGCAAGCTTCTTCTGTTCCAAGAAAGGTGAAAAGGGTCGACATCTTGTTGATTATTCTTCTACGCCCTCCCTTGTTATGTATGAATTCACCCCAAATTTTAGGGCATACTTTTATTTTCTAAGAACAGCTGGGGGTAGCCGTCGATTTTCCCTCTAAGCTGAGAGATTCAGTTATGTAGACCTTCCTACCGCAGTTTCGTTCTTAGGATTTGATACTGTTAAGACTATTTCTTTTTGGATTGTACAACTTGTTCATAACCTATTGACTCTAAAGACGATGGCTCTTGATGGTGTTTTCCTTTTGTGTATGGAATTTAGGACATCTCGTGCATCAAAGACTTGATTTTTCTATACGAAGCCGCCACCGTTGACGATATACACGTCGCCTACGAGACTTTGAAGGTTGACGAGGAATCTTTGTTTGCTTGTGTCGGAGTTGCCGGGAACCGAGGCGAAGAGGTTGCCGGTAAGATGTCCATGCAAGCAGCCTAACTAAAGTAAATCTAAATTTGGGAATCTTTGTGACGGCATGATGATGAATGGGATGCCCATTTCTAAGTTGGGATCGTTTAGTGTCCACTCACCCTGACATCTAATGCTTCTACCTGTGGTAGCGGCTGCTGAAGAGGAGGAAGCAGAGATGGGGCAACATGGGATGATCCCAGTTGGGCGTGGGCTGTCGACAATGACACGACCCACAACATGAGCTCCACACAACATGCAGGAATTTGTGCCCCACACCCACGCTGACCACCAACCAGTTCATCAGATCAGTGCCCGCCCAAATGGATCTCCCTTCTACTTCCTGCCCGGTTTTATCATTCCCATTGGTGCATGCTTCAAGATTAGCCCGCTGCCCTCCTTAAGAAGGTATTTCTCTGCTCCTCTTCCATTTCCGCTGGCCTCCTGTTATGTTTCCAGTCAACTCTGGAAAGCGAATTCTTATTGACTTTAGTTTTGCCTTTTTGAGGACGTTTAGGACCCACCATCATCCCCTGTGCTGAGATGAGAGGCAATTGCTCCTCTAATTCATACACGCTTTCCTTGTATCCGCATCCGGGCAATCGAGGTCAGCTGTACTCCAGATATCCATATATAATATATATATATCCACCAATCTCACAGACGAAGCCCATGATTCTTTTTTTTCTTTTTTTTTTTCTTGCTAATATTAAGTTGCATTATTTCTTGTCATATTGTCTCAAGCTCACTGTCTGCCCAATATTAAGTTACGCTGGTTTCATGTAATGATCTCAATCTTTCAAGGGAAAACCATGTTGCTCTTTGTTTTACCAACAATGCTGCTGCTGCTGCTGCTTCATACTTAGATGGTACTAAGAAGGGCCCCTCTTTGCTGCTTGATTTAGTGTAGTCATGTGACCGCCTCCAATGGGGTTATGTTTGGAGCAAGTGGTCTGGTGTTCCGAAAAACCTCAGCCAGTCAACCTGGGAACATGGGAGGAGAGATTGTGCACAGAAGTATGCCATGGACATCATTTTCTTTGCGACTGACTTTGCTCGGAAGGGAGAAAGTTCTTGGGCAAATAGTTGAGAGAGAGAGAGAGAGAATGGAGCACCTGGCTGCCCCTGATCATCCTAGGAGTTCCTTGCTAAGCCTAACTAGTAGCACCTTCTCCTTTTTCTTTTCATCTTAATTAATGAAAAAATTAAATCTGACTTTGTGTTATTAATATTATTTACTAGAATAAGTAACAATCATATGGTCTAAATCTCATAGGATCTGGAAGGCCTAATGTGGGGCAAAACGAGATATGGTATGAAAAAATACTCTCAACAATTATTGAAGTAAAGTGAGCCTATGATTGAATAAAATACTCTCAATTGTTGTGACTCTCCCAATGAAATTGGTTCTGAGAAGTCAACCCTTATATCATTTTGCTATATAATTGAAAATTGTGAAGTTATTTTCCTAGTTTGCAGCCAAGCCCAACATGGTTGAGATTAAGATTGTAATCAGGATGCCCCATATTTCTTTAAAAACATTTTTTCTCATGGTGAGATGGTCGAATTTCATTGATTTCCATCAGATCAATTAGATACATGGAAAATGTTTTTATTTTTATTTTTTTATCGGACTCAACTCCTAGAGATTTGCTTTCATAAATATAGATAAGGACACGAGGATCATCCTAAATCTTAGAGGATATAAGAATAACTTGGTGATTATATTTTCTCATTTGATTCGTAAGTAGCCTCTTTACATAAAAGAAAATTCAGGTTTGCTAATTTATCAATTTTACTAAGATTTCATGATTTCTAAGCTTAATAAATCTCTTTCAATTTTCAAACCGTAAACCACAATCTCTGAACATCTCTGAAAAGGGTTTTCATATTTGTTCCAAGAAAGTAGACATTTTCATATTATTATTATTATTTGTAAAAAATGCTCAGGGTTTAAGATACCCACACCAAAGGGCATGATAATTGCCGTTTTACCGAAAAGAAAAAAACTCTTAAGTTGGTATTTTTGGAACGAGGGGAAGATCGTTTGAAAAGCTTTCAACATCTACAATGACGGTGTGCTTCTTCAAAAGTCATACATTTGATAACAATGAATGGGCCCATCCGCTCGTTCCACAGGTACTCTGTCATCTCCTCAGAGTGATAAGGACTTTTCTTCCCCTCCACAGACACCTTGCTGGAGGTGGGCCTTCTCGGAGAAGTCAAACATCATCATTTCTCTCTCTCTCACTTACTCTCTTCTATATCCACCCATATCTTAATTCTTTTAGTGTGGCCAAAAGCTAGCACCGTTCTGAGACAGCACGCGATAAGAGTCGGAAATCGTTCAATGAGTTGATGGGGTGGACTCATCAATAACCCATTTGGTTAGATGAAGAAGTTGACCATGCTAAGGAGCTTAATGCCATTCTTATATTCCCAACTTTCGCCTTCTTGGGTCTTTTATATGATACAAGTCCTTCGTATTTATTATTTTCTGTCATATTTATTCTGGCCTCTCATTTCCTTCATATTTGTTGATTTTTTCTTTAATATTTCACATGAGAGAAGTCCTTCATATTTATTTATTTATTTTGGCTACGGAATGATTAAAAGTCAATACAATAATTTGCCTTCCAGTCTATTTTCTTCTTGCTGAGTTTGCTTCATATGGGGGTGAGAGTCAACTCCACGGGTCAATTTGTTCACCCAAAATAGAAAAATGAACCAGTTGGCTCGCCTTTGACCCCATGTTTTATCGTGGGAAGCAAGGCATTAGAACAGCGATAAGAAGATCATGGCAGTTGACCAAACATCTTACAGTCGTTGAAGTCAGCCATGGGTAAGACAGTAGTTGAAGCTCGGTGCCGTGCTGCAGACAGCCTGGTCAGCTCCTTTCGAGAAATCGGCAGACGAAGATTATTACTAGGTGAGAGGTTGGCTTCAGCTAGCAGCCAGATTGATGCCTTGCAGAGAGCACAGCAGAAAGATGACAAGTTCAGCCATGCGGAGTGCAGTTCATTCTGCCGTGGTGAAATCTCTCTCTCTCCCTTGATCTCTCTCTTTCTCTCACGATAGGTTGCCCGAGGATCTATCTCCCTCTCACTCTCTCTCACGAGAGGTTGCAACCGGATCTCTCTCTCTCTCTCTATCACCCCTGCCTGCACGTCACAACCATCCGCATGAGCACTGCCAGCCACTGCTTTCTCTCTGTCGCTCTCTTCATGATCGTCAAAGAAGGTACGTGGAAAGTTCTCAGAAAAAACGCTGACCCGGCGTCTAGATCTTGACCGTCGTCATACTACGCTGACCAACGACTCTTCTCTTCCGCCTCCGCGTGGCCAGCGCGGAAGAGCCGCGTCTCCCAGACGGCTTCTCACGTCATCATATCCATCCACAAACCAGCGGGCCCCAGCGGGCCTGGGATAGAAGGCACTGGGCTTTACCTGGGCCCGGCCCGAAAGCGCCGCACAGCTGTCCCTCACCACTGCTCAAAAGCTAATAGAGGACCCTTCCTTTCCGGACCCAGGCCCATTACAGGCCCGTTAACCAACCCATCACATTTTTTATTAATTCGGAAATAAATAAATATTCTGTCCGGAATGACTATCTGTAAATAATACGAATATAATCAGACTTTGTACGACGCTTTCGTTTCTTCTCTCTCTCTCTCTCTTCTCTGTTCGAGCCATTTTGTAGCAAGGGATCAGTTGCAGCAGCGCGTGCTGGGGATTCCATTGCGGCGGCGTCCTGTGATCCCTCGGAGGTGATCTCGATCGCGTTGGCTGGTCTTGATCGATCGGTTTTCCGCCGGAGGTAGGTAAACGGTGGGCGATCGAGCGATCAGATTTTGGTGCGGAAAGAAGACGTCAAATTGAGTCAAAGCGGAAGGGCGGATTGCGGAAGGGAGGCAGCGGGGTAGGACGAGGAGGCGCTTGTTGCCCGATGGTGAAGGAGACAGAATATTATGATGTGCTCGGGGTCAGGTCCGATGCCACTGAGGCAGAGATCAAGAAGGCGTACTATATTAAGGTCCTTTGCAAAATCTCTTGGTTGCTCTTCCGTTTGCTTTTTTCTCGTTTAGGTCGTCCATATGTGACACTTCTCTTATGCTCATGCACAATTGGACATCGCTGATGTACTACTTATTGCTTGTTGAATTGTTCGTATAAATTCGTGGACGAAGATATGTTGCAATCTCCGGCTTACCTATGGTCCTTCTGCGCACTGTTACGTTCCTTCAGACGCCTATTTTTTTCCTTTTTATCAGACACAGAGGCTTTGGTGTGCTGTGGGCGTTAGAGAGAGCTCTAGACGATACCGGCCAATTTTGATTACGATTTTTTTTTACAACCGACTGTGCACCCAGGGGTTTCTAGCAGAGGAAAATGAACCCCATGTTGGGTTTGATCTCTTATTTGCATTGGATCTAAACTTGCTTACACTAGTAAATTATATATGTATGGAAGTATATTTATTTATAAAATATGCAATATTTTCTACATGGATACTTTTAAATATTTTCTACATGGATACTTTTAAATATTTTCAAATATAACGAATATAACATCTACTTACTCATGTTTGAAAAGATATAAATTATGTTTTTGAGAGATTAAATTTTTGTTTAAATTTTAGATCCCTAAACTTACCTGATGCTGACAATTTTAGCTGCCCTTCTTTTTTTTCTTTTTTTTTTCTTTCACTTTGCGATTAATTCACATTGAATTCCGTGGGAAAGGTGAGCGATAGCTGTACAAAATGACAATGTTAAAGATGGGTTACGCATGTTGATCCTGTTGTAAATTTGATATAGTTTTCAATACTATGATCTTTTAAGGTGTATCTTTTCCTCTTTGCAAGTTTGACACGTTTCTCATTCCCTGTTAAAACCATGTTCGTGATATAGGAGAGCTTTACACTGGACCGTAGAAATGTAAACTGTCTTATCCTTATATATATTTGTATAATCAAAATATATGAATTTGTGACTGCACATTATAGAACACACGTGAACGAGTTGTTATAATAGCCTTAGTTGTGCTATTGTGTCATCTTGTTAGTAGGCAAATGTTGTTCGATCGGTGGGATGCCCAAAGCTATCATTACAAAAGGATTATAGGTCATCTGAAGATCATTTGGCTTTATTGGGTAGATATATTTTACGATTGGGAGGTGTTCTTGCATGTCATATATGAATTTTGTTTTTTAAGAAGCACATATTTCTCTTTTAGAAGACTGTAGAGGAGTATTGATACTTTATAGCTTATTTCATCAGGTAGCTTTCTTTCCATCCTTGAGCTGGTTCAGTGTCCTTTGAATGGATTGAAGTGTCTTCTGTTTACTCTTAATAAAGAGTGGGGTAGGTTGGTATAAACATGTAGATTTCTGCATTGTCAGTTTTTTGCTACTCTAGGCGAGGATTCTTCTCCCTACATTTTCATTTTCTAATTTTATAAGGTACATGTAATTTTTTTCTTTGTGAGGAGTGATACGTTTTACTTTTATGCCTAGAGATGGTTTTGCGTGTTGCCCGTAGTCCATGGCGTGGTTCAAGAAATCACAATAAATAGAGCTTTTGTGGTCAAAATCTCTGGGGCGTTTCTGAGACTATGCCGGTTTGCTGTTAAGACCCAAGAGAAAAAGGAAAGAAATGATGTTTCTTGTATGTTCATCTCTCTTTTTTGTGGTAGAACATATTTCATCTCTTCGTTGAAATTGCACTGTTGCATATGGTAAACTTGGTGGTCTCAACTTATCCATTTATTTTTGTTTATATTAGGCAAAGCAAGTACATCCAGACAAAAATCCAAATGATCCGCAAGCTGCACATAAGTTTCAGGTATCATTCAGAGTGAACAGTCTTTATTTGGATGATCAATATCTTCACTGAACTATGATGATGTAACTTGATTATTTTAGAAAAAATCAAATTTACTCAATATCATGTTTTTGAATCACATGTTTCTGTCTACTAAAATATTTTTTTGATTGCTTATAAGGACTATTAGCTTACCGCACTTGCCCTGTGTGTACTTGCTTACTGCAACTTTGTGAGATATGGCATCCAGTTGTCAGATAATTTTTAAATCCTATGATCCAGCCACATTTATGCCTTCTTTTAATTGTTGTTGTCACAGTTCTTTGGGGATGCGTATGCACATCTTCATTTGGATACATAATCATGATCCTTGTCGGATGAAGGTTCAACTTTCATTTTTGATTGAAGATTTCACAATCTGTTAAATGCTTTAAATTTCATAGTAAATATTATCTAATTGGTAAAATCGTTTGAAAACTGTCATCATATTTTCTTGCTTTAAACCATCTACTATGTTCTTATGTGGAGCATTTCACTGCATTAACCAGTATCCTAGGATGAACGAGTTTGTACTGATTCTCAGGCTCAATTTCATTACTGCTATTTTGGTTGGACTGTTTTTTGGGCATGATGCTGAGCAGTTTCTTCAATCCTCATTTTGATGGTATTCCAGCGAGAGAAAGCTTGATGCTTCACATTTGTTCCCAACCATTATTTCTAGTTTTTTGGCTATGTTACTGATGGGTATTTTTTTGTGAACGTGTTTATGTTACAATGTTAATGCTACTAGGAACTTTGGTTCTTGGCTTCATAAGTTGGTTTCTTTCCACAATTGTCAAGTGGAAAGTCTCTTGGTCGTTAACAACTAATCTTGATTTATTCAGAAGTATTGTTGAAAATATGATAGCACCCTTTTCTTTATAGGGCTTAGTGCAATCTCCCTCTCTCTCTCTCTCTCTCTCTCTCTCTCTCTCTCTCTCGTTCTATGGAAACTTAACACTAAACTCTGTCTAATGGAGTGGTATAAGAGTGTATTGATATCAGTCAAGGAAAATGAACTGAAATATTCTACTTCTATGATGTCTAGGCATTATTCGTTGGAACGTGTGTGAAAAGTGGTTCATTTATTTACTTTCAAGAAATTACTTATCTGGGGCTACGCTTGTTTCAGGTTCTAGGGGAGGCTTATCAGGTTCTGAGTAATCCATCACAACGGCAAACATATGACCTCTATGGAAAAATGAGCATATCAAAGTAAGCTTTTGATTTCCTTTTTATTTTTCTTGTTTCATTTCTATGAAAATCCAATTGGAAATAATTTTTTTTTGCGTTTTATGAGCTTTGCGATTAACTCCGAGAGAAAAAAAGAAATGGTATGGGTTTAACAATATTCCATGTGTTGTTTACATTTCAAGAAAAAAGTTTGCTCTTCGATTTTTTGTGTGGTATACCGTGAAATATCACGCATATGCAATATCTATGATGTTTAACCTCTATTATTACTTCACCTGTGCAAAACATCATGTTCTGCCCGTTAGTTGGGTCGTTAATTGCTGATTACATTGGAGTAGCAGCGTGTGGATTGATCATATATGGATCATTACTTTACAATGACTTCCTGCAGTGGATTTCTTTAACATATAAAAGGTTACCTTGAGCCATATATGCAAGTTAGGCAAAATACCTTATTAGAATTTCATCAAGAAGAACATTTAAATGTAACAACTAATGCTAGGAAACACTACCCTTCTTTTGGTTTGAATAATTGCTATTTGTTGAGACAGGGAAACAATTATCGATCCAGCAGCAATTTTCGCCATGCTCTTTGGGAGTGAACTATTTGAAGACTATATAGGGAAGCTTGCTATGGCATCAATGGCATCACTTGATATTTTTCAAGAAGGTGAACAAGTTGATGCCAGAAAACTACAGGAGAGAATGAGGGTATGTATTCATTAAATAGATCACTGTTTACCAGTTCAGTTCTTTCTTGTTTGAATGTTTGTTGATTCATAACTGTCTGCATTATCTTAGTTTTCAAGGGTTCATATGAGCAACGAGACACTGTAGTAGACTAGGGCGTTGAGGCACATAGGTGTGGAAGCTAAGCATATTTTCTTGGTGACTGTAGTCTCCTTGTCCTGTTGGGAACTTTATTGAGCAAAAATAAACGTGAATATATCACTATTAAATTATACATTCATGTGGATATTTTTCGTCATTAAAAGCCATATCCCAATGCAGAAGATGGGCGAATTTCACGTCAAGTCGATGACTGAAATGGGATAGTCTTATATGTAGTTTCATATTGATCTCAATGACAAAGTTTAATCAAATCCGAAAAGTATTCTTCTTAATGTGATAGAGCTTACTAAATATTAAAAGCCGGAACACTGTAGTGAAACTCCTGTAAAGGTTCTTTCCTCTTGAGCGGATCACTTTCTTTGTTTAAAGGTGGTTCTGATAAAATATTAGATTATATATAATTACGGTGTTGGTTGTGTTTCCCATGTGATGAGGTATGATGCTTTTCCTGTTTATGGAAGATGAACCCATAACGTTACAAGCAGTAGATACTTTTATTTTGTAATTCTTATTATATTCAATTATCATTTAAAGATGTGGAAGCTTCTCATTCCACAGCTACTAATGCATTTTTCTCTCATTCATATATCAAGGGTTCTCTTTAGGTCTCATTGCTTAATTGAGAGGCGAATGGTCGTTTTGGCATATTTTGCTTGTTGCACATGCATATGGATATGTATTTTGTTCTAAGAAATGGATAGCTGGTATAGATTGATAAATTTGGCTTCAGGTTTTATGTATTTTGAAAATCCGGACAATGTGCACATGTGTGATTAGAATTTTGAGGGATCTTGTATTTAGGCAGGTATATGAATGGTCCATTTCTTGACTTCCCAGTGGAGGTCTCGAAAGGCCCCATCCATTATTTTATGTATGGACTCTTTTTGGTTGTGGGAGCTTACGAGGATCAAATTTTATGTTGGAGCCCACTTGCTATATTTGGTTTCGTCACTTATAATTTATGACCACAAGTTTTCCCCCACGCTTAAATGAGTCATCCCCGTTGGTTGTTTACTTGGTCCAACCTCACCCTTGCATCTTTCTTCTGTATTGGTGGCCAGGTAAAAACTCGTGTTGTGCGGTTTTCAGTAATATCTTCTATAAGAAAGCGAGTACCAACTTCAGATTCCTCGATTTTCAGGGAAAAAAAAGTCTTTCCCTTGGTCAGTCTGCTGATCAAGTGGGTTTATCTGCTTGCTTGAGCTCATGAGCATGCTAGGACATCCAATAGAGCCGTTTTTCTTCTTTTTAGGTGCCTTATGCTTACTCGAGAACGTAAGAAGCTGCTTTTCATAACCATTTAATCATCAGTACTGGATCTTGGTTTTTTCTGCTATTGCATTTAGAAAATGACTCCGATGTTTCATTTTTCTGCATGGTTTAGTAAGACCACCTGTTTTACTGAGAAGTGAATGAAGATAAACATTTTCTGTGTTTTAGAGGCTTGCTTCAGACGTGTATAGAGATTTTCTACGATTTGCCATTTGTTTGAAGCAGACATTCTTCTTTTGTTCCCCATTTTTTTATTGATGATTCTCCCATTACATCTGTATCAAACGTAGTTTTTCCCTGGTACAGGCTGTTCAGAAGGAAAGGGAGGAGAAACTTGTAGTGTTATTGAAAGATCGTCTCCAGGAGTATGTTCTCGGAAATAAAGATGCCTTTACAAGTCATGCTGTAGCCGACGTTAAAAGGCTCTCTAATGCCGGTATTCCTATAACTTCTATCCCTGTTTATTTTTCAATATGTTACACGTCGCTGTTGTAGATTGAGGTTGATACGAGAAGACATAATGACTGTATAATATTGAATTGCCTGATCCCAGCTCGAGGTTTGATTTATAACCCGATACAAGCTAGATTGCGTGACACTGCAATGATTCACCTGTAGCCGAAAGTTGATAGGTTGAAGAATAGAAATGGTTCAGCAGTGTGATATGTTTGTAATCCCTTCTTGATGAGCCCAAGCAATGCTATGTTGATAGCTCTCGGAGAACTTGTGCACTGAAATGCCGTGTATTCATGTCGTTTAAATTGCGAAAGATGCTTTTAATTCCATAGATCAAAGCATGAAAAAATTGTTAAAATTCCAATTAGCGGGTGTTGAAATCCGTATGTTGCAGGATTATCTTGCCGTCGTATTTCCTCAAAGAAACTAGCGGCTTACCGTTTGTGGTAAATTCTAGGCCAATGATAACAATTTGAGTTCTAAGGGAAGGGAGCCAAACTTTCTCGGAAAATATATCTCTAAAACCGAAACTTGTCTCTGGTTATGGTGACGCATCCTTTCAGCGCCATGGGGAATCCATTGAGGAGTAACGATTGCTGCATGCCAGCGTCCATGGAAGGTGAAATGGATCCTTTTAGAAAGAAGCCAGTGTCCCTGAAAAGGCCCTTGAACCCGCCCCTGCCCTAAAGGGGAAACCCTAATGTCTTTGGAGTTTTTGAAAGCTGATGCATTGCTCTTGTACTTTTCTGGGCCGTCCGAACTTGTCTGATCAAGTCCGTCATCTATATTTTGATCTTGTGTTTGGCACAGCTTTTGGAGTCGACATGTTGAGTACGATCGGGTACATATACGCCAGACAGGCGGCAAAGGAGCTCGGCAAAAAAGTGATCTTTCTGGGTGTGCCGTTTGTGGCCGAGTGGTTCAGAAACAAAGGGCATTTCATCAAATCGCAGTTGACCGCCGCGACAGGTATGAATTATTGTTTCTGTCACTCAGACCTTGCTTGAAATTCCAAGGGCATGCCCGTCAAGCAAGTTGGGTGAATTCCGGATGATGGTGGTCAACCCGGCGGGCTCATGCCCACCCCCGCCGCGTCAAGCAAGTGGGGTGAATTCAAATGATGATGGTCAACCCCCGGGCTCATGCCGCCGGTCAAGCAAGTGGGATGACTTCAAATGATGGTGGTCAACCTGGTGCGCTCATCATGCCATTGTCATCCATGGCAGGTGTCATCGCCCTGATGCAAATCCAGGAGGAGATGAAGCAACAGCTCAGTGATGAGGGCAGGTACACCGAGGAGGAGCTTGAGCAGTACATGGAATCGCACAAGAAGGTGATGGTCGACTCTCTGTGGAAGCTTAATGTCGCCGACATCGAGGCCACCCTCTCTCGCGTCTGTCAGATGGTGAGCCTCCTCTCTCTGCCGTCCGTCGCACTTTTTTTCAGTTTTTTCTCTCTCCTCTGGCTCATCTGGAACCCCCGAGCTTATGGTGGCAGGTTCTCCAAGAGAACAACGTTAAGAGAGAGGAGCTCCGTGCCCGTGCCAAGGCATTGAAAACTCTCGGGAGGATATTTCAGGTGCTCATCTTCTTCATGTTCTTTCTTAATAGCAGCTCCTTAATATTCCTCTCTCTCTCTCTCTCTTCTTTCTCTCTCAAGATGAAGTGAAGTGACCATCTTCTTCTTCTTCTTCTTCTTCTTCTTCTTCTTCTTCTTCAGAGTGTGAAGTCGGGCAATGGAAGTGAGGTCGAGGGTTCACTTCCAGGGACCACCCAGGAGAAGTTGAGTGGAAACAAGACGGGGTCCGACAGGGCTTCTGACGTCTTGCCAGGCCCGCAGGCCCCCCTTGAGGAGCCGCCGTCCCACGAAATCCCTCCCACTTCTGAGGTAGGTGTCATTTTCTCTACAGTTTGATTACCATTGAGATTATGAAACAGTATAATTATAATTAAAGATTACAAAACAGTACGATTATAATCGAGATTATAAAACAGAATGATTATAATTAAGATTATAATATCTTGTGCTCACCGGTGCTGGCATGTTCATCATCCGTAGCAGAGCCCGTATGTGGAGGCGCCCAAAGTCTCGGGTTACCAGTTCGGCAGCTTCAACATGCCGATGCCGGCAGCACCGCCCGGTGCCACCAGGAGGTGACCCTGACGGGCAGGTGGAGCCAACCAGGGGGGGGTCTCTGTCTCTCTTTGGACTCTTGTAAAAAAATAAAGAAGGAAAAAATTACATAATTATGATTGCCCATGTTCGTGTCCAAGTAGCCAGCAGGAATGGTGGTGGGTTTTCTTTTTCTTTTTTCTTTTTTACGTCATTTTGTGTTGACCCAGCAGGAGCATTATTATTATTATTTTTTGATGTGCGGCGGCGTAGTTTGACCTATGCACTTTTCTGGTCGTCAGTATCTTGCTGTTTCCCCGAGCCGCCCTTCAATGGCACTGCACAGAGAGAGAGAGAGAGAGACAGAGAGAGAGGGCCACGTCGGAGTCTGCTCTGTCGCTCGGCCTCTTCTCTCTCTCCTCTCTCTCTCTCCCTTATGCTATTCTCATGGTTGACTTGATTCTTCTGGGTTTGTACAGATGTGAATCTCAATGTCCAAGAGCTTCGGCATCAGGAGACAGCCTCTGAGGAAGCCAAAGATCGTACGTAGTTGAGCATTGGAGAGCCTGAGGCTTAGCCTCCTCGGTAATCAGAAAAGGGACAAGGAGGGAGGCCCAGATTTATAATTGATTGATTATCTTTTATTCCTTTTGCTCAATCCTCTTATAACGAGAGCGTTAATCGTATAAACCCAGATCAATATTCACCCTAACCAGTCTCCAAAGTGTCTTTAGGCAGCAGCCTGACTGAATTAAAGCAGAGAATGAAGATCATATACGAATGCAAAAGAACTGTGTAAAATGAAAGAGGGATAATTGTTTCATACTTAGGGGGAGGGGGAGATCCACATCTAGAAATTTTCATTGAAACTTCTTCAAACATGGTGTTTTTTTTTTTTTTTTTAAAGTTCATGTTGTACATATATGAAACCATATTCCCACTGAAAAACTTATTCAACTGGTTCTGAAAATCAAGTTTATGCTCCGATTTAATCACTTAATCCTTGCATCTCAAGCTATGATAAATTCAAGGAAATGAGAAATATTGTAATCAGAAAAGTATCACTCGGCAGAAAATCATTTTTTATCATATTATACATCAGAAATTTAGATGACTGAGAATTGGTTTAGAAATCTCTGAATTTATTTCAGTACAGAATACGATTTTAAGTTCTAATCCTTGTTTACTGTGGAATGTATAACACCTGAATTCAGGTAGGTTTCTCTCCATCCATCAGCCCATTTAGATGTCTCAGAACTTTCAGATGATAACCTGATTATAAAATCATTACAATCCTCCTTTGATCAAAGGTAATGATAATCAGAATTGATACGGAATGAATTCACGATTCTTTCTGAAATAAAAAACATAGCCTCTGATATCATTCAGTAACCAAATTCTAAAATCATGACTACTTGAATGTAGATTATCTTGTTCTGATCCAAAATTATACTCGAGGTAGATCTTTCCAAATATATAAGCTTTGCTTTGTCACCATAAAAAAGACATGATTCTTCTTTTATAGAATCCTAGTTTACTTTTGTCTAATCCAACTTTATTCATGGTTTCTTTCAATCTATTGTTCTTCTAGAACAAAATGCAATGACAAATGTACTAGATCTATTAGTTTAGATCTTCATCCAATTATCTACGATAAAAATAACATATTTATTAAAAAAATCTTCATTTTTATGATTATCTATAATTATCAAAATCCTTAAAAACAATATTGATGAAAATAATGATTTAGGTAGGCATTTTTGGTTGGAGAGCCTTTTTAGTTCTATTGTTGGCAAGATTTTCACAAGTAAATCATTTACTATTTTCAAATGAATGTTATGTGATAATCACAATATTGGTAATATATTATTTTAACCCTAAACAATTTATAAACCATTTGTAATAAATTTTTTATCTTTTCTTATTTTTGAGAATAGGGTCAAATTATGAGTCAAAGTACCTTTTATGAAGGGTTTGTGGTCATAGTGACTATGTCACCATACAAGGATAAAAATTTAGCTTTAAATCTTGTAGTTAAATTATCACCAATGTTATGTACCAGCTCTTAAGAAAGTCAAATAAATATTTAGGATCGACTACTTGAAAAACTAGCATATTTTATTTTAAAAAAGGAAAGTGACTCATAAGCTAACTCACCTAATATGAAAAAGATTCATGCTCATAGTGATAGTAGTGTTCTGATATAGTAGCTACTAGTTGTTGGATGCCTCCAAGTTGTCAGTAGAATAGTCGTAGCTGATTGTAGTGACCATTTTCAGATCACTTTAAGATCAGAAAAATGAAAAAAATGTTATGGTACATTTTAAGAACTCACATTTTCCATGGAGAAGATTTGATCGATATTTATTATTTGCCACTTAATTGCAAAGGGCTTATAATGTTATGGTGTACCAAAAGAAGTTCATACAAGAGGATCCTTGGTTAGTTTGACTTAGAGCCCAAGTTTAGAAGAACCATTTGAAGAAAACTTGTGCCACCTTATGTCTTGGGGCCTTTAGTGTTCTGGGAACATAGGGCAACCTAGAATAGTGGATTTAAAAGAGACGAGATGGAGGATTGGCCTTCACCATCCATATTGACATTGAGCTTGTGAGACACAGAGATAGAGTTTGTAAAGGGCAAAGTAGCTTGGCCCCATGTGCTTAATTGTTATAAATTGAGTCAGCTATTTTCTTTGCTGAATCTGACTCATTTAGCTTGTGTAATCTAATGTAGAATTCAATAAAAATACAAAAAAGCCAAGTCCAAGCCCCCCTTCCCCCACCCCCCTTAATTCCCTTGTAGCCTTTCCAAAATTCAGGTGAACTCTGTAATGCTAATACAAACTAAATAAAAAGAATTAGGCAACACAATTTCCGAAAGGTTCTTACATTAGTGCATTGGCAAGTAATAGATAAGTTATTTCATCGAGGAGAGAATATTAGGGCTTTGTCTCCCAAAATGTTTGGCTAGCTTGCCAAAAAAATGAAATTCCCTTAGGACTTCTATAATATAATCAACAAAACAATCTTTGTAAAAGAAGAAAATCTAAGATAATTTTGTACATGCTCTCAATGGTTTAGCCTTGGTTGATTATAGGTTTTAGAACTACTAAGGGAGGTGTTTTCACAAAAGAGGACAACCCTATGTGGTAGAAGACCATGAAAGATCATAGACAATTAAACAAGCCCAAAGGAGACCAAACAAGCAAATAGGATGCAGTACTAGGGATGTCTCATAAGAAAACATAGCCTACAATTATCCAACCAGTACTGCACAAGTACTATGGTACAATCATGAGATTGTCTCATACAAATATTGCAATAGATGCATCTATTCAAGAAGTAAAATTTTCCAAAGCAAACATTTGAAAGTACATATTGAATTCATCCCACAAAAGCACTCTATGACCATCAAGATTTCGTTTTACTATAATACCAATGTAAGAATAGTCCTCGAGGGTACCATTCCAACACAAAAAATGGGCACCAAGTTTTTAATCTAAGCATAAAAAAAGGAGAAGTTGTGGATATTCTCTTAGTTGATGACAAATGACTAAGAATTCATACCTAAATTTAAACTACACAATATTAACTAATTAACATTTTCTAAGCTTTTTCTCCTATGCTACTCAATAGTTAATTGTGATTGTCTCATCTAAGGAATCCAATATTTTGTCTTTCCAGTCTAATATTCTTATTGATTGCCTCAAAATGTAAGAGAATGGCCAACTCTTCCTTTAACACCTTAGAACAACTTGAAGAAAAGAGCCCATTCTCTTTATCCTTGAAAAATGGACACATATTATAAAATATAGTATCAATTTAAGAAATAATATGATGCAACGACTCATTTTATTTTTCTACTCCGTCGAATGATAGCCATCGAAGACGATTCAATGACCCATTTCATTAATCTCTAGACTTCATAAGGAGATCTATACATTGTCCATGTCGTCCTTATTTAAGGAGAGCCTTCGAGGCTGTGAACACTACACGACGATCCTCTCGAACACTCAAGATTCTAGTGCATCATTGATACATCGTCGTCGCGACGTCGAAACTCTGTTCTCTTACTTTTAACTTAATTTTTACTTCATTTAGTGATAATTTGTGTGATTTAAATTTACCAAACTATACTTCATTCAATTATGATTCTTTCGACATTTATAGATCTTAATTTGATCAATTAAATCATCTATAACCACTTACAAAAGAATCGTCAGGTGAAACTCTATTTCTGCCTGATTCACATTCGTTGAACACTGATGTCATCTTGACGTTCGCACCCTTATTTTCCTTTTTCGTGAATTTTAAATATATTTTATTTTTATTTCTTAGTATAAAATTCATAAAAATTAATATTTTTTGAGAAAAATTCTAAGAAATTACTCGACATTATATTACATCCTTGTGATCAACTTGAAAAATTACCACTATTTTTAAAAGTTTTATTAAATTATAATTGATATATTTTTCAAAAATACTTCTAAATATCCAAAAATTAGTATTTTCTAATTTTATAAATTTTAAATTTATGTGATTTACTATACAACAACTAAGTCACGTTAAATATATATATATTTTTGAGATTTTTTTCAAACTCCTCAAGTATTGATGGGTGAATGAAGATTGTATCAAGGATACATACAAATGCAAATAGGCTATCTTTGCAAGTATGTAGAAAAATAAGAATTTTGTTTTTATGCATATAATAATGAACAAAAACCAATAGAAAAACATATTGAGGTTTGGAATGACACCTGGCCTTATAAGTACCCTTGAAATCCTCTTTATTTAGCCTCTCATCCTATGACGCCTCTTAATAAGATAACATCTTTTAGGGTTCCTAACACCCCAAGTATGGGTTGTAGAGAATACGTTTTCGCATGTTTTTCTTTGGCACAATGATATGTTCCTTTGGGTGTCACATTTTTGGCAAAAGGGGTCATGGAAACTCAAAGATCTTCCGATTGATATAAAAGAAACATTTAAATCCAATCAAAAGCCTTAGTGTGTGTTTTATATTGAATAGGAAGAAGATGCAATTAAAGATAGAAGCTTTCTTCTCTTAAGAGTAGAGATTTATATGGTGGTTAGTAGTCTATAAGTGTCAATAAACCTTCTAAAGATGACTTGTGATTTATTAAAATATGATTTTTTTGCATAATGGACAATTTCTTAGATCTTTCATTAAAAATACATAAATAAAAAACAAAAAAATCATCTCTTTTTCTTGTCATTATCAGTCAATGTCACCATCCCATGCCTTTTGAACCTATCAAGCCACAACTCTTTCATTCTCATATTCATGAATGTATAAGTAGTTTTTGTATTATCTACAATGTATCAATAGAAACTCATTGTAATTTAATATGATAAAATAATCATATTGAAGCTCATGCCATACAACCTGGTCAACTTTGAGATTCACTTTTTCTCAAAGTTGGCCAAAAGTGTCTCAACTGATCCACCCAAGCATTTAGGTGTCGCAGCTCAGAATCCCCAACAACTCAGCTGACAGTAATTCATCAACAACTCCGTTTGTTTCAATCAGCCTATTATTATTATTATTATTATTATTATTATTATTATTAGCCTATTCTTAGAACAATTGAAGCATGCTACTAAAAAAGAGGCTGTTTTTTTCTTTTTCTACTTGTTTCTTGTTTTGTTACCTTTTCCTTTAGGGGAAAAATAAACCTTTTTCAGAAGTGTAGAGGATTGTGCTAGCTCGGGTAGCTGGCGCCATGAAGACCCACACCCACAGATCTAGCCCAAGAACCCACCCGGAAAGCTACTTTGCTTACTGTGTTAGCTGGTGTGCCATTATCTTTTAGAGGTCAACGGTACCCAAGATTGAGGGGGGGTCAAACCGTTGAAAATATGGCATAGCTGCAGCCCATTTCGATTGACTTGATTGATCGGCAATCTAGAAATATGGCCAAGCTGCAGTTAGCTGAGGTAGCGTTGACCCATAGAGGCGTATGCAGGCCTGAGACTGGCCTTGCATGGGAATCAGAATCCTCACGGAAGATGCTTCTCCATATGAGAAGTTCTGATTCCTTGGCACAATCAGGAACCCTTTTCATTGCATCACACTGACCAAAATGAATGAATCTGAATCAGTCCGAGGAGGTGTCCTCTAAACACAGGGAGAGAGAGGTAGAGATAGAGAGAGAGAGAGAGAGAGCGATGACGAAGAAGAAGAAGAAGAAGAAGAAGAAGAAGAAGAAGAAGAAGAAGAAGAAGAAGAAGATGCTGATGCTGATGCTGATGCTGATGATGATGATGATGATGATGATGATGAAGACTCCAACATACATGAATGAATGAAGAAGTATTTGTATATGTACGCATGCCAGCCAAAAGGGGGGGGACCGGTCAAATCCCCGTCGTCCTTCCTCGGCTTCTTCCCCTGCTGCTGCTCCGTCTGATACAAGACGGCGGGCGTTGCACTGCCCGCCATTATTGCTGCTTCGCTAAGACACCATCACACCTCCGCAAACTGAACAAAGAATCTCCACCCACCCACAAGGAAGAAGAAGAAGAAGAAGAAGTAGAAGAAGAGGAAGAACCCGACAGCGAAGAGAAGAGAGGAGGATCTGTCTCTCTCTCTCTCTCTCTCTTCTCTCTGTCGCTCTATCTACAGAAGACGGGAACTGGTGGGGGGAGGGCGATCAGAAGTTGCAGTCGAGCCCGCACTCTTCGAGGAGAGGGCCCTCCGCCTTGGGGAGGAATGGGTCGATGCGGACCCAGAGGAGAGAGAAGATGGAAGCGAGGAGGATGGACCAGACGATGACGATGGTGGGGGTCCTGTTCTGCCTCCCCAGGAGACCCTTGAGGAAAGGATAGAGGTGGACGATGACCCAGAAGGCGAAGAAGAGCCTCCCAAAGAGCGGCCCCCAGGACTCGTACCCGTTGTTAATGGCGTTGGAGATGCCGGCGACGACGCCGATGAGGTTGACCACAAGGAGGGTCGTCGGGGGGATGAGCAAAGTCGTCCACTTGAAGAGGTAGAGCTCGGCGAAGGCGTCGTCGTCGGTGGCCTTGGAGGTGACGGTGAAGTTGGTGTCTATGCCGGCAAGGACCTTGAGGAGGCCCTGGAATACGGCGAAGAGGTGGGCGGAGACGCCGCCGATGACCCAGAACTGCTCGTTCCTCCACCAATCCTGGAGCCCCACCCCGCTCCACCTCATCTCCAGGATGCTCGTCGCGAAGATGCAGATAAACAGTGACAGGAACCACAGGCTCGCCACGTTGCTCAGCTGCCAAAACCACGTTACTCTCAACTTTCAGCTTAGCTAGCCGGAGATTGGCGAAGAAGAAGAAGAAGAAGAAGAAGACTGAGGTAGAAGAGGAAAAGAGTGTTGGTTTATTTTTACCTCGGGGGTGATGAACTTGCCGGTGAGGAGGCAGACGGCGGGGAGAGTGCAGTAGGCGAGGAGGGGGATGGAGGTCAACGGGTAGACGGTGGCGTTGATGTAGGAGAGCCGCTCGAGCCACTTGAGCCCGCCGCCGTAGCCATACCAGATGGGGCAGTGCTTGCTGAGGAAGATCTCCACCGACCCCAGCGCCCACCGGAGCACCTGGTGCAGCCGATCCGACAAGTTCAGCGGCGCTGACCCCTTGAACGCTGGCAGCGACGGGATGCAGTAGATCGAGCGCCACCCGTGGCAGTGCATCTTGAACCCAGTCAAGATATCCTCCGTCACCGACCCGTAGATCCACCCGACCTGCATTGCAACAGTAATCGCCGCCGCCGCCGCCGCCATTGTTTCAGTCGCCGGCGAGGATGAGAGGAAGAGGAAGAAGAACAAGGTTTCGATGATTCGGGGAGCTGACCTCCTTGCCCCAGTCGGTCTTGTCCTCGTATCCGCAGCTGATGACGTGGATGGCCTCCTTCAGCAGAGACGCCGGGCTGGCGCCATTGGGCGTGCCGCCGTTCTCCATCTGCGTTGACTTCACGAACACTGGCGACTGACCGAACTTCTTCTCCAGCTTGTTCGCCGACACCACCGTTGACTTATTGTCCTTGACCGAACCTGCGCAGATCCCCCCCACAAAAAGAAAAAACCAGAGTATTAGCAAAAGGACCAAAACAAGCGGGTCGTCGTCGTCGTCGTCGCCCCTACCCTCTTCGATCCTCTCCAGAGCCAGCTCCGGGGGGCCGCCAAGAACAGCCGTCGTCGTCTTCTTCTTCCCCTGCTTGGCCTTCGCAGCCTTCTTCTTCCTCCCGAAGCAGCAGCTGAAGCAGCAGCAGCACCATTTCGGCCAGCAGTTGCAGGTCCTGCTCGGAGGCTTCTTGGCTTTGGGGGCGTCGAATCCGTAGAAAGCCTGCCGCCGGAAGACGCATCCGGTGCCGACGTAGATCGGCCCCTGGATCCCGTCCAGGCCCTTCATGTTGATCTGTTTCCAGAGCACACATACACCACCCGGTCAACGGCCTCAGCTAAACTCAACGCAGAATGGGGAGAGGAGGGACAAGCTTTGGTCAACGGCTCACGTCGAAGAAGACGATGTTCCTGTTGGCGTATCGATCGTGAAAGTCGATGCCGTCGAATCTCTGGGGAAACTGCACGTAGCAGACCCTCTTCCCCATCAGCGGGTCCATCATGAAACACATTGCCTCCCTCAGAGCCTTGCTGTTGTTGAAGTAGTGATCACAGTCGAGATTCAGCAGGTAGGGCGCGTTCGTGAGCACCGCCGACACTCTCACCTGCGCCACCATTGTTTATTGTATTTACCCATGAATGAGCCAATGAACGCATGAATCAATGAATAAATGAGAATGGCGGCGCCGCCGTCGTCGCCAGAGGTCGTACCAGGGCGTTCATGGCGCCGGCCTTCTTGTGGTGGTTGAACCCGGGCCTCTTCTCTCTCGAGACGTAGACCAGGCGGGGGAGCTCGTTGCCGTCGGTGTCCACTCCGCCGTTCTGGCCCAGAAACACCTGCAAACTCAAGCCCAGAGACAATGGATCAGCCGGACCAGCAGAGAGTACGAGGAAGATGGAAGGAGGAAAAAGATGATGAACTGCTCCGCACCTGGATCATCCCGGGATGGTCGCGGACGTTGTTCCCCGGCCATGGCGTGCCGTCCTGCATCGTCCAGCCGTCTTCGGGAACCTTCTGAGCCTTCGCCACCAGGGCATTGATCCTCACCTTAAATTCCTCGTACTCCCTCTGCAAATCACCCGAAGGTCAACGCCTCCCGAAATGTTCGAATAAGAAGAAAAAAACCAGAGGGGGTCGGGGTGGGTCAACACCTTCATGGCCCTGCGTTCTCGGACGAAGGAGGGGAGGACCTTGTCCTTGAGATAGTCGATCTTCTGCTGGAAGTACCACTCCGGGGCCCTCGGCTCGACGCTGAACTTCTTGCAGAAGGGGACCCACTTCTTGGCGAACTCCGAGGTCTCCGACAGCGCCTCGAAGGTCAGCATGGCGGCGCCGTCGTCGGAGACGTAGCAGGAGACCTTGTCAACGGGGTAGTCAACGGAGAGGATGGACAGCACGGTGTTGGCGGTGACCAGCGGCGGCTCCTTCATCGGATCCACCGTACTAACGAATATGTCCACCGGCGACAACTGAGAGGGCCGCCCTTCCTTCTCGTACCTGCGTCGCGGCGGCGCCGCACATGAAAATCCCAACTTTCAGCCATCGCCGGCGGTGGCGCAACGAGAAGAAGAAGAAGAAGAAGAAGAAGAAGAAATTGAGGAAGAAGAAGAAGAATATGGAGGAAGATCGTTGACCCACCTCAGAGAGAGCCGGTCCAGGTAGGTCTCCCGCTCAATAGGGAGCCATTTGGGGAACTGGTCGAGGATCCAGGATATGGCGAACCAGATCTCGCAGATGACGGAGATGAGCCAGAGAGGGTACGCGTCGTTGACCGGGTGAGTCACCCGATAGTGGAAGAAGAAGCCCGCCACCACCAGCCGGATGATGATGATCATCCTGTACGGGTTGATCTTGCTGGAGGCGATGGGCAACTTCCTCGACAGCGGTTGCCTCCCCTCGTCCATTCTGCTCAGATCAGCTCAGATCAGAAAAAACCTCAGAAAGGAGGCGACTTTCAGGCCTCAGAATTCGACGGCGTTGACATATTTACATGGGCAGATCAGGATCGTCGTCGTCGTCGTCGAAATCTTTGCGGCCATTCTCGTTCTTCGCTAGCTGCAGCCTCTCCTGCTTCTGCTTCCAGCTCTCCATCCTCTCCTTCCAGGCCACGCTGCCATAGCCGTACGCCGCCAGGTCCTTGGAAGGGTCCATGGATCTCGGTTGCGCTGATAATATGCCGCAGCAGGATCATCATCATGATCCTCCTCCTCAGCGACATGGAAATTAAACAGAAAAAAACCAGGAGGGTGGGGGGGGTGGGGAGGGGGGGAGCGGCCAATCAACCCACCTGGAAGACTGTTCGAATCCGTGAAAGGGAGAGGGTGGATCCTTTTTCCTCCGCTGCCCGTGAAGGCCGGCACCAGAGCGTGCTGCTCCGGCGGGATGTCATCAATCTGCAATCACAGTCCGAGAAATCCCGATTCAGAGAAGAAGAAGACGAAGAAGAAAATTCAGAGAAGAAGAAGAACAAGAACAAGAAGAACAAGATTCAGAGAAGAAGAAGAAGAAGAAGAAGAAAATTCAGAGAAGAAGAAGAAGAAGAACAAGATTCAGAGAAGAAGAAGAAGAAGAAGAAGAAGAAAATTCAGAGAAGAAGAAGCAGCAGAAGAAGATACTGATGAACATCATACAATCTCGCCATTGGTGAGGAGGGGGAGTTGGGGCGGCGCGTTGTCGGCCTGGTGGATGTCGGAGTGGCGGCCGTAGCTCATGTGGCCGTGCAGCATGGCCTCCGCCATGCGCTGCCGCTCCCTCCCCGCAAAGTTGAGCTCATTCTCCACATCGTCGATGTCGTCTTCTTCCTCGTCCCCGGCGACCCTCGCGCACCCTGCGGCGGCGGCGGAGGAGATTTCAGCGTAGAAAGAATAAGATTGAGGTAGAAGACGAAGATTGAGGGAGGAAGAAGGAGGTTTTCTTTTGGGAGCGGAGGGGGAGCACCTTTGATGCGCTTGAAGCGGGTCTTGCACTGGGGGCAGACCTGGTTGCCCTCTCGGCGCTCGTAGTCGTAGCAGGTGAGGCAGATGGGGAAGGCGCACTCGTTGCAGGCCACGAAAAGGTCGCCCTCGGGGTTGAGCCCCACGTCGTCCCCGCAAATCTGGCAGATTTGCCCGCTCAGATTCTTCAGCGGCTTCGGCTGCAACCCACCACCACCGCCGTTAGAGCAGGAACAGCAAGAATCGGAAGAGTCAGAATCAGAAGAAGAAGAAGATTGAGATAGAAGGAGAAGAGGAAGACGAAGGCATCGTCAGGAATCGGCGGAAATGAGGAAGGAGGGGGCATACTCCATTTTCTCCGTCACGGCGGATGACGACGAGCTCGTTCCTGTTGTGGGAGCCGGCGACAAGCCCGGCGCTGGCCTCCATGAGCGCCGCTTCCGATCACGCCCAGAATCGCCGGATCTGCCGCCAGGAAGAAGAAAGCTTCCCGAGAATGCCGCCCGGAGAAGAAGCAGAGGAAGAGGAAGAGGAAGCAGAAGAAGAAGAGGAAGGATGGGTGGGTCAGAATGGGGAGAGATGGGAGGACTGTGGAAGAAGGAGAGGGGGAGGGGGAAGACGCATTGCTCGCCGCCCCTCTTCTCTCCTCCTCTGCTTCAGTAAAATCCCAGCAACAAGCGGCAGACCAGTCCAGACCAATGTACAGAGAGAGACGGAGATCTACTAATACCCTCTTCCCCCCACCCCCCCTTCTTGTGGTGGGGCAGCGAGCCGACAGAGAGAGAGAGAGAGAGAGAATGGTAATCAAGAGGAGGTCCGCTTGCCGCAGATGCGGTGAGGGCATGTAACAAGGAGTAATCTTTCCAGTAATTCTGAACTCCCGCGGAATTTAGTGATTCCTGATTGGGGTTGGGTTGTGGGTCTCTTTCTCTCGACCCTCTTTCTCTGTCTCTCTGTCTATCTTTCTACTCTCTCTCTCTCTCTCTCACCGTCCGCCAACTCAACTGGTCCCCAGCAGACGACCCCCTCCCTACCTCATCAAGACCTCCGCCGACACCGCGGGCGCTGTTGAAACGGAGAGTAGGGGAAACCTTTCTCTCTCTCTCTTCTTTCTCTCTCTATCTCCTAGGGCAGCAGCAGCTCTGGTTTTTATTGAGACCGCGTGGCCGGTGGGATCACCGACGCTGGCGGCGGCTGGGAGGATCACGTCAAGTGGGTGCGCCATCACCAGCCGGCGAGGGATCCCCATAACCTTACCGCCACGCCCCCCCCGGCGGCCTCCAGAGACGCCTGGCGGTGTACCGCAACCCGACGAAGAAGAAGAAGATAGAATAAAATCCACTTCTTCATTAATCACGGCCCCCTCGTGACTAATAATCCCATCATCCGAATTGGCTCCCTCCGACTCAGATCCACCCCCCCAACTGCCCAGAGAATTAACTGTCACCGATCACCGTAACTGGCCCTCTCTCTCTCTTGTTTCTCTCTCTCCTCTCTCTCCTCTCTCTCTGTGTTTCCCTCACGTGGAACGTGGAAGTATCGATTGACCTCTGGGGCGTCGGCGGGAGACTGGTCAATGGGGAAGGTTGGGATATTTTATATATTTTTTATTGGGGCAGTGAATGAAGGGGAAGAGGCGGGCGGCAGCGCCAGCACCGTCACTGGCCCAATCATTGTTAAATCTTTCCTCACCTCTTCCACTCTCTCTACTCTTTCATCCTCCACCAACCGGCCCTCCTCCCCACACAGCTCACTTTATACGGCCCGAAGAGATAGAGAGAGAAAGTAGAGAGAAATAGTTAACGCCGGGAGGTAGGCACCTACGGCGTGTATCCGTGTCGAGGTTTGGTAAACGAGAACGATTAGAACACCGGAAAGCTCCTCCCTACCCAACGCCCCCCCGTGGGCGACGTGACAGAGAGCGAGCGAGAGCGAGAGAGAGAGAGAGGGGGATGGAGACAGCTGAACAGATGAAATGGACAGCTAGGCGATGTAGGACGGGATCCAGCTGGTCGGTCGTCTTAGTCGGTGGCTAGAGGCGTAGAGAGAGAGAGACAGAAAGACAGACAGAGAGGCGGTTTAATTCAGTAGAGAGAGAGGGAGCTCCAACCAGCTGGCACGAGCTGTGATGCGGGCACACGGCTACCGGCCCATCGTAGATACCCTGCCGCGGGAACGAATGGGCTTCCCTGCCGGTGAACTTCCAACGACAGAACCCAGAGAGAGAGGCAAAATTTATAGCGCATTTTTCCGCTAAAAAGTTGAACAAATAAACATGACGACGCAATAAGTATCATGCGAATAGAAGTACCGACCGACCGACAAGATCACCACTAGAAACCCAAGAACGGGGAGAATGGGCGGCGCCGCCATCACCACCACCACCGCCGCCGTTGAAGGAAGTAACTCGCCGGAAAGCTCCTCTCACTTGAGGGGGATGAACCGGGAAGAGTGAGTGGCTCCGATACCGGGCCTTCCGTGCTTCACCGGCTTGTAGCTGATCGAGAACTCCGCCAGATAGTGCCCGATCATCTCCGGCTGCGAAGATTATTGTCAAATCAACACAATCCGACAACACAGAAAAGATCACAAGCGCGAAGAATCTCTCATCCTCCAAGAACCCTAAAAAATCAGGGGCAGCCGCCTCCTACCTTGATCTCCACCTGGTTAAATGTCTTCCCATTGTAGACGCCGATGATGCTCCCAATCATCTCGGGCACGATGATCATGTTGCGAAGATGGGTTCTCACTGGCTCCGGCTTCTCCCCGGCCGGGGCGTCACGTTTCTGCAAGAGAGATGATCATGTGGCGACCATGGGTTAACAACTTTAGGGCCCGCGTGATTCCCACGCCGAAGCAGAGAGAACGTTTAGTCACAAGCGTTGCTCCTTTCGAATTAATAATCCTCTTGAGCGAAACAGAAACAGAATGACCTTGATAGAGAGAGAGAGAGAGAGAAAGAGAGAGAGAGAGAGAGAGAGAGAGCTAGACAGAAGAGAGACAGAAAGGGGGGTTTTGAGCATTAGAACCAATGCGTAGGTGGGAAGAAAACTGAAAGTCAAAAGGGCACCGAAGGCATTGTGTGATAAAGTCAAACAAGAAGCTTGTGTGGTAAAGCCACACAAGCAGCTTTCCTCCGCTCGGAGCATTTTTCGTGTTCTGGACGCATCAATCAGACGATTACCACATCACTAAGTAGTTCCTAGATTCAATCAAACAGTACTCTCTGACATTGAGAGCTTACGGCCATCCCCAATAGTAAAAGCCCTCAGAATATCTGGCTGATGTGCCTAAAACCATCAACCAGATGTTCCGAAGGATTAGCCTTCAAACCCAAACGAGCGTCGAAATCTAGATAAAAACTTTAGAAAAGCTGAATCCGCGAGATAAAACCATCATGGTGCCCGCATTCCACAACATGATACGCCAGCAGGGAGTCTGAATGGACACAGGGGTGTTGATGGGCCACATGGGTATCGTTCCGATGATACAATCCGCTAAATGTAATCTTCATAAAATGTGTGCTGAAGGCAATATCTGACAACAATTATATTTCTTCAACAACTCTCCTAGTAGAGTCATAATCTTCATCTGCCCTCCTCGTCCTCCATTCATTATAATTCCTACATCATTGTGCCCACATTCCACAACATAACACGCTTGCAGAGAGTTTGAATGGACACAAGCTGAAGGGCACATGGGTGTTTTTCCGATGATATAATCAGCTAAAAACAATATCAGTGGAATGTGTGCTGACGGTAATATCTGTTTGAAAAAAAAAATATTTCCGAAACAAGTCTCCTAGTAGAGTCACAATCTTCCTGTGCCCTCATCGTCCTCCATTCACTATAATCTTCCTATATCCTGTGTTCTCCGGATTTCATCCATTGCTTATTTCATGAAATTTCACAGAAAAATATACGAACACAGAATGCATCTTGACTTAGGGCATAGCAATTAATGATCCCCTAATAGGTGCCAGCTTTCTCATTCCTTCAATGCATCATCCTCCACTGATGGAAGGGACTTATCTGAAGAAACAATTGAAAACTGAGGGAGACACCCAGGTCAGCTACGCTTTCTTTTTCCAATGATGAATACGCTTAATCAAGATGTATGGAACAGCTAATTCTGCCAAACTAGATAACGACGGCACTGATGATAGCTTATTAAAGCCAGAAGATGACGGAAAATCTAAGGGTCACAGGCCTTATCAGGCTGCCGCCAAATCAAAGTGTTGAGATCCTCCTCCTCCAGACGCCCCTCTCTTTCGTCGGAATCGGACCAGACCATAGCTCATCGAAGAGCGTTCCCCATGGTAACAGACCAATCCCACAATAAAAACAAGAAATAAAACATAGCTCCAAATTAAATACTGCATGTTGCCTGGCCAATGGGCATGGAGCAATCGTACGTACCGCCTTGCGAAGCTTCTTAATGAGAGCCATGGGCTTCCTCTTCAGACCTCTCTGGAACCTGATTCAGAATGTTCACGAGGAGAATCGGAGATTAGGGGAGATCCGCCGAGGAAATAAATAACAGCAGGTGAAATAAGAGGATCATGTAGAGAAAAACTTCAAAAACTTCGACCAGATCAGTCGGAAAAAAGAGAGGCCGACGCGCTCACCTTCTTCGCGCGCGGGCGGTGAAGAGCTTGACGAGCTCATCGGTCCCCATGTCGAGGAGTTGGTCGAGGTCGACTCCGCGGAAGGAGAACTTCTTGAACGTTCTCTTCTTGGGCTGTCCCGCCGCTCCAACATCAACGTCCGCATCCGCCTAATCAACAAGACCATGGACACACCGTCACCTTATCGAAGAGGAGCAAGAAAGAATACTAAGCGGAGGACACAGAGAAATGGAGGCAACAAGAGGGAAGACAGAGGGAGCCCAGGGGGGAACCTACCATGGCTGCTAGCGCTACCGCGGCCGCCGGCGAGATCTGCTCTGAGGTTCCTAAGGAAGGCGGTTTGCAGGAGAAGGCGCACGAGCCGTTAGGGTTTGGAAGGAGATCGGATTGATATTATATGTAGATATATTTATATATAAATCAATTTGAACCGTCCGATGAAGAATCCTCCCTTCATGGCCCTGCCCTGTCCGTCCGATTGGATCAGAAGGATCATCGTTCCCACTCGGATCTCCAGCGTAGGTTTTAATCGGGTAAACAGATGACTTCGGCATCGGATCCATAAATAAGAAACTAATCCAAAAATTGACCCCAATATCAGGTCAGAGAAGGGGAAACGTCAAAAGATCTGAACAACTCAGAGAAAATTGTCACGACACTCAGAATATATCCATGCATATCGATCAAAGATAATAATATTTTTATTTTTATTTTTATTTTTATTTTTATTTTAATGTGGCACTATTTTTCTAGCTAATATTAGGGCAAAATAATGAAACCCTTGCATCTTCAAAGTTGTCAGCCATGCTCTTTGAGGATGATGCATGGCATCAAAGGCTTTCATACCCCCTGGGTCAAAGTGTGTGGGTTGCTGTTGATAGCCCATACACCATAACTCAAGAGTACTCTTCCAGTCCCCATCTTCATGTTGTTGGCTCTCACCATACCTCAATGCACTTGAATATATTGCGAAAATTTATGAGGACATCATTCATTAAATCATCCTACTAGTTTATTTGCACAGTTGTATCCATTTTTTCTCACTTTATATATATATATATATATATATATATATATATTGGATATGTTCTTGGACTCCTTTTTCCATCTGCCTATTTTGCTACAATAGGTTGTGTACATTTAATTGGCTATAATGATTTTTTTCTTGTAAAATAAGATCTTAGTATAATAAGGATTTTTTTCTTTCCAAGAATGGAATCCTATCCTAGAATAGCAAAGTATTTCTAAAGAATTGAGGTCTATCAATGGAGCTACTATAATGCGGTTAAATCTCCCATGTCACAGTTAATTTTGGTTTCACATTTTTTGTTTATACCCTTCAAGGTGTTCACATACTTTCTTAGCTTTTATATCCACCATTTTAAATGGTTTCACAATAAAATAAGATAAATGCTTATAAAACATTCTCAGGCCAATCACAAAGATGTGCCCCACATAAGAAAAATCCATCTTAGGGTTGTCCATCCCAAAAATACTACAAATCATACTTTATTCCTAAAGATGTTCTATTCTAAATAATGAAAATTAGTTTTATATTTTCAGATTTATATATGTGTACATTTTTGTCAAATAAACGATTTGTTGATTATTCATGGAAAAAAATTAAAATTGAGGAAAAATATGTCATCCCTTACTCATCAATCTACTTCTAATGTACCTTGCTACCCAACATTTTCTTGGATCTAGTGGCAATAGCTAGTTTGTGCAGTTAGTCATCCCAACTGCATTTCATTCTTGTAGATTATTGTATCATGGTCCCAACTCTATCATTAGTTAGATATGCAAGTTAATGAATTGACCATTTTGTGGTCTGGTCTTTCAATCTAGATATTCATACTATTCATCAGAGTTAATTATTAATTTAGTCAAATAAAAAATCAGATCTACTCTTTCCAAATTGACTCCATAACTTGCTCAAATATCAAGAATAGGCTAAGTGTTTAAGGGATTCAACACCCTTAGTGAACCAAACACATATGTTAAGCAATTTAACTACACTCAACCTTCCATTAGCATCAATAATTAAGAAGACAAGAATAAATTGTGAGAACTTTGGCAAGTTATGAGATTTTCTTTTTCCCTTGTGCACCCAAAAATATATCTACATTCAACCATGTGGAAGCACTTCTTAGAGTTGGTTTAAGTGTCTTGATATTGACAAATAATCTCCATGAGCTCACACCAAGAATTAGACTTTTGAATCTTGACATAAGGCAACTCAAGTATAATTTTTTCTCAACAATAAAAATCTTTAACTTGAAAACCCTTTATACTCTCTTATATCTTATTATATCCCTTTGATGTTGATATGAAGAGAGATAAACATGTTGAATAAAAATTATAAAAATATTAATGGGAAGCATGCATAGTGAGTACAGTTAAGAATTTTTTTTACTTTCTTGGAAATGTGACAAAGTCTTGGAGTACCTATTAAATGTTATAAAGGTTGGCTAAAGCCTAAAGTCTACTAGATTGATATTCTCATAGAGTCATTGCTATCATAGTTGCTAGAGACTTTGAAATCTAATGGAAAAAAGGTAGAATAGTGGCATCTATATTATCATAGATTTCTAGAGAGTTTAGAAATCTAGTGGGGTTGCTATAGACTTGTGAAATCAATTGTATCCTAAGGATAAGAATAGTGGAAAAAAAAATGTGATTCTAGAAGTTAATGTAAACCAAATGGGTTGACAAAACATCTAAAAAAATGTGTTATTATCTCTCTTTCGACTATTATTAGATTTAATTTAAGAAAAAATTGAAGACAAAAAGGAGACAAGGGACAATTAGTCAATCAAGGATCAATTCATCCCCATTGTGATTCATGTGACCAACAAATAAGGGACTCAATAATTACTATCAAAGCCCACCTCACAAAAAGATCTCACCATCTTAGGGAGCAAATTTATGTCTAGTACCTTGAGAAATTAAATTACTGAGGGAGATATAAGAATAGATCAACCATATTCGAAGAAACATATTCTACCTATTAGGAAAGTCAAAATATAAATCTTTCTCCAGACATTGGATCTTGATGAATCGAGTGTGATTGAAAAAGGACCTTATAAAGAAGACTTAGATAGGCATTTAAGGATACTTAATACTTTATTTATGAATATGTTAGATTTTGCATTAGATGCAAATGAGTTTCATATAATATTTACGTGTGAAATAGTAAAAGAAATTTGAGACAAAAGTGAAGTTACCCATGATTAGACATTTTAGTACATAACTATAGAAAATTTTCTATTTAGAAAATAAATCTATTAAATACATGTTAAAAAGATTCATTCGCATTATAAAACGCTTCAAAGGATTGAATAAAATTTATGCAAGTTTTGAACTTAAAAAAATTCCTTAGATCACTAACATAGGTGTGGAATTCCAAAAGAATAGTCATCAAGGATACAAAAGATCTTAGAAAGATAACAATAGTTTATTTAATGTGATTTTAATTAATCTATGAAATTAGATTTTCTAAGGACAAAGGAAAGAAACATAAAAAAGAAAAGTGCTGCCATGATGTCAATTGGTAATCCATCTAATTCTAGTTTTGATGATTAAGAAGAAATAGCCCTTGTCTCTAAAACTTAGCATGTCACTTCCAAGTAAATTTTCAAAGGATTGAAAAGGAGTCAATTTAAATAGACAAATCAAGTGATGGTCACTTGTAGTGAAGATTAAGTGAACTTAGATGAAGAAAAAGTAGACTTAATTTCTCACAAGTTAAATAGATGAGGTTTGATCTTCTAATGAATTTAAACTTCCAAAAGAAGATTTACAAATACAAGGACAAAAAACTAGAACTTAGAAAATTTAACATGGGTTTGAATGGATTGAATCAAGAAATCAAAAAGTTAGAAACCATATATGAGAATTTCAAAGTTAAGAGTTGTGTGATGGAAAATAAATATTCTTATTTTGAATTAGCCTATCTTGAAATATGTGGCAGTCATAAGACCATGAATTTAGTATCAATAATTGATGGCTATCTTTGGAAAAAAGGACAAGGATATAATTAGATCTTTATTAAATATTTATTAAAATTAAAAATTACAAGGGGTGCAGACATATTTATTAAATATTCTTTAAAAATTAAGAATACTATTTTTTATAAATTTTAGACTAAGAAATAAAAATAAATTATATTTAAAATTCATGAAAAAGGAAAATAAGGGGTGCGGACATTAAGATGACATCAACACCTTGACGAATGAGATTCAAATAGAAATAGAGTTTTGCTCAGTGATTCTTACATAAGTGATTATAGATAATTTAATTAGTAAATTAAGATTTGTAAAAGTCAGAAAACTCGTAATTAAATGAAGAATAGTTTAGAAAGTAGAAATCACACAAATGATCACTAAATGAAGTAAAAATTAAGTTGAAAATAAGAAAGGTAGAGTTCTGACCTCGCATAGTGATCCCCAGAATTCTGTATGTTTTGGAGGATCATCGAATAATATTCATGCCCTCAAAAGCTCTCTTTAAACATTGACGACTTAGGCATTCGTTGGATCTCCTTTTGAAGTCTAGAAAATGATAATAGAAGTTAAATTAGTTAAAAAATAATAAAATAAAGTTCTAGCATCACGACAACGTGCATCGGTGATATACCAAAATCTTGAGCATTTAGAAGGATTGTCATGCAATGTCTATAGCCTCGAAGGTTCTCATTAGATAAGGACAACATAAGTGTCCAAATAAGGGTACAAGTGCAACAAAGAGTAGTAGGGCATTAAGAAATGGGTCAAAATTTTAACCTAAAGGAAGGCCCAACTTAGGACCATGACTAAGCCCAAAGGAGGAGAAGAGAGAGAAGAAATGGGCCATGATTTCAACCTAAAGAAAGGCCCAACTTAATACCACAACCAAGCCCAAAGGAGGAGAAGGGTGACCCATGTTTCCAGCCAATGAGAGGGTGCCCACCTTTTCTAGAACCTTTATCGTAACCTTCCACCATCCCTAGGCTTCTCTCATGACCCCTCACCTTGTCTAGAATCTTCCCCATGACCTTCCACCTTCTCTACCCCTCACTTTTTCTAGAACATTCTCATTGCACTCTCCCACTCCTCACAAGAAAAGTCTCTAGAATGTGTGGCAGTTGCAACCTTCCACTCTTCATGAGGAGAGTCTCTAGAAGGTGCGAGGGTTCTTACTCCCTTAAAAGTATTGGCTGGTGCCTATAAATATGAGGGAAGGGTAGTCTAAGGACATCATTAGAAGCTAAAGCTAGACTAGGAACCATTACTTCATTT